CTTCACCCTATACGTTCCCTGTCAAGTCCCTAACATTTCCCTAAGGAGAATTTCCTTTTAAGGGCGATACGATTCTACTCCTCAAGGCTTAGGCTATTCTTCCTTATATGCATTTCCTAAGACGTTTCCTCTTGATTCCGTTCTTAAAGTAACCGAAATACCCTAGGTACTACTCCTCCGGCTGCTCTTCTAGTTCCTAGTTGATAATATCGTTAGTCTACTAGTATAGCTTCTCTAGGATCCTATCTTTGTCTTTAGTAGGTAGGTCTACCTAGTAGAACCGGTTTCTTCCCTAAGCCTTCCACGAAGACGCTGCCGCGTTAGCCAGAGTTGGGCCTAAAGTGCAGTAACGAAGGTGCCAGCGGATTTTAAGCGAATAGCTACAGTCGTATAAGTAATAAGATTGCTAGACTATAGTACGTACTAGCGGGTTGGTGGACTAGCGAAAGAGATTTTCTTCGTTATTATTTAGAGGTTAGAGAAGATACTTATTTTTATAGACTACGGTTAATATTCGTCTCGTAGCCTAATATATATTTTAAAGGATTGCGAAATTGCGGCTAACTCTATATAGGGAATATATAAAGACTCTATACTGTATTCGAGGATAGTAAAATTATCTACTTTGGCGAGGCTATTTTGGAACCTACTATCTTCCAACGGTTCGGTACTAAACGCTTATTAGTGCTTTTGAATAGATAGTTTCAAGATAAACCGCGCTGGATTTACTTAAGAGACGAAGGAACTTGTGCCAAAAAACGGGTTATAGAAGGCTATTCTATAGCTTCCGTCTTTCTACCACTATCTCATTAAGTTTAATATAGAGCCGTTACAAAAAATAGATAGCTAAGGGACTCTATTAACTTCTAGCGGCCTATAAGATGCAACTGAAGTAACTAGCGCGGCTATTTCTAGATTATCCTAGAAGATATTGCCTGCGAAGATGCGATCTTCCTATTCCTAGAGAAGGATACGAGGGTTAGCGTAGCGTCTCTCTTACTGAAGTTCGCTTTTGGCTAACCGGCTATAATATAGTTTATAAATAAAATAAACGTTACCCCAGCCCTAATTAACAATACCTATATTATTATTAATATTTCCTTCGTAGTCCTAATTATCGTCGCTTAAATTGCGCTAGTCTAGTTCATTGTCTACTATTATTACTATCGTATTGACGAATTCTGAAGTTTAGCTTTCTTACATGAAAGGAGGACGGTTATTTATAGGCGAGGTGGAAGAGGACTTTGTTGTATTACTGTTAGATACCGGCCCTTAAAGTTAGTTAAAAGTATTATATTTTAGGTTATTATCTGGTTCGGAACTAGAGCTCGAGGCAAGGTTTATAGGAGCCTCGCCTAGGCTTTGGGATAACTTTTTATTAATATTGTCCATTTTAAACCGAATTTGCTTTTCGGTAGGATTTTTGGGAGAGGAGGAGCTATATGTCTAGCGCTTACGCTTCTTCGGAAATATTGTAACTCTATATAAAGAGATTGAATAAAATTGTCAATATTAAAGCGCTAGTAAGAGGGGAGAATCCGGGGCGCTCGATAGATACAACGAATTTAAATAATAAAGACTAAGGGAACTAGCCTGGTTCGATTGAAGATTATTTTAATGCTCTTTTACCCTCCGTATTCTTTTAAACCTACTATGGCGCAACCTAGTGAATGCGCTTACTATAATTACTTTGAAAACTAGGCCCGGGATTTAGAAAGAGTAGAATTGGGGTTATTTACGATATGAATACAACTTTTAACCTCTTTCTTAAATATAGTAGGGGTAGATAGAATAAAGAGAAGCAATAATTTCTTTTTATTTGTGTGCGTTAAAGCGCGAAATATGTCGTCGCTGAATGCAAAAACCTAGATTTGTGAAGTTTTATGGGCTAGTTGAGAGATAAAAAAAAGTAACCAATACGCGTGGGAATGAAGAGACCTTGGAGTCTAAGATAGAAAAGGAGGTTTTAGAAATTTTTGACGTGGGAGATAAAGCGCGATAAGGTAAAAAAGCAAATTTAGCGTTATAGATCTTACGGGGTAAAAGATGGGAGCGAGATTTTGCGGCCGTAAAAGTAGATGATGGAAGGAGCTATACGCGAACCAACTCCCAAACTAAGTGAAGCGAACTCAACCTGCCCTCGAATTTAAAGCTCGGACCAGTAGCCAAAGCAAGAAAATAATTCTCAAGATAACTTGGCAGACGCGACTTGGGATGAAAGGGTCTTTGGTGTGTTGGAGATCTACTTGGCACTATGCTATCGTCCGTCCTTCCAGGATATGGATATTAATGCGCAACATGGGTGATGCTCGAATATAACCCGGCAGGACCGCACTGGGTTGGTAGGTAGGTTGATGTCTATAGTGAGCGACTATGTGATAGTGCGATGTCTTGGTGTAGGGGGCTTTAGTGGTTTGGTACTAATAGCTGGGTTTAGGTTCTATATACGGAAGTGGGAAATTCTAGGATGTGTAAGTGATAGTGTAGCCTACTAATTTCAGTATGCATAGCTCTCTTCCGTTAACGGTTCGATATTATAAGTAGCCTTGACGCAATTGTATTTCCGATGGCTTTACGGAGGGGTTACTGAAAGAAATAACTAAGGAAATGAAAGCGCTCTTTGGTTGAAAGATGAATCTTGTGGCGGTAGTGTATCCTTTAACGATGGCGATTAAGTCTTGATTTAGTTAAAGTACTTCCTTATATGCAAAACAGTTCAGGAAGGCAGCTCGCTCTTCTAGTCACGATAGGTCGGCACGGGGTGTAACCAGGATCTTGATGCTGTCAGGGCTGTGGTTCTTAGTGGAAATAATATTCTGATGCGCACGTGAGTGTCCTTTGGGGTAGGCCTGGCGTACATCATCAAATGTGTTGACAGTAAACCTAATTGAAGGTCGTGGATGGGACGGACCGTAAATCTATTTGATGCACCGAGTCGGCAGATCAGAAATCGCGGTTGAATTAGCGTCCGGGCTAAAAAAAAGCAAAAGAAAAAAAACCAGAAAAAAGGTGAACGCAGTCAACGATGCTCAAGGTAGAAAATGAAGGACGAAGAAAAACAGAAAAACAAAAAGCTCAGCTTAACCACAAGATCGGAAATCGAACTCGCAACTAAGGAGGACTCAACCGACCAGATGGCAGCCTACGAAAACACCACGCATTTTCTGGACCCAACGCACTACCATGTAGGCTATTGGACCGTGGTGGAATGTCTACACTTTGGTGCTTATATGGTCCCAGTACAGGTCCTGCCGCTAGAAAGCTGGGGCCTGTGCCAGTCTGCCGCTGCTGGTGGGTGGATACCCCGCGGCGGGCAATCGTAGCCCACCACTACTACAGAGTGCAGACCTGGGATACTGTATTTATTGCAGAATGCGGGGCATTCTCCCTCCTCTTCCTCCCCGGCCCTCTCGTCTCCTACTTCCTAAGGTACCTACTCACCACCATTACCCAACCTTGGCTTTGTTTGCCTTCTCTTGCCTTGCTCGTCCATTACCTCTTATTATCTCCATTCCTCCCACCAGGCAAAGCCCGCCATCCTCCCGTATCTTGAGCACTCCGTTATTGTTTCCTTGTTCCCACCAGATTCCTGCTATGGCCTCCACGCGGATTCCGTTTACTCGTTTTGTCAACATTATCCTAAGGTTAACCGACATGGTGACATCCCGGATGATAAAGCTCAAACGGCAGAGACAAAAGTGTGATGGTAGTCTGGGGAAAGTAAGCCACGCAATTGACACAATTCCGTCTTGGTAAACGCCATACCCACCCAGCCTGCAATGATGGCAGTTCATCTGAGGAAGATTCAGTCGATGACCTACTGCTCGACAGCTCGAGCCGGTCGTGCTGTCATCTATCATAATGACCACCTTATATCCATACAGAACGATTGAGGGTAAGCGGAATGCAGTCATTACTTCCTTTCAGAGTCTGTCACACCATCCGCAACACATCGCACTGGGACCAATGACTCTGTGGACTGCCTACGGGAGTCATGTCTTGAGGACTCCCAAATCCTTCTTTGTCAATGTGTTTACCACCGCGCAGTTGTTTGTCTGTCTGCTTTAATGATCATTTTCGCCATGTCAATGATGTATTGTTGAGCACGGAATCCTTCCAAGCCTGGTTGTCAGTCAGTCGAAGTTTCACTCGGCTATATCAGGCCGGCTATAGCCTGGCCTCCGGTCCATACACCTCCACATAGTACCAGCGATTTATTTTGTTGCGTTCGTTTATTCGATGGGAGAGACCAAAATGACATGGTTGTCGATGTGGATATGCAACGCCGATACACTTTTGCCGCGATCCCCTTTGGAATCAAGTGGTCCGTTGGTGCAACGGGCATAAGTACCCGTGAAAGATGTCTGCAATACACTGCACAAGGTGAAGGAGACATACAAACTCATAGGTCCACCCTTCACCTCAGTGGCAACGTCACTGGAAGAAGGAGTGTTTACTGCCTGTTTCGGCTCGTTCCTCTACCCCCTAATGTGGCCCATGCTCCTAACCTTGAGCCTCATTTTCGTCCGCTCTCTGCCTTCTGCCACGGGCTCCGACCCCATCCTCCCGTTTTCACTTCTTTTGTTCTTGCCGGTTACCCCTCCTCGCTCCAACCCCCCTTCAGAAACGACGCCGGAACTTTCAATTTTGGCCACATCATAGCCATTTCCAAACCCACGTCCAGCACCATGGAGACACCCTCCTCACAGGGCGCCATCCCGGCTACGAACGACAACGATGAAGAAGACCACGCGATATCGCAAAAAGAATGGCATGCCGACGAGCCGGAAGTAGCCCATCCCATGCGCGTTCTTACCCAGGCACCCAGCGCGAAAACTAGTATTCGCTTACCCTTACGAAGGTCTCCCTCGCCTATCGCAGACCCTCGAATCACCCTGTCGAAAGATGAGAACCGGGCATTCAAAGGAACCATTAATCGAGATCGTAATCGCCCCGCTCGCCGCGCTGATGCGGCTCGAGCTGCGCAAAGATCCGCGCTTATGGTGGATGGACAGCCCCAGTTCGTCTTCTTCTGCGACGGATCAACTGGGTACAGGTCATACCCGAATGCTACACATGATGGAGGGTATGCCGTGGTCTTTCGTGACCCATACGACGCCGACAAAGCAGCCACTGCAAGCGCCTCTAAATCGGCCACGGCCACATTTGGGGGCTCTCGGAAGGAAGACGGCATTACCATCGCCGACTTTACTATCCGGCACTGGCTATCTCACAGAACCTTTGGAGCCCCCCACGTCGAGATCGCCGCCATTGCCCAAGCACTGGAAGAGGTTATCAAGCGAAACGATCAGCATCATCCGGACACATCGACTGTCAAGATCTTCACCGATTCCGACACAGCCCTAGCACGAATTGAGAGGGGCATTCTCACGTTTGAGACGACAACCGCTGGCAACGGCCTCAAGCGCAAACGCGAAAACAAAGCATTCTTCGAAGAGCACACCAATCCATTTGTACGCCTGATTGTATGGCAGTTGCATTACCTCTCCGACCGCGGCTGCACGATCGAAATGAACTGGATGCCGCGTAACACCACACTGGGTCACAGCTTGGCCGATCATATGGCCGGCAAGTGGAAGCAGTGGAAGGGCAAAGATCCGGGTGATGCTTTTAACCAGAAGTATCTGCCACACGCTCAGAGGGACGGCATTTTGGACAAGTTGCATGAGGAAGTTAGCGCCATTGAGCGTGCAAGAGGCCATGATGCTCTGGGCTCTGAATCTGAGGAGGAACCTGCGCGGCAGCCGCAACATCCGAAGAAAAGGAGGAGAATTAGGCGTGCGACCGGGGCCAAGAACAGGAGTGCGAGTGACTACATTGGCCTGGACCCTGACGACTATATTGCTCTGGACTCCGAATCCGAGAGGAACCTGAGCCTAGTGCTCTGGACTCTGAATCTGAGGAGGAACCTGAGCCCCAGCCGCAGCCTCCGAAGAAGAGGAAGGAGATTAAGGGTGCGACCACGGCCAAACAAAGGAGTACAAGTAACTTTATTCTCCTGGACTCTGACTCCGAGGAGGAACCCGAGCCCAAGCCGCAAACTCCGAAGAAAAGGAAGAAGATAAGGGGTGCAATCCCGCCTAAGAAAAAGGCTCCGATGCAGCAGGCTGGACTTGGAGCGGGTGGATTCCTCAACGGCGAAGACCATGTCTTCAACTTTGACCCGGGTAACTTGCCCTCCTATCCAAGCCAGCACGCTAGCCACGATCCCGAGTCCGGCCATGGAACTCCCGGTTGTCTTCTGTGTCAAGGCGATGATTACCCGTGGAGGTCGGGCTACACCGGTCTGCCCTCTCAGTGGGCTCTCAGACGATACTAGGCAAAGCGGCCTGCCGGTACATGTATGTAACCATTTGTTTGTTTGTTTGTTGGCACTGGAGTCATGGTCATGGATGGTTGTAGCGAGCGTTTCTGTTATGACGACTGTGTTTGGTCAATGGTCATAGGGATGATACCCAAGGCTTTGGAGTCAGGCTGGCGGGAGTCATGGATGGATTTAAAAGGGCTTTTCGTTGCTCGAGATACATGTAAGAAGCATGCGTTTCAGAGAAGTACATAGACAAAGAAGCCTTTGCCTTATCGTGGCCATTCTCAGCTGACAAACGGAGTCCATTTACCTTGGTTGTCCCGGCTCTTGTTGTCAGCTCCAACGAACCCGAACTTCTTCGTGATTGTAACCAACCCCTGTTCATGAAAGTGAGTGTCAAGAAGAGAAAATCTGCTCGCATCCTACGATTCTCTCCACGTTCGAACATTTTCCTAGGAAGCTTTCTATCCTTTGATGATTGGAACGATCAAAAATAATTGTCTCAAGTATCCCCCGATGACTCTGAATCGCCCTTGGATTCTACCATTGAGCTCCTGATTTTTCCGTTGCATTTCCAGGGCCCGATATCGCAACTTGCCTCGCACCGCTATAGCGCAAAAATACTACACCACCTGTAAGCTTCCACATGGAAGTATACACCTCCAAGAGAAGCTAGGACATAAGTACCGGGCATACAGGGGCCATTGCGGGCGAGAGACCTATGAAGAGCTTTACACATGAGAAACCCTACCCACGCACATACCCTATGCACTGGCCTATCCTACCTGTTTACCGGCACTCCCCCCTCCAGGTACTTAGGCTGCTATGGTTTCCGTTTCTCCTCTTCCGTTTAGGTTGACAACTAAAGAATTAAGCCTTTTTCGTTGTCGCCTTTTCCAGCCTCCAACAACATACCTTACCTTTTGCTGTGACGGCTGGCACCAGCTGTGCCGTCGGCGGGCCCATTCAGGGTGGCTTCCTTTTACAAGGTGGTTCAGGTTCTGAGTGTGTGTCCGGTGTGAATCTGGAGCCTTCCCGCTTTTAAGAGGTCGTGGGTATAAAACCCTGTCCTTCCTATCTAGCGTAGCATTCCTCTTTGGGGTTTCCTCCTTCTTTTATTTGTTCTCTTCCGTCTAGGTAGCCAAAGAACGTAGTCATTCCAGCACCTCGCCTTCGCTTTGCTACGCTTGTCACAGTTTTGGAGTTTATGTAAGAAAGTTGCGACGAAAGGCTTGGAAGTTTCTGAAAATATGTGTGCCTTTAGAAACGTAATATGACTGTGGGTAACCTTTTCATCTTTTTTTGGCGTCTTATATTGTGTCTTTGCACGCTTCACCGCTGTGATCTGTGTCGGAATTGGACGCGGCCGAAGGGAAGCTTTGAAGATGTTGGCGAGCCTTCGGATTTGATTGCGACAATACCGTACCTATGCATTGTCTGCGGGCTGGTCAACTTGTTAGCAAGTGGTTCGTGGTCACTTTTGACCTTTCTGACGCGCTTTTGGCCTTGGTAGTAGCCAGGAAGTCGTCGTTGGTATCGGATTCACCCGAGGCGAACCTGACCGAATTCCCATCAGCTTTGGTCTTCTTGGGAGGCACGGGAGGCGAGCTAAACTCGTGATCTGTGTTAGAACTTGAATAAAAGGAAGAGCGATAGAAAAGAATCCCCTTCCCATAATAAATGAACGCTGCGATACTATGTTATGACAGATATAGGCTCGCAGTCGCATGCCGATGTGCCGAGATCGATGTTGATGTTCGTTCAGATTCAGTGAGTGATGATTTCATCCCCACTCGCTACCCTAGGTTCGGTGACCTGAAACGAATGCCATTTTTGCCTACCGTAGTAGGTATTCTCTTATCTTTCCGGCGACATCTGCCTCGAGTTCTCTTTGTCAGTTGCTTGCCTCAACGCGAACGCGTCACGAGTTTTTTCATCTTTCCCAAAACAGCACCCTTATGTCCATTCGCCGATATGTTTGGAACCACATAATTTTCTCCTTCAAATCTCCTAACGCGTTTTTGTTGGCATCTTCAGGCATACAACAACGTCCAGAACGCATACAGAGTTCATCGCCCCGGTTACTTGGGTATAACTAGTACGTTCTGTCAGAAAAGGGACTCCTTGCTGTCTGAAATTTTAGCGTTCTCCTACGCAAAGAACGCCTGAGTTCCCTTTAACAAAGTCACTATCCAATAAGCTAGCATTGTCTTCATCCAGGCCTATTTGCACGCAGCAACGATGTCTTCAAGCGAACTGAAATCCAAACGCAGCCCTCCAAGTCGGAGCCAGTCGCCCAGGTCTGGCGGACATAATCCCAAGCGGCCGAAGTTCAATGGTGATCCGGTTATTGACCTAACCGGAGACCCGGAAGACGATGAAGACGATCAAAATACGGTAATGAGATTAGAATCATCCTCAAAGTAGAGAATCTAGATGATACACGACTTGCACGATGCAACAGCAGGGCATCTTTCAGATAGAGTGAAGCGTCACAAAAGTTACAAACCCCCAGGTGAGGAAATCGCATGATGGAGGAGCATGGGAACTGCAACTTTAAGTGAGACACCGTGCTTTAAGACTAGAAGATCCATGTCTAGAGTACCAGCTTGTTTAGCCCACGGAAATCCAAGGGATACCCACAATGTGTATTGGCACCAGCCTTTTGTTGTCTTCTCGAACTGTGATGTCGATGTGTCAGAGCACTGCGAGGCTAAGTGAAAACTCAAGACTTGTAGGGATGATAAAACCACTGACTGGAAAGGCCTCTACTGAAGCGGAGGAGTGATAAGGAAAGTAATACAAGCCGCAGATGGACAAAAGCACCGTTTTTTAAGGAGAGTCAAATGCAGAATTGTGACGGAATGAACGACTAGAACTTTTAAAGAGAAAGAGCGACGGGGAGTATCCCAACTACAGCTCGTCCATCACGCTTCTTGGGGAGCAACTTCTCCCAATATGCCGCACGATATTAAGCGCCCTCACAGTCCGAACAAGAGGAAGGAGTGACCGGAGAAGGCGGAATATGAGTTGATATTGTGGCCCTGGTCATTCGGGCCTACATCATACTTGACCTCTTTGATAAGGTACCTTAGTCCTCACTTGAGGCTTTTCCACCACCTTATTTTCCAATTCTTTTCCAGCAGTCCATGAACTCGGTTATGACCTTCTGCAATGTCCAAACCCCTCAACGAGGGGTCATGGCCTTCAGAGGTTTGCAATGGCATACTTGGTACTAATGTGCCAAAATGTCGACGACCGGTCAGGTAAGTGGTAATTTCCAGTCGTCCAAACTTATAGTTTTCTGTTTGTTACTCTGAAACAAATCCGTAATTCTGCCTGCTGTATACCGGTATTATCCCCCCCTCTCTCCGCGTTAGCTCTTCTCCACGCGGGGCACGCGTTACAACTTTTTTTTTCTTTCCTCACGCAGCACCATCCTTTCGTCCATTCGCATATCTGTTTGGAAAACACAGAAACCTCTGCTTCGCATATTGAAACACGTTTATTTTGTCTCCCGACGCGTTAGTTCACCTTGAATTCAACTCCTGTTAACCCTAATACTAGCCAGCTAACCTGACGATCTCTTTATCCAGGTAGATTCGTACATAACCATGCCTTTGAGCGCTCTGAAACGCAGCGCTCCTAGTCGGAGCCCGTCTCCTAGGTCCGGCGGGCATGACCGCAAGAGAGCGAGGTCGAATGATCACCATGTTATTGATCTGACTGGTGACTCGGATGACGACGAGATCAACGACATGCTGCATAGCATTGAAGAAGAAGCCGGTGAGCTTCTTGCTGGTCTGGAGGGTGATACCAAAGTCAAGATTGAAGCTCCTCCCGCTTCGCGCCCGCCCGCCCCAGCGTTGAAGACTCCTGTGCCTGAAGTCAAAGAAGAAGAGGCATCGAATGCCAACAATCCTGCGCCCGTGGCTGACCCCGCCTCCAACAAGAATGGACCTCGCGAGGCTGACGAGCGGGAACTTCCCGCCGTTGAGAGCGGAGAGCTTTTCGATTTGCGCCAGGCTACGCCAGTCTCGCAAAACCCCCCTGCTGCGATCGAGGTCAACCCGGCTGCCTCCAGTTCTCTCCCGGTACATTCACCCGAGCCAGCACCAGCCACAGCTATGGCTGTAGCTTTACCTTCAGCCCCGTCTCCAGCCGCGCCGCCTCTCCGAAGCCCTTCGCCTGAGCTCAAGGCCATCGAGGTCGTCGACCTCACTGGCGACAGTGAGGACGAGCGCGAGCGGTCCCCGCGCTCTCCAACGCCCTCCATCGATTACCGCGTTGCCCTCTGCGCACAGGAGACGCGGGACTTCGTCGGCACATTGGTCATCAATCCTCGCCCTGATGCCCAATTCATCGCAGAACGAGCTTGCACTTCTCCTCTTTGGGTTAACAACGTCCCGCAGATTATCATCTTCTGCGATGGCTCGAGCAGGGTGACACCGTTGATGGCGTGGGAGGGTACCAATGGGGGTTACGGAGTTGTGCTTCGGAACCCATGGGCCGCCGCCGCCGCCAACAACCAAGACGGCAACGGATCGGTGTCTGGGTTTGAAGTCCGTTCCTGGTCTCACCACAAGACGTATTCCAGCGCCGAAGCCGAAATGGCCGCCATCGCCCAGTCCTTGGACACTTCGGTCGGTTTGATGGGCCAGCACCGCCCTCCTACAGCCGAGGTGCAGATTTTTACGGATTCGATGGAGTGCTGGGACCGAATCACGCGGGGGTTGAACCACAGGCAGGACAGGTTCTCTTTTAGACACACGGAGCCTATCTTGCGAGCAATCGTCTGGTTGTCGCACCGCTTGAAGATCATGGGCGGTAAGCTGACGGTGCGTTGGAATCCTCGGAGGTGTGCAATCGGGCCGGAGCTGGCGGATGACGCAGCGGGTGTGCATTCTCGAGGTGTTAATCCCGAGGGCTTCAATCAGCGGAACGTGCCCTTTTTTCGGAGAGATGGAATCTTAAACATGTTGAATGAGCAGATTGGTGCCGTGGTTCGTGAGCGCAGAACTCCTGCGCCTCGTAACTAGGTTGATGGTTGGTAATGTGCGGCTTGATCGGTGTTGGAGTTTGGGGATTGGGATGTCCTACTAATGTAGTGTTCGTGGTGCGCCATATTTGCTTCGTCAAAAATCGTTTGCAGGGCAGTGTCTGGTGGTTTGTTTGTCTTTGTTAGCTTTTGTATTCCGAAGAGACATTCCGAATGAGACCTGTGCCAACACCTCCTAAGCGCTGCTATGCCATCGTGAAATACATGCCCGTGAGTACACTTAGAAAAACCTGAATCTCCGTAACCGAATCAACCAACATGTTAAGATCAAGGCCAGGCTTTCTTCATCAAAGAAATGCCCCAAACTGACAAATCTTTCGATGGGTATTCAGGCGTTCGGGGCTCGATGACGAAGGATAATTGCTTCCATTAACGAATGAGACATCCATCGACTTGGTTGTGTGGGAGGGATCTTGTACGTTTTCAGACGTTAACCCCTCGCCCTTCATTTAGGCTTGGTTGCAGCACATCACTGCTTACCTTAGTTGCATGCAGCACGTCGAAATCTGGCCTGCAGGTTTCGACTCTAGCAGCTTGATTGAGTGAGTTACATGGTGGAAAAGAACAAGAAAGCACAAGCAAAGAACAAAAAGCTACAAAGAGTCAAAAGTGCAAAAAAAAGTGTGGCCCGTATCGGATTCGAACCGATGTCCTCCTCTGAGACGCGTACGCAGACCTAGAATCATTCAAGGCCGGGAATGTTATCCATTACACCAACGAACCACGGAAAGATAGCTTGGAGGGGGGACTTATATACCCCAATCGCGCCTTCCTTGTTTGCAGGCAGGTTTGCCGCGGGGTGGGCGGGCAAGCGGGCGCCGCAGGAAGGAAGGGGAAGGAGGGCTAACCGATAAGCAAGGCGGTGGCGATAAGCGCTTATACCCAGCGATAGCCTACCGGCAGTGATGAAGGGATGGCGGGGAGCACAACTTCACTCAAACACGTCACTAGCTTTGAGCCTGCAGGTCTCATTCTCAACGTTGAGAAAGGAATTATTTCCGACTCCAAGATGGAAAGCTTGCGGTACGCAATCGTAATGATCTTTTCTGTTGCTCAGCTTCATCTTAGAGTCCATGTTTATTGCTGCTTCCCTGGTGGCTTGTTCATTTTGCTATCCGGCCAGGCGGCTTTCAAGAAACAGTACATTCTGGAGCGCTCTTTCACACTGAGTCCGTGTGCACCTACTCTGTTCTGGGAACCACCCCCCAGCTTCCAGTTTGTTGAGGCAACATGCACTTCCTTTCACGGTAATTGAGGTTACATTGAAAAGTGAAAACTTGTGTTGTGCCTGTTGGCAATTGCTCACTGGCACCACCTTTTTGTTCCATGATGTTAGTGGAAGCACTCTGAGAGGTTGCTGCAAGAAGAAGGGGTGCTTATAAACATCAGGAGAGAGGGATGCAATGTTCCACGACCAAAATGAAAGACAAAGAAGAACTTCCTTGTCGCCAGAAAGGGAGGAACATCCATGGTTTGATCGCGACGTATAGAGAAAGTGCAAAAAAGAAGTATGGTTGTCCCGTTCAGGATTCGAACCCGTATCTTCCTCAAGGACCTCAATCAGAAGTGAAATCATTCCACCTCAGGGATGTTGCCATTTACACCACCGAGCCAACCACGGAAAGAGGGCCAGTTAAGGGAACTTATGTACCCCAAGGGCACCTTTCTTGGTTTGCAGGTAGGTTCAGCGCGGGGTAGCGGCCCGGGTGGTAGGCGAGTCACGGGAAGGAGGCAATGAGGGGTACCCGACCCACTGGAACCGACACTCATACTAGGTAGAGCGGTTGGGGGATTACAAACAGCGACACTTCAGTTGCAATTTCACATCCCGCTAGCCATGCCAGGGGCAGGTTTGATTTGATTGGGAACATCTCAATGTTTGAAGGAAGGTCGACCGCAAAACACAACATTCTCCATCCTCTGCACCTGCTTGTGCATCGTGGAATGTACGCTTCTGTCGCATCACTCATGCTTTGTTCCTTCCACATAATGAACTAATCTTTCTTAGTCTCTTGCATCTTCGGCCTTCCTCCCGTGAACTAAACCGGAATGTTTGCCGCGAGGACATCCATGGGAAGTCGGAACCGTTGGTGACCCACTTGCCCACCCGACCCGACCATGCCCTCAGCCAGCATCCCAGACGCACGCACTTTGTTATGTGTGGAAGGTGCATCCGGATCGGATTTTCCATTTGGAAGGTATCTAGACCTGGCTTGGCAGCGTTGTCTTTCCTCCCCTACTAGCAGCCAATAGAGCATTTACCTTGCCATCAAGTTTGCACCTTCTCATTCTACCAACCCCTTTTTCGGCGCTCACGATGTAAATAACGGTGTCGCTTAACTTGGTGGGGTATGCCGTCGCCAAGATGCATGATGTTTTCATTGATTGGTGGTGCGCTCATACACGTTATCGATAGCGTTTGTGTGCTGCGCTTATCGCGCTTGTGGGCTTGGCACATGCCCCGCATTCGACGACATTCAATGTTCGCCATGGAGTCTACCCCGCGGTCTTCTCGGTTTCTCAACAGCGACTTCCTCTTGCAATGAAGTTCATAGTTGACACCGCTCTGTTTGCACATCTAGCGAGTGGTTGCGCCCGTCTTTACTCAGGACAGATCCTCCCTTTTGGAAACCTACCTCTAGAAACGTGCGCGATGTTGCAATCGCAACTTGACTCCACCGTCCTTTGTGCGTGCCTGCAGGGAGTTTCTCGGCCAGATAGGCGCTCCTTCGCTGGAGTTGAAACCGAGAGTGAGGTGAGTGCAAAGCGTCATGTCCAATCACGCCCCTCACCGGCTGGAAAATATTCGCAACAGCGGGCGGTAAGGCCTGTGTCATTTAGAAGCTGCATCCATCCAAAGTTCCATCTCCCCAAGTATTTAACAGGGTGTGGCCCCCCTTCTCCTCTTCATCCAACCAAGCCACCATTGAATCATCTTCCCACTCAAGTTCACATCGTCTCAGTCCTGGAGAACTCCAGCCTTCTGACCTTACGCCCCAACAAACTTCCCGCGCTCCCAAACTTTCTGTCTCTCATCACAACCGAAATCACACCACCAACCCCGACGACATTTCCGCTACGGCTCGTTCTCTGTTCCTGCTCGCGTCCACAAAACCACTGCCTTTTCCCTGTCCCATTCTCGTCATCAACCGGTTGATCGCAACAGTTGACCTTTCTCATGCTTTTTTTCTCTTCTCCTCGCAGTATTCTCTGTTCTATGTAAGTCTCGGTCCTTTCTCCCAAACGCCTCTGCTCCAAGACACTGTATGGCTTTCTTGCGTGGATATTTGCTAACAGATATGCTTGTACTCAGTGCCATTCAGCCGACTGATAGCTCACCTGCGACCAACCTGGTTTGGGACTTTCCGCTAGGCAGACACACACGTTGCTGCGATCCATCTTTTCCACGACTGATTCCCGCCATAATGCCTTCCCTTAAACGGTCCTTGTCTCCGGAACTTTCGACGGAAAGTCACAGGGACAAGCGGTTGAAGCAAAGTTCCCCCAAGAACGTCCGGATCCTGCCAATCAGGGCAAACGAGCACCCAAACCCTACTCCGGCTCCTCAAGATTCCCAAGATGTCGCAGTCAAGGTAGGCACTATGTAGTCTATGTTCAGAATCCCGCGTTCAAGCATATCACTGACCCCCATTCCCGACGACAGGATCTCATTCTCTCTGGACAGAAGAGACCCGTTTGCTCAACGGCGAAGAATCCATATTCACTTCGTTTGTAGATGGATCAGGCCGCTATCCGAACAAAATACCAACGGATCTTGCAAACACGCCGTCTCTCAATTCCAAGTCACAGCTCGATCTCTTTGTTGACCACAACCCTCAGTTCACGATCTTCTGGTGCGACGGATCATGCTCCAACAATAACTACGCTACCATGTTGTCCTGAACAAACGGGGGGTACGCTGTCGTTTTCCGAGACCCCTACGAACCGAGTGACGAATGCCTTACCCGCACCCTCTCAAAAGCGTCGGACGCCATGAAAGGTTTTAAACCTAAGGCAAAACTACTCGTCCTCAGTCTCGACGTGGACGATATGGCATTCCCGCCAGGTCTTTGGGCCAGAGCATGCGGAAGGGGCGGCCGTCGCTCAATGTCTCGGCGAGGTCGAAAAGATAGTCGACAACTACGCTCCTTACTCGGCAACGGTTCGAATCTTTTCAGATTCACAGGATCTGTTAAGACGAATCCGGGACTATCCACCTCCGAGCGAGACACCTGATGTGAAGGACAATATCATGCACCCTATAGTTTGTACTATAAACTGGTACTCACACTACCTTAGAGACAACCGCTGTAAGGTACAACTTCACTGGTTGCCTCGGTGCTCCACATTGAGCGCGGCTATCGCCGACTATGCCGCCGGGCTGTGGCGACGACAGACTACCATTTACAGCCAAGAGGATTTGCTTCCCGCGAAGACAGATGGAATTATGAACAAACTCCACCAGGAGGTCAGAAATGCTGTCCATAGAAGTCTCAGCGAGCCCCCGGACGCCCCTAAGGATAAACGCCCTGCCCAAAGGCGGGAGACTGTTGAGCCAAGGATTTCCGAAACTCGGCCTTCTCCCCCAGTTTTCGGACCCCATCTTCCCGTGATTGAGGAAGACGGTTCTCCCGCGCCCTCCCCGACCACCGAGAAGCAATCCCGGGGGAAAAGGAAGATCAATCGGACCAGATCAGTACGGAGATTAATCGTGTTATTCAAGTTCGCGTCGATTAATTCGTACTTAAGTACCAACTCCAAGATTAATTTAAGGATACCCTGTGGGCGGAATTTGATAAGACGAAGTATTGCACCTATCTCTGGGTTTATCTCGTCTTCGACCATTTGAAGACCCTCGTCTTAAGCGATGCCTTGAAGGGGATAGTTCAAGGGTTTAAGACTGCTATCGAAAAGCTTCCGAGGACAGTGGAGGATGTATATGAACGGATTCTCAATAGGCCCTAGGGTGCCCTACGTACAACATTGCGACGAGTGTTGTGTGTCTTCCTTGCTGCCCAGCGCCCTCTGATAGATCAAGATGCCCCCCATCTTCTTCCTCGACGTCGGTGTCAGCTCCGACTCCCCCTTCTACCCCTCCCAAGCCGGCATCTTCGCCAACGGCAAGATCCTCCGCCTCGACTCACCCAACCAGCCGCCCAACGGCTCCAACGACATCTGGTCCATTTCTTGTGTTTGGCTCTCTTGTTCATCATCGTCTGGCCGATATTCAGAGGGCACCAATTCTACAGATACAGCCACGATTCTATTCTGGGCCGCCCAGTGCGGTCTAGGCCACCCGTGCAGGCCACCCATGCATGAAGGGCCATATTCTGACGGCAGCCCCTCCGGCCCTCAACGTTACAGATGGACGACCCTCTTACGCGGATCCGGCTCCAAAAGTTACGAACGGACCGCCGCCGTCCTACGCGGACGCGACGGGACCAGGACCAAGGGAACCCAAACATGAACTTTCATGATGTGATCAACTGACCGGGAAGAGCGTTGGTTTTTTTTCTTTCTTTCGTTTCTTCTGTTTTTCCGGTCTCCAGCGAAAGTCGCTCGTCACTGGCCTCTCCGCCCCCGATGGCATCGACGTCGACCCCTCCGCCAACAGGATGTACTGGACCAACATGGGCGCCGACGTCAACGACATGGACGGTTCGCTCATGTCCTTCACCCTCGACGGCTCCGACAAGAAGGTCCTTCTCGGCGGAGCCGATGGCGTCTTCACCACGCCCATGCAGCTCGGCAGACCGTCAGCAAAGACATGATATCTCCGAACAAGGACGCCAACGTCGCGAAGCAATGGCCTTTCAGCAAAGACGTCAAGCGGCTCAGACTCTAGCTCAGACCGCGAGAGAGAAGTCCTTGGGAGAGGCCACAATATCAGAGACATTCGGCTGAGGCCCGCATGCCCACTTTGGACGAGTTTCCACCATGGTTCGCTCCCGCTGGATGAGCAGCGTCGGCATCAGATTTTCTCTATTGGTTTATTTTGTTATGGATTTTCTCTTTCAATGCTCCTGGACCGCTCCCGAAGCGACGTTCTCCGACCCCTGGATGCTGCTGGGACCTTATGCCAATCTGCTTCGCGGTGTTTGGTTAGGAGCTTCAACCGTAGCTTCTTCCTACTGAGGGCTAGTTAATGTAGTTCGTTCTTTTAACCCCAAATCAAAGCAAACTTCTTTACTTTTGCTCCTTCCTTGTTCCTGTTCTTGATCAGTGAGGAGCCTCTACTTTGCCATCCCGTCCTCGTTTTGTCCAGAGAAAAGGCCAAAAAGTCCAGAGGAAAAGAGATAAAGTACAAAGAAAAGGCGACAACGTCCAGAGGAAAGGCGTCACAGTCCAAAGTCTACGGCGTACAAGTTTTCCGTAACCCAATACCACGGGCAGAGACTTGTTGAGTTTGGCCATCCATGGCTGCGGTACCTCGAGCGAAGCCTGGGACAGCAGTTTATGTTGGACGAGAACAAGGCTGTGATTGAGGAGTGGCTGAGCGGCATAGAGCCAGCGGATGAGGAACTGCCGACAGAGGAGTCTGCCGTTGAAGAGGAAACTGCCGAGAAGAAAGCCGATGAGCCCTCAAACACAAACCTCCCAAAGACCTCAGCTTCGACAGCGTGCAAAGCTATTTGGCTGCCCCTGTCACATGGCTCGGACAACCGATGACTCACAAGGAAGTGGAAGCCATCGGAGAGATCGGTCGCATCATCTTGGCAACCCTGCCCTCAACATCCAGCAGAGGACAAATTGGAAAGAAATGACTTCAGCGTCCGATCCTGGAGATCTAGCTTACCACATTCATTCCAGCCGCCACGTCGATATCGCCGCGCCATCTCGCAAGGGCATAGAAACCGTCGCCAGCTTGCATAAGAATTCAAGACGCCCAAGACCATGTCAGACGATAGGGGCGGTGAGGCAGCTGTCGGAATTACTTCTGGGTGAGTGTGACCGCTATTCCGATGACGGGGAGAATGAAAACTGAAAGATATGTATTTTCGCTGTCAGATACACCATGAGCTCTCGCCAGTAGTTGCGGGAACTGCTACCGAGAACCACCCCAGCACACCGTGGCATCGGTTCTTCGTCAAGTTCGCTCAGAAACATGTTGAGTGAGCTACCGTTTATTGTGGACAAGTTGAGGGAGGCATTTAATGTGCTGCCGAAGCTAAAGGCTCTTTTGGATATGCCCCCGAGAGAACACCACCTTTGGTTTTGGTATTTTGGGCTCGGCCCTCGCAGTCATCACATGTGCTCATTTCGTGGGGAACTTTTGGTGGTTTTCCTGGCCCGCCCACAAAAGAGCTATTCGAGAGGAGAAAGAAAAGTAAGAAGGAAAGAAGTAATAATATGGGATAACCTCACCGCACCCTGTCGTTTCCTAGACGTACCCTATAAATTTTGAGACTTTCCACCATCATCAACCACTATGGCCATGTTAAACCCTCAAAGCTCGTATAAGAGCATTAATAAGATTATTCCTATATACCTCCCCCTTTATCTTCATAGTACTACTTATTTCGACCCTGCTCTTCGCGAGTTAGTACCTAGTTTGCATTCACAACGCCGCCCTTTGCAACTGACTCGCAAACAGTCTCTATGAGGGGTCTCAAAGTGAAATAAAGGTTGAGAGAGAGGACGTAATACTCCGAACTCCAATCCCAACGTCTTTTCCAAGAGGGTTGGTTGAAATTGGGTGAAAAACTCCGGGGGGACCTTAGGACACAGGGTACGTGTAAGAAACGACAGGGTGCGGGGAGGGTTTCCCAATAATATGTTCAGTTTGTTCTTACTGTGACTCGTACCACAAGCCAAGGTTGAACGTTGTAGCTTAGACTGAGTATAGGGTTGTTCTGTTCGGATTAACAGTTTGGTTGTACTCTGCTGCAATGCGGCAGCCCTGGCGTTTGCGAAGCAACTTTGGGCCATTAAGTCAATCAGCGATGAAGAATGGGAAAAACTGGATGGTCCGGAAAGGAGTGAATGAACATTGCGAAAGTTCGGACGAGGGCAAGGGGTATATAACTTTCCCTTCCGGCACTTGCATCCAACAACCAACTCGCTGGTAAATGGCCCCGTGGTGTAACGGTAGCACACGTCATGAGAAGCAACGTCCCAAGCCCAGGTAAGGCAGGCGGTCAGCGGACCAACGACACGTCCCAGGTTCGACTCCGGGCAGTGGCACTCCAACATTTACCAGCACTCTTTTTTTGTCCTTTTCGGGCACGCCGTCTGCCTGTCTGTTTTTTTTTCCGTTCTCTTTTGGAAAAGGACTGCACTGGCTTTGTTCATATCAAGCGAGGTTCGTTGCTGTGAGTCTGTGACGGACGACGATGTGTCCCCAAAGTGCACATGCACCGCCGCAACGATAGAGACCACTTTGAGTGCCGAACTTGCCAGGTTCGATAATTGGTGAAAGCGGTCTTCCGGCACCATGACAATTGCACTTTGGTGACGCCTTTCATGGTCGGTGGGTTCAGTTGAAAGTATTACTACCTCTCCTGAGTTGGTTGCGCTTCGTGAAAGTGGAATATCAGCGTTTCTTCTGGACCCTTGCGCAACACATCTTGCTGGTAAATAGCCCCGTGGTATAATGGTAGCACACGACGATTAAGCGAAGCCCAAGTCTAGGTAAGGCCGGTGAGAGCCGAAAAGCAGGTCCCAGGTTCGACTCCGGGCAGCGGCATCCAAACATTTACCAGCACCCTTTTTGTGTCCTTTTGCTTTCATTTTGCGTTTCGTCTCTCTACTTTGCTGCGGTGTTCATCTAATCTTTTTGTTGCTTCTTTGTTCTTGCGAGATATCATGTTGTACCTTTGCTGCTTTATTGCATAGAAGGTGAGGTTTGACTGTTTGTGCTTATTGGACACTCATCCGTAGCTCATCACAAGCTCAAATGTACCTATTCGTTGACTTGAGCGCGAGATTGGCATCCTTTCCTCGCGCTGTCAATCCGGGGGCTGCCTGGCTTCGAAACAGATGATCAAGATCATCAAGGGGCATAATGTGCTCTGATCGGTGCAGTGTCCGATAATGAGGGCGGAAGGACCCTCGTCGCGCCTTCCGTTGCGAATTGACCACGGGCCGGGATTGCTGCCCTAGTGTACGTCATCCCAACCAAAAAGAAACGGGGCTGAGGAGACAACGTGAGCCCCGGGATATGTCCCCGTCGATATCGCATCACAGTCAAACATACCTCTAAAGCAACACGGACGGCTGAACATCCACATAACTATCACCATCGAGTTCAAGTCATGTCATGTATATACACTTTTATCACTTACACTCCCACCAAACACCAATCACCCACCACCTAATACCAAAGCCCACAAACCAGCCCCCTCCCAATCTGTCTCATCATCCCCCTCTCTCCTCTGACCATCATCCTCCCCTCCCTCAGATCTCCCCCCCTCCACTTTTCCTCTATTCACTTCTTCCCCATCCCCATCCCCTCCTTCATCCCCTCCTTCATCTCGCCCATCTTCTTCCCCATCCCCTCCATCCCCTTCTTCATATCTTCCCCCATCTTCTGACCCATTCCTTGCTTACTGCCGCCAGACCCCTCCATACTTTGCTGCTGGCCCATACCACCCATGCCAGAGGAGCCACCCATGCCACCGCCGGAAGACGACGAACCCTGGGGCATGTTCTGCTGAGGGGACGCGCCCTCGGGCATCATCTTGGCTTTCATGTCCTTGGTCATGCCGCCTTGCTTGCCCATTTGCTGTTGGGCGGATTTAGAGGACATGGAGGACTGGGGTTGGGAGGATTTTGGCATCATTTTTTCGTCGTCGTGCATCTGGGATTGGGGTGTTAGTGTGTGTGTGATGAGGTATATAACTGGGTGTTGGGAAGGGCATTTAAATGGGGGTGAGAGGAGGTAGGTCATGGGGAAGGAGGCAGTGGACGGGACACGCTTCGACACAGATGTCCAGGGGCGAGCGATCAAAGAGATCGATCGAATGGGGGATTGAGACGAAAAATGGGAAAAGACTGAGTGGAAGAGGGGGGAAAATAGGGATGGTCAACAACATACATGAGCCTCCTCCTCAGCGCGGTAAATCAGATCATGACCCTCCTCCAGAGCGAGATCGGTGTATCCAGGCTCCTGCTCGCCCTCGTGCCTGTTATGGTGCGGGTGCTGACCAATGTTCTCCTGGTGCACCTGCTTCTTTCCGTGCTGCGGCATGTTGTGATGTTGTTCTTGGTTTTGATGATGTTGTTGACGTTCGTGATGATACTGATGATGCATGGAACGAGATCTAAAGAAGAAGGAGGAGGGAAGTAGAGAGCACGTAATTGTGGGAAGGAATGAAGAGAGAGGGTGACCTTCATATAGGGACGTTAGGTGTGGGATGGAGAAGCATGGACTGAAGATGTCATTTTGACGGCGGTGTCTGGAGAGCATGTACGGAGAGTGGACGTCATTGCTTGAGGGGTTGGGGAGCTGGGGGTTACGAGGAGGACTCGGGCGTGTGGTACGAGGTCTGTGGACACTAACAGTTGTGCACCCGATTTTGGTGGAAGGATGATAGGGGCGTGTTCCTTGAACGGAACTGGAAGCTGGGCGAGAGCTTCCGGAGCTATGGCCCATGGGTTACTTGGAGGCCGAACTGTGAGGGACAGATGACATCGATTCTGATGTGGATCCTGCTCAGCTGCTCGTAAACAGGCAATGACAGATGACAGTGGGGAAGATCTCAGCGACTGAGAAGCTCTAGGTGTTTTGCCGTCTGAGGCAGCCCATCGGCCTAGCAGGAAGTCGAGGAGGGACAGTATCATGAACTCCAACGTGAATGGAATGCGTGCGAGGAAGGACATCAGAAAAGGGAACAAAATGTGGAACTGAACTATTATCATTTGCGTATTTCTTGGTCCATCTCGACAGGCTTCTAGCCAGACTTCTCTTCCTCCGTCTTGCTGTGCCTGTCCGTAACAGTCATGTAAAAGTCGTCATGGAAGAAGATGTGATAGTTGCGGCTCTTCCACGGTTGCGTAGGGTTGGCGAGTTGGAAATCGAAGTTCCGAATGAGCTGTTTGACGCCATATTAGCATTTTGTTATCACCCCTTCATTCGCAGACCCCGCGACTCTTTCATCGTCTAGCGTCTGCCCTTTGTCTCCGGCAACCCAAGCAGAAAGGAAAAAAACTTACCTGGCAAAAAATCTTATTCAACTCCAGCAACGCCACCATCTTGCCCGCGCACTGCCACCTCCCATACCCAAACACCATCTCCACCACGCTCTTCATCTCCCTCCTGCGTTCCGCATCACACCCCTCCTCCTCCAACCACCTCTCCGGTCTCCAGACATCACTATCGACGCCAAATACCTCCTTATTCCTCTGCATCGCGCCAAACGTAGCCGTAATCTTCGTTCCACCGGGGATGAATCTTCCGTCGCGGGTGTGATCGCCCTCAGGCGGCACGATCTTGAACGGAAGTCCGTCGAAGGGAGGGCGCATGCGCAGGGACTCGTAGATTACCGCTTGGAGGTAAGGGAAAGAGAGGGATTCGGAGTTGGTGATGCAAGGGGAGGAGATGAGACCGGATGCGATGCTTTCGTCGATTTCGCGCTGTAGACGCGTGTAGGCGCGCGGGTTGGAGCAGAGGTAGAGCAGGCCGGAGCGGATGCCGGTAGCGGTGGTGTCGGAGCCGGCGAGGATTTGGAAGATGGATTCGGTTTCGCATTGGCGTTGGGTGAGGCCGCGGCGGATGAAGGAGCCCTGTGACGGTTGGAGAAGATTAATGGGGAGGAAGAAAAAGGTAGAAAGCGAGAATGGGAAGACTTACGAGCATGTCCTGCTGGTCTTTGGCGTCAGGAGCAAAACGTTTGGTGACGATTTCTCGAGCGACCCTGTGTCCTGTCAGTCATCTCCCCAAGCAAGCCGAGACAAGGACAGAAACCCACTTCATGATCAACCCCATCCCCCTCGGATCTTTCGTCGTCGGTCCAAAGATCTTCAGGAACAACGGATTGCTCAAAATCTTCCCGACCATGGGGATAGTTGCCCCCATGGCGTTAGCATAGACCAGATTGTGGACCATGTAGATATACCCAAACACGTCCTCCTCCTTGGTGATATGATCAAACTCGATCTGGAACGCCGTCTTGCAGATAACATCCAGCGTGAAATACTGCACCATCTGGCCGAACTCCAACATTTCCCTCCCCGCTGGTGATGTCGACCCCTTGGGGGCAGCGTACTTGGCCCTGATCTTGTCGACAAGCTTGCTGATCACGTAGTCGATATCCCTCTCCACGCCGGTGTTATCCCTGCCTGAGTAGCCGGGAGCCATCTTGCTCTTGAGCTTGTCGTGGTAGGTGGTAGAGGTGGTGCTGAACATGTTATCGTCATAAGGATCGAGGCGGTTGAGCTTGTACCAGTTCGAACGGACGTAGCGCGAGCGCGCGCCGGACATGCGCCGAATCAGGTCGAGTTCGGTGGTCATGAGGTCCGAGGGGCCGATGCGCACGGTGGACGGGTAGCCGGGCTCGACGCCGCCGTACTTGTCTTGAGCGGCATGGGCTTCTTCACCCATTTGGCCCGAGTGGATGATCTTGAAGATCCAGAGGTAGGAGAATTTGCCGAGCCATGGGCCGTCGAAGTGACGCAGGCGGTACCAGGCGAGGACGGAGGAGGTGATGTAGTAGACAACGAGGAGGGAGATGGTGATGAGGATGATCGTCTTGGGAGATGCATTTGTGAGATGAGAAGGGTCGAAGAAGCCCCCGAGGGAGGCCTTGGTGGGGAGAATCATGTTGGGCAACTTGACGACTCTGTAGTCGTCCCTGTCCTGGAGGAACTAGACCAGGAGAGTTTCAAGGCCGAGCCGTCATGCTTTATATCCCCTCCCTGACAAAAAGACATGATGAACTTTTCCTTTTCACAAGCCCGACTTACACCTGTCCGGCACACCATTCCCGTAAGTCCCGACTAGTCTCGTGTAGAAGCTAGTGTAGCCGCATCGTGTTGTGAGCTGGATGTCAGTAGGGTAGTAGTATGGTGGAGTTCGGACCCTGACGATGGTTGCACGAACGAAACATCACAGCCTGTCTACACTAGACTTGAACCACTCGGCCCACAGCAAGCAACTGGCCAATCCAGCGAAATGATCGTCGCTCCGAACTAACTGTTGCCGGAGTTTGTTCCCCGCGCGCTTCTGCAGTGGTTTCGGCGAGCCTCTCAAAGCAGTGATGGTTTTTTCTAGCTTGCTTCAGGAGGTGGAGAAGGTGGAGGTGATTGCGATAGCGAAGAAGAAGGCGCGGACCGTGCCTAGGGTGGTACCGGCTTGTCGACAAAACAAGCTTTTAAATCCTGTCGACATGAAGGTATCTGTAGAGCGCTTACTGATTGCGAACGCCGAACAGTCCGATACTGACAGGGACGGTTACATTTATCACCGGCATCTGTCCGAGTGAGGGTGCATACCTTACTATGCTTATCGTGAGACGATAGCCGCGTAGACCACCTGGCCGAATTGCGTGGTGGGAGCAAAGTTCGTTCGTGGACGAAGGGAGCATCACTACCGCTAATACTCATTATTAACGGATATGCTTTGTGGATCATACTAGGATTATGAGCCAATCCAGTTGAAAAGAAGCTGCATATGTAGCTAAGAGTAGACTGAAAACATCCGCATGTGTGGATGGTCAGAACAAGCCAGGGTGTGGGCGACGGGCAAGAAACGTGAACAATGGCATAGGTTGTGGGACTGTATACGGAAGAGAATGGGTATCGCGGCTTTGACATTTTGGACGGAGAGAAGAAAGAAGAAGCTTATCCGAGGAACGTGCACACGGGCAAGCGGTATGCTGTGAAATGTTAGCAAGGAGTACAGAACACAGGAAGCTAAACGTCCGGGACTTACTATCAAGAGTCCAATACCTCCTCTTAACACCCTCCCATCCGTCCTTGTCGGCCTCCGCCAGCTCCTTCATGTCCACAGGAATCTCCGTCCACTCCACGTCCAGACCGGCATCAGCCAGGTGCATCTCAGCGACCTTGGTGTAGACATCATAGCAAATCTGGCGATCAGCTCCCAGTCCGTTGAAGAAACCGAAGATGCCGTTGGAGTCAAGCAGACCGGGGATGTACTCGGCGAAGAACATGCGCAGCTGGCCGTAGTCCTCGCCGAAGGTGTCAAAGTAGATGGCATCGTAGACATGGCCCTCCTCCAACAGCTGCAGTCCAATCTGCTGCCACTTGCCCTCCCAGACTCTGTAGGCACCGGGAGCCGGACCGCTCTCTTCCCAGGTGGAATCGAACTTGGACTCGGGTGTGGAGATGTACTCGAGGACTTCGGGATGGGCCTCGATGATATGATGGACGGCCGGCTTGGTCTCGGCGAACATGCCATCGATGATACCCATGCCAAAGCCGATGTTAAGGATCCTCTTGCCGGGCTCCTTGTTAGGGAGCAGGGCGTCGACGCTGCGACGCATAATGTCGGTTTCCCAGGCCATCATGACACCGTTGCCGGCGTCGTCGACCAGCTTGCCGTCCGAGTAAGCAACAGTGGAGCGGAGATACTTGTCGCTGGTGACTTGCTCCTCGAGGTTAACTGCAGGCGGCTGGAAGACAGCGGGCTTCTCTTCCTCAGCAGTCGCCTCATCCTTTTGAGCACCCTCGGCCTCTTCCGCGGCGACAAGCTCGGGAGCCTCTTCGCCATCCTCAGCCTGTGCCTCCTCACCCTCCGCCATCTCCTCATCCTCATCATCACTGTCCAAAGCCTCATAGCCATCCATCAGACCAAACAACATCTCGGCCCTCACACCAGCATTGACGCAGAGCTCATACAGCTCAGGCCTGTTGAGACGGGCAGCAACACAGCCGGGAGTCTCGTTGTTGTTGTCGACATCGTTCCAGATGGCACCCCACATGAGCAGCTCCGAGACGGTAGCCTTGGCCTTTTCGAGGTCCTCGGGAGTGTCATCCTCAGAAGGAGCACCGCATGAGCGGATGGCAGCGTGCAGGGGAGATTCGCCCGTCTTGGGGTCCTGGCCTCTCGCGACTTCGGGTGTGTCGATCAGCTTCTTGACTGTCTCGAAATCGTGGGCCCAGGCGGCCGTGAGCATGCGCTGGATCTCGGGAGGGCAATCCTCCGAGATGCGGACTGATATCGAGTCGTTGTCGGACATGGTGGCTGGTGTTTGGGAGTGATGTTGACTGTTGATTGAGTGAGAGTGAGGCCATCAAGTGTCTCGATTGGGCAGTTTATTTTTTCAGTGGGGCATGCAGATTCAACGGCTCAGGGTTAGTGGTGGTCAAAAGCACGATGGACAGGGTTATGTGTAAGAGGTATTGTGCAAAAGCTGCTGTGGCCGGTATAGCTGTAAATAGGATCTGATGTTCGACAGTCACCTACATCTTTTACTCATCACCATCATAATTCCATCCCACATCTCTTGTTTACCATTTCTTTGTCTGGAGGTATTCGTTCTCTCTTCACATGACAAAGATAGCGCTCTACAGCGGGCCCATCCGTCGTTAACAGATTGTCGCCCGAGACAGGCCCTTCCCTGTTAGTGCACGGCCCACTGCAGTGACGATATCACCCCACTTTGAACGACACTCGGATCAAGTCCTTGAGCACCAGACACGGGCTCCACTTGATTGGCCAATGGCAGCAGCTGTCTGTGGAACGTGCCTTCATGGTGACCTCAGACCGCCCGGCCCTGTCACTAAGTCGCCCTGTACACGTAGCATGCACTAACAGCTCGACGCAGACAGCCTGCAGCATCAGTGCTAGTGTCGCGGCCAATTTCTGGTATCATCAGTTCCATCTTTTCGCATCAACTCCATGCCAATAACAAACCACGACCACGAACCACTCGACAACCCCATGTTCGCACTATTGTCGCTTCTCCCTGTAGTCACATTCTAGCCGGCCTATCGATACTACCGAGACGAAAAAAGCGACCAACCGATTACCGCACGCTCTCTCCTTCGCACCGGCGTTCGCTACATCGACCATTGACTACCCGGCCGAGTCACACGACCTTTCTTCTTTGCGCGACCCATATCTACTCCCGTAGGCCCGTCAGCTAGAATCAGGTACGAAGCTACCCGTAACGCTTTCTGATCTATCCATTGTCCCGCTCTTCGCGTCTTCCACGCCCATGCTAATCGTCCAGGATCTCAAGACAGGAAAACAGACGTGGCACTCGACCAAGTATCGATTCTCGAACAAACCCCGTCGGTTGCGCCCAGGGCTTATCGTCATGAAGTTCGGCGAACAGCTCCGCTCCAGCATCATCCGCGAATACCAATGGTACTACATCGACTATGACGGCCTCAAGGCCGACCTGAAGCGCCCCAGCGGCACCTCCAATGGCAACGGCAAGAGGGTCGAGTGGACAGAGGAGGATGAAAAACGCTTCGTCAGCAAGCTCGAGGCCGAGCTCGACAAGGTCCATACCAAGCAGCAGGTCAAGGCCATGGAGATCTCGAGGAGGATAGCTGTCACGGAGCGCGAAGTCAGAGATGTCATCAACCGTCTAAACGAACGGGGTCTGACTGAAGATGGCCCGACAGAGGAGGAGTTCATGCTGCTGGAGGAGGATCTAAGCGATATCATCGCCGATGTCCACGACCTTGCCAAGTTCGTCCAGGTGAACTATACCGGTTTCTACAAGATCATCAAGAAGCACGACAAGATGACGGGATGGCGGTTGAAGCCCGTATTCGACGCACGTCTCAAGGCGAAGCCATTCTACAAGGAGAACTACGATGCGTCGGTCGTGCAGCTGTCGAAGCTGTACGATTTGGTCAGGACAAGAGGCAACCCCGTCATAGGCGACAGTTCTGCTGGCGCAAGTCAAGGCAGCTTTATCCGACACACCACCAAATACTGGGTGCACCCCGACAACGTCACCGAACTCAAGTTGATCATCCTCAAGCATCTGCCCGTTCTTGTCTTCAATCCGAGCAAAGAGTTTGAGGAGGCTGACTCCGCCATCACATCCATCTATTACGACAACCCCGACACGTTCGAGCTATACGAGGGCCGATTGAAGAAAACCGAGGGTGCCGAGGCCATCCGTCTGCGCTGGTACGGTGGCATGCAAACCGAGACCATCTTCGTCGAACGGAAAACACACAGGGAAGATTGGACCGGCGAAAAGTCCGTCAAGGCCCGTTTCGCCCTGAAAGAAAAGTTCGTCAACGCCTACATGCGCGGCGAGCTTCTTCCCGCCGCTATCTTCGAAAAGGCCCGCAAGGAAGGCAAGAAGTCGGAAAAGGCCATCGCCGAGGAGGAGCGCCTCGCCTCCGAGATCCAGTACCGCGTCCTTAAGAGGGGCTACAAGCCTGTTGTCCGCTCCTTCTACCACCGCACGGCCTTCCAACTCCCCGCCGACGCGCGTGTGCGCATCTCCCTCGACACCGAGCTGACCATGATCCGCGAAGATAACCTGGATGGTGTCCAGCGGTCTGGTGACAACTGGCGGCGCATGGACATCGGCATCGATTACCCTTTCTCCCAGCTTCCTCCCAGTGACATCTGTCGCTTCCCGTACGCCGTCCTTGAAGTCAAGTTGCAGACACAGCTCGGCCAGGAACCGCCCGAGTGGGTCCGCCAGCTGATCTCTAGTCACTTGGTGGAAGCTGTCCCCAAGTTCTCCAAGTTCATCCACGGCACCGCCAGCCTCTTCCCCGATCGCATCCACCTCCTCCCATACTGGTTCCCTCAGATGGATGTCGACATCCGCAAGCCGCCCACGCACGACTTTGGCATCAAGCGCCTCGACCACTCCACCAGGACCAGCACCTCCGACGTCGACGAAGACGACGATTACGATTCCGACGATGAGAACGCAACCGGCACCGGCACCCAAGACAGCCAGAACGGCGAAACTAGCGCTCAAGGCTCTGCTAGAAACCGTAGGGCTCGTGGCGGTCTAACCGCTAATGATGTTGAGGATCAAACCGTTGAGCAGGCTTCCAACGAGAATACTTACCTGTACGACTCCGATGACGAGTCCGACGACGAGAGGCTTGAGATTGCTAGGCAGGTCGGTGGCTGGACGTATTACTCCACCCTTCTGCAAACGCGCGCGAACGCCGCGGCGAGGGTTACCTGGTCAGTTCTAAAGGCGCTGGTCCCTAGGCCCAGAGCGACGGAGGTGCCTAGAAACGCGAACCTGGAGAGTTTGTTGGGTGCGGGCGAGATTCATCAGAAGAGGATCAAGGCGCCCAAGGGAAAGAAGATTTATGTGCCGGTGAGGGTGGAGCCGAAGGTGTATTTCGCTGCGGAGAGGACGTTCTTGGGTTGGGTATGTCTTTCTCTTTCCTTTTCCCCCCTTACCTCAGCATCCCTTCCCCTTTCTCTCATAATTCCTTGCTAACTAACATGCAACAGCTCGAATACTCGATCTACATCGGCACCATAGCCGTAACCCTCCTCAACTTTGGCTCCAGCGGCAAGGGCGGTAGCAGAAGCTCCTTCATCGCTGCCGGTGTTTTCACCTTGTTGGCGTTCCTCTCGCTGTGCTATGCCGTGGTGATTTACCTCTACCGCAGCCGCGCCATCAGGACGAGAAAGGCGGCAAAGTATTACGATAAATGGGGACCGAGTGTTCTCTGCGCGTCGCTGCTTGTGGCGGTGGTGTTGAACTTTGCTTTCGAAGGGAGAGGAAGAGGGGTTTGGTGAGCTGGTGGGTAGTTTGAAGAAAAAAAAGAGGAAGGTTGGTTTGGGTGTTCTGGGGCAGTGGGGGTCGGTTGTGGTGGACTGCAAAAGAACTCAGGAGTTTGGATTGATGCATTGGGATGTGATATGAGATTGGAATGAGAATGAGAATGATGCATGAATTTGGAACTTAAAACTTTGGATTTCGAGTAGTATATATCAGTATGGATACTTGCACAGGTTGAGGTTGAGCATCGGTTAGCGGTTGCTTGGAGGTTTTGAAGTGATTTGTTGCATGTGAGAGAGAATGGCAATTGATACTTCATTTCATATTTGTTCCGCTCCCATCTTCCTTTCGCCAACGTTTTATTATCGCGGATTTTGCCAAAGAGGCCGAAGGAAGGAAACGGTAAAGAACCCTCACCAGGGGGTCCCTCGCCAGCGCATCACCGAACCCGCGAACCCGCCGCGAACCGGGCTCGCCGGGCTACCGGGGTGCCGGAGTAGTGGAATACAAGACGGCCCCACCGGCCCCACCGCGGACCGCACCGCCTGAAGCCCAGTCCAGCAACCGACACGCAAACCCACCTCAGACACTCGGCCACATCTTGCCCAACCAAACTGCTGTAAGCCTTTATGAAAGTGCTTTATAAAGAAAATTGGTTGAAGGCCGTTCCATCACGACAGTATCCCATATCCCTTGTACCTTGGGTGTAGATTGCGGGGTGTTAACGCCCTTCCAATAATTTCAGTCTCCAAGCTAACAATGTCTACCTCAAAGGTCGTGTCGTTGGATATTAAATTAGAGAAAACCTCCGCGCACTCCAAGCCCAACCTACACGCACTCCAAGACCCATATGACAGCTGTCATATAAATACGGTCGTTTTGTATGGTAAATCGGGGTCTTTTCAATGTTCCAAACATCGCTCCCGCCAGAGTAAAAGCGTGATACTTTTCGTGGTGTCGTGAATCTCCCATATCGAAGTGATTTGAACCCACCCAACCCGGCACGTACAGTCAGCCCAGTACAGTCTTGATCCCTAAAATCCTTCTCTTATTTATTTACTTGGTGATGTCTACTCTGAGTCGCTCAATAGAATGGGGTTCTTGCTGTTGCCCAGCACGTCGCCCTGGGGGGGAGGGCATAGATGGGATCGTTTGGTGGCACGCGCCTGCTTTCGCGGGAGAAGGATCACTCAAAACCGCCCCAAGTTCAAAAAGGGGTGCAAGACTGCCCAAAAATTTCACGAAATGTGGTCCAATGTTTCGTGCATTGAAATGGGGTATTTTCACGGGTAAAAGTGGACTTTCTGATGTCGGGCGTCATGGGTCGGGTGTCATGGAGTGCCAGAGGCCCTAACCCTTGGGATTTTATGGGTCTTAGAGTGCGTGTAGGCTAACCTTGGAGTGCGCTGAGGTTTTCTCTTAAATTATCTAGCATTTGGAGGGGTCGTGACAGTAAACCGAACTTGGATGTTGGGAAGGGCAATACTGCTCGTTTTGGACAGGGAAAGGGAGGGTGTTGCAAAAGTTTGATGTGCCGAGTAACGAGTTCGGGAAACGTCCCGCCGGAGTCAATTAAGGATTTTGTGAGCTAGTAAAGGGTTTTGGTTGTGGTCAAAAGAGTCAAGAAGGCGCGGGGATGTGTGCAGGAGGATGCCGAATGTGTGAACGTGATTGATTGGATTGTGATGTGTTCAGTTTGTTCCATCTTACGGTGACTCGGAGGAGTCTCGCACCGCTAGGGTGGTGCAGGGCTGACTAGAGGCACCTATACTTTGCTACGACACAATATTTAGCCCAGGTTTGAGGGCACGGGGCACGGGGCACGGGGCACGGGGTATATAACCTTCCCTTCCGGCACTCGCATCCAACAACCAAACTCGCTGGTAAAATGGCCCCGTGGTGAAACGGTAGCACACGTTAGAGAAGCAACGATCCCAAGCCCAGGTAAGGCAGGCGGCCAGCGGACCAACGCGTCCGAGGTTCGGCTCCCGGCAGTGGCATTTCAACATCTCCCAGCTCCCTTTTTTTTGTCCTTTTTGGCACCCCGTCCGGTCTGCTTTTGTCTTTTTTTTTTCTTCTTTCTCTCTTTCGCAAAGTGAGTGCGTGCGCTGGCTTGATAAACCCGGGTTTCAAAGCAAGACCTAACCCAGAGTGAATACCCTTGGGAGTGGGAGCACAACACAGGTGACATACCCCTCGACGAGCCAAACAGACAGGCCACCTCAAGCTTGTGTTTCTCGAGAATGGGGCAGAGATTGATGAGATAGCGAGATGTCGGGCTACATACAAAGGAATGAAGATCCAGCATCTCGTCTTCTACCCGGATATATCCTCCACGCCAAATACCCGCAGTCTGCTCTCCGAACATGGAAATCAGAAGCACCCAACTATTCCAACAGATAATCCACACATTAATACCACACATTTAAAAGAACACCATACAGGCCCCTCTATAGAGGTACTCATTCTCGAACGGACTGCCCTTCAAGATCTTAGCCATGTCCTCGTTTACCATGCTAAACGCAGCGTTGCGTTCCCAAATAGGCGGCATTTTGAGCAACGGATCGCTGTTCATCCTTGTCTGCATCGCCGAACCAGAGAAATTCTCCAGCAGCATGTCTTGAGAACGGGACTCTCGCTCCCGCTCTCTTTCCCGCTCCTGTCGCTCTCGTTTGGCTTGTTTCCTTCGCTGAGACGCAGACACAAGAGGAGGACGCAGCAGCGCTTCGGCCTCGATCCTTTCGATTACCTTGACGAGCGCCTCATGGTGTAAAGCGTCGAGAATCCCGTCTCTCCGCCAAAGCGGCCTATCCCTCTGGTAAAACACGGCGTGCTCCTTCCGCCACCATCCCGCTACGTCGTCCGCCAACTTGTGGGCTAGCACGGTGCATCGCTTCAGCCACTGCAGCTTGATCTCGCACCCGCGCTCGGAGAGGAAGTGCGACTGCCAGACGATGGCGCGCACAAGCGGCATCGTGAGCGCGTCGGTTGTGGTTATGGGCTCCGTCTCAGTTATGATAGCTTCTCCGTCTGCGGCGTCTGAGCGTAGGCGTCTAGACAGCCGATTCATGGCGGTCTTGCTGTCGGTGAAGATGGTGACGGAGGCGGAAAGGGGGTGGTGTCTCTTGTGCAAGCTGATGACGGTCTCCATGCCTTGCGAGATAGCGGCCAGCTCGGCGTGGAGACTGGATAGGACGCGATGGGAGCGCCAGGAGCGGATGTTGAAGTCTTTCGTGCTCAAGCTATCTTGGGGCACCTTGGTGCAGTATTGAGCTTCGTCGTCGTGGTTATGGTCGCACTCGGCGAGTCCTTTTCCATGATACGGGTTCCGAAAGACGACGCCGTACCCGCCACGACCGAATCGTCGATGTTCTGGCGCTCCTCTGTTGTCGTGGTTTTGTTTGTATGACCCATCCACGAACAGGTTGAACTGGGGCTTGCCATCTACCATCAACTCGGCTCTTTGCGCTTCTCTGGCAAGCCGAGTGGCTAGCCCGCGACTTTTCCTCGGGTAGGCGAATTCGCCTTTGAAGGCGCGGGTTTCGTTCTGCCAAAGAGGGATCCGTGTGTCGCCGCTGGGCTCGGGAGATCCATCTGCTCGCAGGCTGGCTGCCGTCGCGGTGAGGTTGGTGGGAGCGTGGGAGGGAGCGTGGCTGGCATCAAGGAGCGCCGCACGCTCCTGATCTTCGGGGTCGGAGAGCTCGTGGGAGGGAGGCAAGAAGGTATGGGGAGGGGTCGGGGGAGGGGGGTGAGAATGTGTCGGGGACTGCTCCGTATCTTTCGAGGTGTCCGGCGCAAGCTCAAAGGCATATTCCAAAGTTCCGAAACCCTCGACGTCAACTTTCAACCGCTTAGCAACGTGTTTATTGACATTGGCCGGAGGACTGGAACCTGGCAGCCGCTTTGGGAGTTTCTCTGTCATCTTGTATGCCGGGATGAACACAAAGGACAAAAGGTAAGACTGAGAAAATCGAGCTGAACGTTAGCGGACGAAAGGAAAGAGTAAAAGAAGGACCGATGGAAGCGTATGATCCAGGGAGATTTCCCAAGGAGCTCTCCCCAGCCTACCCGCTTCCTGGAGCAAGTGAGGGGAGGAATTAAGCTCACCTTGAAAGAACGACGGGATACTTTGGTGCGATGGAAGAGGAGTCCGGACGACAAGTGTTGTTGAGGTCAGCGTAGCAGAACGATAGCTCGGAGAGACGCAGACGAAAGAACAAAAATGTTGACGCGTGATTGTAAGCCAGACGCGCAAAAGAAACCAAGGCAGGACGAACACAGCGGTAAGAAAATTTCACGAGGGGTAGAGTGTTCCGTTGCCAGCGAAGGACTTGAGATGGGACGGACGGCTTGTTGCCTGGTGCGATCCCGAAACCCGAGAGCCGGAAGAATCAGACGAGCACCTGGCCGGTGATGGAGTACCTTTGGGAAGGAACCCGAGCAAGTTGACCGCCGGTACGTCAGATCAGATTTCACGAGAGTTGGGATAGATCAGCCGAGCGACTCAAATCCGTCACTAGGGATCAGATCGCAAGCAACAACAGATTTCATATGGCCTACAATTGGACATGGAAATCACGACTGGTTCAGTGTACTGATACAAGTGAGAACAGCATGAGGGAAAGATAAGATGAACAAAAGGAAGCATTCACAACCCGGCTGAGCAATGTAAGAATTAAGCAAAGTATAACAGATAATAGCTACACGAGGAAGAACAAGTTATCTAGAATAACAAGGGGAAGAGGCATGAAGATAGCATCGCTACCGGTCTAGAGTAGATCCTGATCAAAAGGTAGAATCAGACCATCAACCGCTCAACTTTCCAATCGTGCACACCTGCACAGTGCACACCTACTTAGGTTTATAAGGGTCCTTCCACCCACCAGTTTCCGTCACCCCCAGCTGAGAAACAAATGGTCCTGTGGTGTAGCGGTAGCACACGCACGATTAGGCGGAGCTTAAGCGTGGTAAGGCACGGCAGTAAGACTGAAAGGCAGGGTCCTGGTTCGACTCCGGGCTGTGGCCATTCTCAGCATCTTTTTTTTGTCTTTTTCTGCTTTGGCTTTGGTTTCATGCTCGTCTTTGCTCCTCGCGTCCTTAAACTGTATTTTTGTGTGCTTCTTTGCGTTCTCTTCCATCTCGCACGTATCAATCACATTATGACCGATCTTTCTGTTTATTTTCTGCACCCGTCCAGCAATATGACTGCCCCTCACAACCCGACAAGTTACGAATGTCGTGGACATTTCACGTATCAAGAGAATAGCCGGTCAATCAAGCCTCCCAGTCGATCATGAAGTTCATAGTATCTGGCGTTGTGAAGACATTGAGGAGTGACCGAGGTGGCCCGGAGTTCGGGTCTTGGTGCCTGGTGCTTGGTGCTTGGTGCTTGGTGCTTGGTACACGATGGAGTATCATGCAATCGGTGCTTCAGCAGATGTTTTGCTTCAAGTTATCGTAGTTGATCATCTTCTTTCTTCCTTCTTCAGGTTATTATACCGTTCTACATTATGGTCTTTATGCCTTTAACCATCCTTAGACCTTTCATGTCACAACATGCAAGTCCATAACCATATCTCACTATCCCAAGCCCAACCAAATCCGATAACTTTCAACTTCCAACTTACAACTGCTCAACCAAACCCAACAACGGTTTCGTCTTCGTTGTCGAATGATAATAATCGCTTGATTATTTGCAGCCGGGGAATCAGACAAGGGAATAAACTCATCAGGCTCACTTGGTGATGCCCTTTGACGGGGAGCAGAGGGAGTAGAGAGAGCAGTGTGTGCCTCTTTGACGCCTTCGATAGCTTTATCGAGAGTCGAAAAGGTGTTCTTGACGGCTTCCAATGCGTCATCGGGGAGTGTTCCTTTCTGGATCTCCGGATCAACAGGCCTTGGTACTGGATTCATGGTCAACCTTGGAACGCTTCTCCTGATGATCGCAAGGGTCGGTTGAGAAGCTCGGGCTAGGGGGTCTCTTTGTGGTTGTCATCTTGATCGTTTAGTGACGCTATGGACCGGATGTCTGAAACAAAAGGATATGCACACCGTTAGCATTCTGATCCGTGAAAGGCAACGAAACTTTGAGACAGAGCCAGACTTGTAACCTTTCTAGGGCACCCGCCTGCTAGAGTTAGGATTGTGAGCAAAGACGTCGACGTACCTTTGAGCAATGAACTGTTCGCTGACGCGACACCTCCAGCGCGTGTGAACTGCTTAACGCGCAGAAAAAGCGATCTGACAAGTGAAGAGGCAAAGGTTGGAGAATGAGCGAGCAACGATGGTAACTGACGCGCAAGTTGGGAGTAGATCACCGGAGAGATGAGGCGAGGCGCGACTGAGAAGAGAGAGGGAAACGAAGGAGGGCGGGGAACAAGATCGGAGGGAGCCTGAGAATTGCGAAAAGGAGGGGATGGCGGGGCAGACAACCCTCTCAGGCCACGTCATTGACGAAATTGAGAAGCAAATAAGGAAGGGGCGAGGCAAGAAATTTGCAGTGACGACAGCAGCACGGAGTAAACCAGCTCTTATTCTAGTTGGAAGGTACGGTCGAGAGCTCTCACCACCAATTCACCAAACATCACAATGCAGATTGACAGTCTTCAAGCACCTCCTCCATCATTCATGATCAACACGACGAGTGAGAATCACGAAACACACCACAAGCCCGATCAGATCTCGCGACGGTATATAAGAAAACAAATGTATCTCATGTATAATAGGTAGGTAGGTTCACGAAGGACTGGAAAGTGCTGTGGATAATAGATAGTAGATAGCCCAAAGCAAAAAGGGAGAAAAAAGACAAAAAAATATTTGCTGATAAACTCAAGTGCCACCTCTCGGGGTCGAACCTGAGGCCTGCCGTCCCGCCGTATATCCGGCCCTACCTTTGCTTAGGAGCAGACGTCAAAGGCTGTGCTACCACTACACCACGGAGCCACTGAATTTACCAGCTGTGGTTTTTGGATGACGGGTAAGGAAGGGAGCCTTATATAGGTGGTACGGTACGCTTCCCTCTGCTGGATGCCTGCCGGCCAAGCATTCAACGTCTGTCATCAACCAAGTATCGTCCCATCGGTGATTCAGTGGGTGTCGTGCTTGTCTTGGGTTGGGAGATCATGTTCTTGCTCCCTTTGCTTTATCTGCTTTCGCGCGTCATACTGTTATACATCATGGTCCTCTATACATCTAGCCATCATTTGGCCTTTCATGCCACGGCCTGCAAACCATAACCATATCCTACCGCCCCAAACCCAAACAAACACTACAACTTCCAACTTCAAACTTACAACTGCTCAACCAAACCCAACAACTGCTCCAACTTCTCCCCCTCCTCACCCCCTCCACCACTTAGCACATCCCCCAACAACCCCACCGCCCCCCTCACCCTCTTCGCCCTCACCTCTTCTTCCAACTCCCTCGACTTCTTCGCAGCAACCTCCAACACCTTCCTCGGTATTCTCGCCAGCCTCGCAACATTTAATCCATAAGACCTATGCGCCACGCCCGGCGCTAGATCATACAAGAAGGTAATCTCCTCATCCTCATCCGCCGCCCCATCGGCATCAACCTCCATCGCATCATCATCACCCGGTCCCTCCTCCTTAGAATTAGAAGAAGCCTTATTGCTCGCAAACCGCATATGCACACACTCCACCCCCTTTCTCTTCTCCCCTCCCTCCCCCTCACCTACGGTTAAACCATCAGCCACCCGCGCCAAATCCTGATAATGAGTAACAAAAAGCATCAAACACCCCACTTCCCTAACCACATACTCCAGCACGGCACCAGCGATCGCTCGTCCATCATGGGTACTCGTTCCGCGTCCCAGCTCGTCGAGCACCACCAGGCTTTTTGGTGTGGCCTGCCGAAGGATACTAGCCGTCTCAGAGACTTCGACCATGAATGTTGATTCGCCCTTGAACAAGTTGTCGCGGGCGCCCATCCTGGTAAAAATGGCGTCGGAGAGGGTCAGAGACATGGCGGTGGCGGGCACGAAAGAGCCGATTTGTGCGAGCAAGACTAGGAGCGCGACGGCGCGGGTGTAGGAGGATTTGCCGCCCATGTTGGGGCCGGTGATTAGTTGGGCTAGGGCTGGCCCTCCGGAGGAGGGACTGGGACTGGTAGTGGTAGGGGAAGAGGAGGACGGGGTGCCAAGAGACATGGTAAAAGGGATATACCCGTTTGGTAACAGGTGTTCGGCAATGGGATGTCTGCCCTCGGTGATGGATAGGAAAGAAGGATGGGAAGACGGTAAGAAGGTTGGTTTGGTGTACCCCGGCAATGCAGCGACTGTGCTTAGCGACAAAAGGCAGTCCAAAGTCGACAACGAAGAAACCGCATCGCGAAGCGGTTGGTACTCCCCTGCTATCTGGGCCAGCAGATCAGCAAAAGCTTGATCGCAGGCCGAAGCCAGACTCTCCTTGTGCTGATCCCTTTCCGCTATCAACCTCAACACCGTAGGAGTGTGAAACCTCGAGACCTTCTTGGTTCCGGAAATCTTGGCCCACGAGGCCGGGACGCGCTTGAGGTCCGTGTTGGCCACTTCGATGAGATACTCAATTCCTGCCACGGTCACGTAGCTGATCGGGGACTTCTTGCCCAGCTCCTTGGCCGCTTCGGAGCGGTGTTCGTCAAGGTCTTGCTCCACAGCTGCTATGCCCAGTTTATGTTCAGAGATGTCGTCGGTCTCGTGCTGCTCGAGGAAGAAGGCGTACTTGTCGTCTTTGCGGGCGGCTTCGGCGTTGATTTTGGAGAGGTGTGCGGTGACTAGAGGCCCGATGGAAGGCAGGGACATGATGGCAGAGGTGAGCAAAGGGGAGGAGAAGCCCGTGTCCGAAGGGGATTTGACGCGAGAGTATTCTAGGAAGATTTTTTGGAGGGTTTGGAGGGTCGAGAGGAGCTCGGGACGGGTGCATTTGCCGTAGTAGATGCGGATGAGACTGCGCTCGAGGTCGGCCTTGATGGACTTGAGCATGCCCACCAGCTTGTCGACCTTGGCGGTGGATTGGTTGTCCAGAAGCTCCTCGACTGCGGACACGCGCTCTTCGAGCCGTTGTTGGTCGAGAAGGGGACGGCCGATCCACTTGCGGAGGAGACGCTGGCCGAAGCGAGTATGAGTTTTGTCGAGGGCCCAAAGCAGAGAACCCTTCTCGGACTGGTCGGTGGCGTTACGGTACACTTCGAGGGACTCGAGAGTGGTGCCGTTGATGAGCATGTGTTGGCGCGTGCTGAACGATTGGAAGTATTTGGTCAAATCGAAGATGTGTTGCAGGCCGTACTCGGTCAGATGGGTGATCATGGCCGAGAGACAGATCATCACGGCTTCTGGGAGCTTTAGCACCTTGTCGAGTAGAGCTGCTGAGCGTTCATCACTGTCCTTGGCCTTGCCGGCGTAGAAATCCGTGACGTGCGAGTAGGCCTCAGCTGCCATGGTCTTACTCTTGGGGACCCTCTCCACACGGCTCTTGTCACCAAACACATTGGTGCTGCTGCCGGAGAGGTGTTGGATGAGTTTATCAGTGGCTTTGCTGAGATCGCCCACGATGAGAAACTCGCAGGGAGAAATATGGAGCAGTCGTGTCTCGATCTCCCGACGCATGAAGCCATCTTCAAACTCGTCGTAGATGATGTCGCCAGTAGCGGGTTGGACGGCAATGATGCCGACATTGACCTTTTCGTCGGTTCCCATGCCCTTTGCTGGGGTTTCCGTCAGACAAAGCAGGTAGCCACCAGAAGAAGCACCCGTAGTCTCGCCCGGCTGGTCCAACTCGCCCGTCTCATCGATGTAGGTGCCCTTGGTATAGACATTGGTGAGCTTCCGGACAAAGGGGGCATTGCGGTTATCGCCAGCCTTTTTCAAAGCAGCCGTCTCGATCTGCCGTACCACTCCGACCTTGTGGCCGGCGGCGACCAGACGCTTGGCATGTACAGGTAGACGATGAACCGGTATGCTTGCCGAAGCAAAGCGGTCGAGATGGGCTTCGGAAGGGTGTTCATCGTACCGAAATTTGCCCGGTATGCAGACGATGCTCAGTTCCCTGGCCGCTATGCGGGCGTCTTCGCCAAAGAAGCGGAACTTGTACCCAACCTCGACGATCAAAAGAGTATCCATATGTTTTCTCTTTATTTCCAGGAACTGTAACTCCATGGGAGTGAGCTTGCCCGTCTTTGCCCCCTTCTTTTTGGTGGTGGTCTTGGGTGCTGGTTCATCTTCGTCGTCTTCGCCCTCCTCGCCTTCGCCTTCAACAGCAGCAGACTCGGTGTCCCGTCGCCTGTAGTTGAACATGCTATCGGGATGGCCAAGTTTCTTGACGAACTTTCGGTGAAGTTCTTCTTTCTTTTTGCGTTCGGCAGCATCTTCTTCGTTCTCTTCTTCGTCTTGGGAAGGCCGGCTCGAGTTAAGAGCGTACCGTTCTGTTCGGGAGGAGGAGAGTTTCAGGGAGGCAACGGCGTCTTCGGTATCCTTTGTTGCTGATGGGCCATTCGACTTGCGCCGTTTGGCATCTCTGGGAGCATCATCTTCGCTGTCGTCGTTTTGGGGTTCTGGTCGTTTCCTCGAGGATGTCGACTTTGATGGTTTAGGCTCGGCTGGTGGTGCCTTCTTGGTGGCGTTCTGGCTGAGGTTGACCAAGGGACTGGTGTTTCGTGGGGTAAAGAAGCTCGAGATCGAGGCCTGTTTCTTGTCGGGGGGTCGTGTTGGGCCAGCCATTTTGTGGATTGGTGGTTGGATGTCACCCCAAGTCCATGTCTTGGTGGTGGCAGTCAATCAATATCAGACGCGGTCATCAACGACGCGCTGTCGTCGCAGTGGACGCGGCAGAGAGTGGGGCTCCATTACAGTGGCTGCAGCGTCTTCACATGATTTGGGCAGTGACATGTTGAACCCCAACCCTGAGACAACTGACAGAAAAGATGAAAGTTGTCCATCAACGACACGATTCACTTTCTTCTCTTCCAACATCTCCAGTCCACATTGCCAACGTCATCAAAGTAAACAATCCAAGACTCCATGATTCAGCACATGTTTCTCTGACCCCAGAATATCCACCCCAATTACACGAAACCGGGCCACATCCGAGACCATGTGACACGGCAAAACAAGCGGGTGGCCTGTGCGCCCTCCCTCTTCCTTTTGTTGTCTTTCGGCATCCTTCCCGAAATGCCGACTCTCTCCAATGGCTGTCCATCTCCCCCGATGTTCTTGTCAGATTCTAGGGTGGCATTCTAGCCAGATGTAGGCTAGATGCCAGAGTCCTAGCCACCTGATTTAACAGGTCTTAGCAAATATAGGTTACCCCCAGAACCCCCCATACCAGAACGCTCGAATCAGAACACACAAAATCAATCAGTTACTAATAAATCTAATAATTAATAATTTAATATACAACTTATTAATACAACGATTAACATGTTTAAATAGTAAATAATAACTAGATTACAATATCCCTCTCAAAGCCTACCGAAACGAAAGAAAACGTTATTTACTTTAAAAACGGCGACAATTAGTTGCGATAGGAACCTATACTCTAATCGAAATATATCCTTAATACCCTTAAAAATTAACTCTAAAAAAAGACTAAGAAACCTTCTATACTAAAATAGCCTCATCCTAATCACTACTCCTTAATTAAGGAAGTAAAGACCTATATTAGTAATATAAAAGCGGAGTTCGTACATTTTAACAGCGGTATTAATACTTAATTTATTATCTATAAAAACAGAACTAATTATAAAGAACCTATTAAATACTACGACCGAAACGAGATTGTAATTAATACCTTCATTACCGAGGACGACCTTATAAATAAATAGCTCTATAAATTAGAACTTAGCCTCTATCCCAATAATAAGAAAGATTGGAAAGAATTCGTAATTAGCAATAAAGTTGTACGTACTTGAATAAAATTATTAATTAATTACAAACTATAGGATAAAATTATAAGGGAGGAATAGGATACCGATAAATAGTATCAAAATCTTAAATAAATAATGAACTATAAGGCGGTTAATAATTAAATTAAGGTAAGGAAAATATATTATAAAATTATTATTATTCTTACGAAGGAATTTAAAAATGAATTTAATCGGTTATAAACCTAATTTATTACTATAAGTAACGGGTAAAATAAGGGAATCAGTAAAATCTTCGTTGCAAATTTATAATACTTTAATTTTATTAATATAATTAGGATTATCCGCCCTAAGTAGTATAATAGCGCTTAGAAATTTAATAAAAAATAGTTATTAATATTTTTAAATATATAGAAATCTATAAGAATTTTAAATAGTATAGTATTAATAGCGTTCGTTATAGGGTCGTTGTCGGAGAAAGAAAAGGAATTTATCGTAGTAATTTTAACGCTAGCGAATTTAATATCGAATACGATAATTAGAAATATAATAATAATAGTTATAACTATATTAGAAATAAGAACGTTCGTTATAATAATAAAAATAAAAGATTTAAGGGTGTAGAGAAAAGAAAGTTCCCGTCAGATAAATCCGAAATTTAATTACATAAGAGGAGTAATAGTATAGTATATAAAGTATATAAAAAAGCTTATTACTTTTTTTAAAGATTATTAATATATTAATTTAAATATAAAGCCTTTAGATTTTAAATTATACCCGTTTGTTAAATACGTTATTAAAGTTAATCTCTTGAGAAATTTAAAATTTATTAAGGAAGTAATTAAATTCTTTAAGAAGGAAGAGAAAATCGAGAAGGAAGAATTAGTGTAATTATCAAATTAGGTTTATAAAGTAACTTTCTAAATTAGTAGGGTACTTGAAATTAGAGAGGAAATTTACCCCTTTAAGAATTTAATAATATTTAATTTAAGTAGTTCGCGTTATATATTTAATATAATTATTTATTTCTTTTATTTTTATTATTTTAATCTGGATAATTCTTTGTAGGTTAGTAATATTTAAATAGAAATTAAAAGGTTTAGGGAAGTTAATATCGTTATTAAGGGTAAAAATAGACCTTTAAAATTATAGTTGAAGGAGGTTGCCTTCTACCCTAATTTTACTATCAACTTCGTCTCCTATTTTTAATTGCAAAAGTAGGGTTTCTATTAGGATTATTAATTATTAAATAATTATTTAAAAAAGGTTAACGGTTTATTTTTTTATTATTTCAATATTGTTTATAATTAAACGGTTATTAAAATTATTTTCCCTTTATTTATTAGAGCCTTATTTGTAGCGCGCCGTTATTGAATTAATTTATATACGTAATAACTTTCGAAATAATTAATGAAAATATATTATTAATAGTTCAGTTACTTAGGTCCCTAAGAATTTATTTATTTATAGAATATTAATAGAGTACGATTATATAGTGTACTTTTAATTAAATACAATATATATAGTATAGTAAAGATAAAATAATAAATTAGCTGCGTTTTGAGAGATCGAGGTTATAGCTTAGGGGAAAAATTCCCTATCGATTTCTTTGATTTTAAATTAGAACTTAGAGGATTACGTTACTTCCTTCTAATTACTTATCGATAGTTAAGATTAATTTAGGATTATTATTTATTGAACCGAGAAGTTATTACGATAGTTAATATTTTAGCTGGCTATATTTAGATACTTTAATATTAATACTATCGAATATAATAATAGATTTATAAATAATGAAATTAAAGGTAAATTTGCCTATTATAATACGGTTCTTAAACCTTTTATTCCTAATATCTAAATATAGAATAGAGGGGTAGAACGTTTAGGGGGTATAATTAAAGAGAGATATTATACGATATTATTAAGTTCGAAAATACTAGAAGATTTATAGTTAGAGATTATTTACGCGGCTATTTATTTCATTAATTATTCCCCTCGTTATTTATATAATTGGAAATCCCCCTTCGAACGATTTTATATTTATATTATAAGTTAATATAATTAATAAGAATTACGTAGATTAGATTTAAATTACTTATAAATTTATAGGTATAAGGTATTTACTATAATAAGCGCTATTTAGAGAAAGGAGTAAAATTTTTAAAAATATAACCTAAAAGTATAGATTAATTATTTCATTAGTTACTTAGCGACCTTAATCTATTATATATAGAATCTCTATATAAATCAGATTGTTTAAATTAGGCATATAATATTCGACGAAGATATTACCTACTACTTAAATGTTAAAAAGCTTGAAAATAACTTTAAAATTATTAGCAAAGAATTCGTTAATTTATTTAATAAATTAAACGAATTTATTAATCAACTTTTGGGGGTATTTAAACTATCTTATATTAAAGGCCATACGCTATTAAACGACGTTAATAACGGTAATATTAAACTTTTTTTATTACATCTTTTCGATCAAAATTAGAAGGATTATTAAGGGAATTAAGAAGTCTCTTAAAATAAGAGTAATTAATTATAAGAAGTATTAAATTTAATAATTTATTAACAATAAAATATTTATTAAATATATTATAGGTTTATACCCGTCACTTCTATTTATTCTACTAATTATACTCTATACTAATTATTCTATCAACTAAATTATCAATTAGTACGTTCATTATTAAAAATTATAAGAAGATACCTTTAATATTAATAGATTAGCTTAATTAGTAATTAAAATAAACGAGAAAATAATTATTAAGGTGGAAATTAAATAGTTAATTATAAAATATAGTCGTTTTAATAGGGTATATTAACGTGATTTTCCTTTAATACTTAAAGAATACTACAATCTAAATAATTATGTACTTAATTAATAATTTAAAGAAATAGAGGAAGTTTACTTTAAGAATTATAAAGGTATAAAGACGTAGATTAAAGTGGATTAGGATATCCACTATTTAACATATAAATAAATTTTCGGTTATATAGGTTTATATTTATAAATTTAATAAGAATAGGATATTTAATAAAGTAAAAGCGAGGTTCGTTATAAGAAATAATTAGTAGAAAACTATAAGAATTAATACATACGCGTCTACTTTCGTAGGTCGATTATTTCGTACTATTATTACTTTTGTTACTCATTTTAACTTTAAATTTATTTAAGATAATGTAATTAATATTTTTATAAATATTTACTTTGATAAGGAAATTTATATACGTATACTATTAGGGTATTAAGTACCTAAGAAAGTTCTTAAATTTATTAAGGCTTTATATAGTCTCCGACGAGCTCCTTTATTATAGTAACGAGAATTAAGTAGAGTATTTAAATCGATAAGATTTAAAATAATCTTTAAAAACCCGTATATTATAAAGAAAAACGGTATTTTTATATTATATTATATCGATAATATCGTTTTTATATTCGATAAAAGTAAGATAGACGAGGTTAAGAAATATACGATAGAGTTATAATTATAGTATTATTTAATAGGAGGAGATGAATTCTAATGGTTTTTAGGTATTGAAATTATATATAATCGAAATTAAGAAAATATTTGGTTATTTTAAGAGATATATATTAATAAAATTATTAAACTATTTAAATCTAACTATCGACTAATTTTAGTATTTATAGGTTATAAGGAATTGGTACTCTTTGAAAGTATTACCAGCTTCGTAGAGATACGAGCGTACTAAATTAATATAGGCTCTTTGCTATACGTAGTAATTAATATTCTATTAAATATTATATCTTCGTTAAGTAGACTAATTAAATATAACTATAATCCTAACCTTATTTATTTAGCGGCGAGCGAGAAGGTTATATAGTATTTAAAAATAATAAAAGTATAAGTACTCTACTTTAGTACGAATAATAAATTTAAAATTGCTTCTAATATTTCGTTTATGAATAATAAGAGTAATTATAAGAGCTCCTAAGGATTTACAATTAAATTATATAATAATTTAATTTATTAGGGAATAATTAAATAGACTACGGTTACTATATTAATAATAGAAGTAGAATTATACGTAATTAAGAAGGCAGCTAAAGAGACCCTTTTTATAAACCGACTAATATCAGTATTAGGGGTAAACTTACTAGAGGATTCTATTCCCACTCTACATTATAACAATTAATAAACTATTAGGGCACTTATAGAAAAAATACTTACCTTCAATATAGAGATAAAATATATAAATATATATAAATATTAATTAAAAGGAGAGATTCTCGAAAAAAGATTTTTAATATCGAGTATTTGAAAATAAAGTTAATATTAATAAATAAATTAATAAAAGCACTAGGTATTCCAGAGTATAATAAAATTAAGGAATTAGTAGGGATAATTAAAGTACTACTACGGAAAGATAGTAAAGGAAGAGATAATTTAGTATTGGGAGAGGTAGATTTTAATAATTTGGATGAAATATTGGGTTTGGAGATATGAAACGATGAAAGCAATATATAAATAGCTTCACTTTTAACTTCAAAAAGGAAAAAGAAATCTGCAAGTAAGAGGATATATTAAATTTTTGGGTAGTATTCTGGCTAGATGTAGGCTAAATGCTAGAGTCCCAGCCACCTAATTTAATAGGTCTTAGTAAATATGGGTTACCCCTAGAACTCTCTATACTAGAGCGCTCGAGTCAGAACACACAGAATCAATCAATCACCAGTAAATCTGACAGTTCTCCCCCAGGTTCCCCGTCTCCAACTTTTTCTCTCTCCAGACTCTCTTCCCCTGGGGAAGTTCCCTATGATTCGCCTCAATTCCCCGCCTTTCCCCAAGGTCTGATCCGATTGGGGTTTCATTTTGAGGGGAGAGTCTCAAAGTCCAAAAGTACCTTTTTTTACTGTGTCAAATGCTGTCTTGAGTCTTGGTCAATATCGCCTCATCCTCTTTGCAGACAGGGACAGTTGATAGTTTTTGGGGTCGAAAAGGGCCTTGAGCGGAGATGGAATGAACGGGACTCTAGCGGAATGGACATCCTTAATTCCCCTATGCATATGTCGTTTAACTTGTCCGTGTCTTTGGGTCAACATGAAGACTCTCATTCGTCTGGCAATTATCTCCAGTGTGGCCTCCCAAACTCGCTTCCAGTGTTTCGATGTCTGACAACATGACCTCCAACAAATGAGGTGATGATTGATTCTTTGTGTCCATCTGTTGGTCTCGCTTGTTAGCCGAGCTCTTTCATGTTTGTTTACTCGTTCTTTGCTGTGCTTTTTACCCTGTTTATGTATTCCTGTTTCTTTTCGAGGAGGCGGGCTATAGACAGACTACCCCTCTGCCCTATATCTAGACTACTTAACCGCTTTGGGCAAGGCCTCCCAGCTTTTTTCCGCTGTACAAAAAAGGCCACACAGCCGCAGGTGCCAGGTGCCGTGCGCCAGAACAGGTGCACTGGAAGTCCCAACCCTCAGTGCCTGCAGCTCAGTCTTCAGGGCAGCCGGAGCATCATGTTCCCGGGCGCAACCTCAATTTTGCGATGCTCCAGCCTGAACAGCGCAAGAGCAGACCGACTCCAATTGAATGCAGTCGCTCATTGTCAAACAACGACCTTCAATGTCCAGGTCCAAATCATCGCCTCCTGAGGTGAAGAAGTCTATTGATCAAGCTCTTAATTTTGGGGGAGGTCTGGTTCAATCCTTGATTCCGAGGGAGTGCATTTTGACTTTGAGCGTGACCAACCATTTCTTGGAGGGATTTGAGAAAAAGACAGATCATGTGCTAACGAACTTTGGCCTTGTTTCTGAGTTGGGTTGTTAGCGATTGATAAGATATGTCAAATTCCCCGCCTCCTTTTCGAGAGCCGGCGTCTACAGTGGAGTTGGACACCGCTAGAGTGTGGGACCATGATGCCATCATCCACCGCCATAAATCCACTGACGTCCACACTGCCGGTGGAGGATGCGGAGGTACAGTGGATATCCGCGTGTTCTGCGTGTTTTATCCACACATTGTTCCCTGTGATCCTATGGGTGTTGTTCCCTCGACCTAAACAGTTCCAGTTTCTACGGAAACTCCACGTCAATCATCACCAAATAAACAACCCACATGGCAACCATGCGTTTAAACAACTCGCAGAGTCCAGACTCCAGGATCGTCAAATTTCGTTGTCAGAAAAATACCCAAAAAAAAAAACTCGGCCCTCGTCCCGACTCTGCGAACAGAACATTGAACAACGCCGCGACCGGGCTTCAGACGAAAAAGCCAAGACCAACATCCTTCATCTCCAAATGGCAAAAACATCGACGGCCAAGGGGCACTTCAGGCTAAATGCACGCCAAGACGGGTAATCTGCCCTTGCTCCCACCCTCCCTTCGACAACCCCACTGGCGAATCCCACGGAGGTACATCGCGTACAACTGTCCTCGTCTCATCCGATTTCCTGGGGTACTGCTGGCAGCCTGGGGTAGGGAGCTGGGGAAGCTGAAGCTGGGGAAAGAAAATCTGGGGAGCTGGGGATGGAGATGGATCGCTTGACAGTTGACAGTTGACACTGTCTCGACTCTCGACAACAGTGTTCGGTAGCCTACCGGTAGCTATCTCTCACTGGCGTCCTGTGGCGCTCCTTCGTCCCGGGTTTGCGGAGAATCCTTCCTGCCTACCTGTCAGGCTCGCCTGCTCACATGCCGGTTGACCTCCCTTCTGAACCCGATTTCCCAATGCGGTGGCGTTGTTCAGAATTCACCAAAAAGTCACGAAGAGCTGGGCGTGCATCGATGCGGCTCTCTTGCCGAGAATCGAGACATCCGGATCATGGTCACCTCCGTACAGTACAGTATCTTCGCCGTTGCCGCCATCTTTAACCAACATCCCCGGTGATCCCATCTGATGATCAATTGGACCATTGGCACGCTGGACCGGACGAGGCTGGCCCTTCGAGATCCAGATTCACAGATCTCCGGTTGTCCCACACGAAAGAGAAATGAACGCCTCGATAAACGCCACAGACACCCGAACACACGAACACACATCTGGTGCGTCCGCTTGGCAAAAGCTGGCTGATGTGCCATCACAGATTCGGTCCGCCTATGCCGCTGTTGTCTGGTTGGCTGTCCCAGAACAACACCCATTGGATTTTGTTGGACTCGCTTATACCTGTGCCGTCGAGTTGCACTGTCTCGAATGTGTGGTCGAGTTTCGGTACACAGGCACGACGGGCACGACAGCAGTCAAATTCGCAGAACGCCAGAACCGCCAATGCCAGGACGGGTCATCCATGAACCCCAGATGGGCATGTCGTCTCCTTTTGGCTCTAGCTCCTCGTGGTTTGTGGAGAGGGAATTCTGGAGACTCTGGAGACTCTGGAGAAGAAGAGCCAGCCGCCCAGCCAACTCCCGTTCAACGTCTGCTCCAAAGTTGCGAGGAACTTGTGCTCGGCAACGGAAAACGAGGTGGAAAGACACTGGGCCAGAATGGGGCACACTGGGGGCACAATGGGGTGACGGTTCCGGAGGTGGAGTAAGCCAGGCCAAAAAAGTTGGGGAAGGTTGGAGAGGTTACATCCACCATGTTCCCCACACGGAGATACATACGGCATGTGAGACTGGAAGAGACTTTCTCAACCTCACTCTCTCTCCCTGAACACCCCTGGCTGCTGGTGCTTGGGATGGCTTCGGCTTGGAATGGCAGGCTGCCGGAAACCCAAAACCCTAGATTGTGCAGGCGGTGATCCGGGTCGACGACAACAACCTTCGATGAATGCTTCCATGGACCACTCAACTCAAACATGGGGATGGACTAGCCTAGCCTTTGTGCTAAGTCCAAGTCCCTTGGCGCTCCCCCCGGAAAAACCGACAAAGGAAATGGAATCGTGATGATCATGCATCTCACTTCCATCAGATGGTACCGACCCAGATTCCAGGGGGCTGCATCACAGACCTCCAGAGAGACCACACCAACACCGGAAGTGGAGGCTCGTGGAGGCGGCGGTCGGCCAAGATGGTCGGATTGGTTAAGCTTTGGTGCAGCTGTTTGACTGGTCCTGACTGGTCCTGAATGGTCTGGTCTTCCTTTTTCCTTCCCACCCCCTGGCTGATGGTTGTCCACCCCCCGGCCCCTGGCTACACAGTACCTGCCAATGTACACTCCCAAAATCCCCAAGCTAATCCTCCTCGGTACGGTAGGACCTGGGTACGTATTCAGCAGCATGCATGGAAGACGTTCCCGGTCCGGCTGCCCGTCTGGGTCACTCTCCGTATGGGGCGACGGCAGCTTACCACTCGAATACGTCAAATGTCAAAGCTACCACCAACTCGTTATATAATCCCCCTTCCGTCCCCCATCTCGAAGTGACGCTTCCTTGTGTGTCTGTCTTTTTCCTCATCAGCCTCTCCTCCACTTGTCCCAGGGGAACGGAACTGCTGTATCACTCAACCCAGACAAGACAACCACAGCACATTCAAGATGGGCATTCTCGACAAGAAGCCCGTGGCTCAGGCCGTCGACCTCCATCAGCTACAGGAGGATGCTCCTCAGTTTGAGAGGGTTAACTGGAAGAAGGACCCTGGTCTTCGCAAGCTCTACCTCTACGCCTTCATTCTCTGCATTGCTTCGGCCACCACCGGTTACGATGGGTAAGGGGATTTGATACCTTGCTTTCTCAAGAAGCACATTTCACTTGCTGACACTCATCTTTCCTGCAGCATGTTCTTCAACTCCGTGCAGAACTTCGAGACGTGGAAGAAGTACTTTGGTGACCCGCAAGGATCCAAGCTTGGTCTTCTCGGTGCTCTCTACCAGATTGGTTCCATTGGCTCCATCCCCTTCGTGTAAGTGTTCACAGGGATCGCAACACATTGCAGCTTTGATGGCTTTCATGAAACTGACTCGATACATTATACAGCCCCCTCCTTACCGACAACTTCGGCCGCAAGCTCCCCATCATCATTGGCTGCGTTATCATGATCGTCGGTGCCGTTCTCCAGGCCACCGCCAAGAACCTCGATACCTTTATGGGTGGCCGTACCATGCTCGGCTTTGGCAACTCCCTCGCCCAGATCGCCTCCCCCATGCTTCTCACTGAGCTCGCTCATCCTCAGCACCGCGCTCGTCTCACCACCATCTACAACTGCTTGTGGAACGTCGGTGCCCTCGTTGTCTCCTGGTTGGCCTTCGGCACCAACTACATCCACAACGACTGGTCGTGGCGCATTCCCGCCCTGCTCCAGGCTTTCCCCTCCGTCATCCAGCTCCTCGGTATCTGGTGGGTTCCCGAGTCTCCCCGTTTTCTGATCGCCAAGGACAAGCACGACGAGGCCCTCCACATCCTCGCCAAGTACCACGCCAACGGCGACGCCAACCACCCCACCGTCCAGTTTGAGTTCCGCGAGATCAAGGAGACCATCCGCCTCGAGATGGAGTCGACCAAGAACAGCAGCTACCTCGACTTCTTCAAGACCCGCGGCAACCGTTACCGCCTCGCCATTCTCCTGTCGCTCGGCTTCTTCTCCCAGTGGTCCGGCAACGCCATTATCTCCAACTACTCCTCCAAGCTGTACGAGACCGCCGGCGTCACCGACTCCACCGCCAAGCTCGGTCTCTCGGCCGGCCAGACCGGTCTCGCCCTCATCGTTTCTACTTCTATGGCTCTGCTCGTTGACAAGCTCGGCCGTCGGCCTGCTTTCCTCGCTTCCACCGCCGGTATGTGCAGCACCTTCGTCCTCTGGACCTTGACTGCCGGTCTCTACGGAGAGCACCGCGCCAAGGGCGCCGACAAGGCCATGATCTTCTTCATCTGGGTCTTCGGCATCTTCTACTCGCTCGCCTGGTCCGGTCTGCTCGTCGGCTACGCGATCGAGGTCCTCCCCTACAGACTCCGTGGCAAGGGCTTGATGATCATGAACATGTCGGTCCAGTGCGCGCTTACCCTCAACACCTACGCCAACCCTGTCGCCTTCGACTACTTTGGTCCTGATCACTCTTGGAAGCTTTACCTCATTTACACCGTAAGTTTTCTCGAACAACAGCCGTATTTTGCTGCAATAAATACTAACACAATCACAAACAGTGCTGGATCGCCGCCGAGTTCGTCTTCGTCTTCTTCATGTACGTCGAGACCAAGGGCCCCACTCTCGAGGAGCTCGCCCAGGTCATCGATGGCGACGAGGCCGATGTTGCCCACATCGATATTCACCAGGTCGAGAAGGAGGTCGAGATCCACGAGCACCACGAGAGCAAGTCTGCTTAAGCGTTGGTTTCTTGTCTCGGATTCTCTCTGCTCTTTAGTGATCGTTCCACCAATTTGGGGAACATCCCTTCTACGACACTTACCAGTTGGCTAGCTGGATCGAGTGTTTTGCTTGCTGTTTGGAAAGAGCTACGATATGAAAGTTTATATGTTAATATTTTACGATGTTAATTGAGTGGAATGATGGGCGACGTCGAATACGGGATGGGATTGGGAAGGGAAGGGAAGGGAAGGGAAAGTTGGAATATCTTGGTAGCGTTATTATACCCTCTTTGTTGTCGTTGGAATAGTTTTGGAAGGAGTACGATAATGGCACTTTTTGTTGCTGCACTTTTTGCTGTCTTTTCGCGTGCTTTCTTCCAGCTTGTGTCTGAGTTACGGGGGAAAGAAACGATTGGCGATGGCTTCACCTTCCGCACGACTAGGTGACAGTGGAAGGAACGGGGGATCAAAACCAACCATCACCACGAAAACCCCGGTCACGACGAAAACGGAGCAGATGAATGCCAACCATCTTCAGAGGGGACGACGCCACAACTCTCTACCTCTACATGATCGAGTTGCGATTCTCCAAGGTAGAATGGCAACGCCTCATTTCGCCGTAACGGGAAGCATCACCAGTGTTCACTTGCTACCTACTGGTGCCATCAACTTTCCAGACATCGACTCAAGCCTCGAGGACGGAGAAATCGAAGACAACACAATACCAAGTGACCGGATCTGGCACGTACGGAACAAGCTCGAAAGGATCCCGAAATCCCACTGGGGAAAGGCGGCCACCAGCAGTCCAGCACCACTCGCCAGCTCACCACGCCGCGCAGAGAAGCGAGCGAGCGGGCGGGCCAGGTCACTCGCTCGAACTCCAACCGTCCAACCAACCCCAATCTTCCTCCGCAAATACCGTGGAAGGGATGTACTCCGTGTGAACTGTAGGATGAACTAATGTAAGAGAATGTTCTCTCTATTTAGCCGGATCTACAAGTGTCTGTCTTGGCTAGCTTGGCTTCCGGGTAAGTTCGTAGTGTAGAGGTACATGCATACCCGTCTCTACACTACGTCTCTACAGCCGTCTTTCTGATCTGAGACCTGTAGACCCTAAGTAGACCCGAGAGGTCACTGGGCACATACACTCTGATAAACACATCATACCGTACGAAGCACGAAGGTTCCTTGGTCTCGGTAACCCGGATCCTGGATATCCCTTCGAGTGGCTGATGGATCTCGGGCATACATGCGGTTGCTGGGGTTGCTGGATAAATGGCAAAACGTGTAGTTTGGGACGTGGAGGTGGAGTAATGTATGGGGGTGAACTATGAAGCACGCGGAGTGAATTGGGGAACGTGGAGAGAGATGGGGAAGATGGGACTACCCGGAATACTCTACGTGAAAAGCGGAGTGTACACTAGAAGTCGTATCGTCGTTGCGTGGGGAGGAGGATTGAACCTTGGAGAAGGAGCGGTTCTTGGAGCCCATTTGAATGGAGGCAACTTGGGCAAGACACTTGCCAGTTCCGGTTGTCTGGTTGGAAGAAACGTCAACGCGTGAGACGTTTGGCGAAGGTTGGGGTACCATCGTGCTGTCGTAGGGCAGCAGCACTTCAGTCCACTCCTTCATTTTCTCGGACATAGTCACTTCCAAATTAGGAATTGGGTGAGGAAGAAGCGACGATGGAAGGGCTATCGATCTACACTAAATCTCCCAATGCCAACGGACATGGAGACGAATACCAGTACCAAGACTGTCCACTACTACTACTACACACCTACAGGATTCCAGGCTCCGTAGACGGCGAATCCAGATTGTCCAAAGTACACCCCAGGCCCAGGACCACTTGCCGACGGAAGGTTAAACCCACTTGCCACTTCACTCACTGCCCATCCTGTCACTCCCAACCGCCGCCAACCTATCGATCACTCCAGATCTCCAACTCCAGATCGATAGTTCCGTGGTCAACAACCAACGTCCATCTCCCTCGCAGTGAGTTTCGCCCCTTCGTCCGTCACCAGACTTGCCAGAGTGCCAGACGGACCTAGACGGACCGTGGACTGGACGAGACTGCTCGACTTCAAGTGGAAATGTCCAGAACGGACACATCCCATTCTTAGACGGGCGATTCCAGAGGGAACTCTTTTGCCAACGGTCATCCAGATTCCAGAGCACGAGACGTCAACAACGCTAAATTAAGGTACCAGACCTGTCCCCGGATGAGCAAGGGCACTGCGTAGGACCGTAAGCACACTTGAACGCCAAATGGAGTGGCAAGTGGTGTTCAAGGGGTGACCAATCGCTGAGAAGAGATGAATGAGTGAGCGCCATTCTCTCTCCCGGTTGTGTACCTCTACTAGTAAGTGCAACTACCTTCAATCCTGATCCCACATTGCCAATGAATACTGCACATCGGGTAGGGCCCCAGACTAGAGGTAGGTAGGATGCATAGAGGTACATACCTAGGGGTCCTGTTGGGAGCCTGGGACACGCGAGGGCTGCTCCAAGAAGTGGAACTTGGAGTCCAGTCAGCAAGAGACTGGACCTCGGGGCAACCTTGACCTCACAGCCTGGAAGTCTGACAATAGAAGGGCGTGGGACTGACTAGGCAGGTAGCTACGAACGTACACAGTCACTGGACAGTGGACAATAGGGCGCCTACTGTACGCCCCAGAGACCCGGCCCTCTGGACACTGATACGAGCCAACATATGAATGGGCTAGAGCAGACTACCTGATCCATCGTGGACCCGGGGAATGGACCGGTTAAATACATCCCGGCTGGCCCAGATGGGGTCCCTAGGTACCTCTAGGTAGTCTACGTACCACGCGGTTGGAAAGAAACCATGAGGTTCATGCAGGTTTCAGGAGAGATGGAGATGTCGAGACGGTGAGGAATTGGAGATGGCGGGAGACTACACTAGGTGGACGGATAGGTAGCGAGGACTCCGGCGGTGTCGAAGATAGAATAGTCCAGTTGGATTCCAGTTTGAGAAATCAGATCTCTGGACTGTTCTTTTCGGCGAGGAGGATTTGATGGTATGCTAGACTGGGTCACAGGGAACTAGGGGAGAGCGTGGGTAAGAGACGTGACTGTCCTGCAGGTTGAAGTCTCCTATGAGCAACAAAGTGAAATCTTTCAACAACGCTTCAATCACAATAACCGGGCAACCATCCTGTTACCACAAACAGCATACCAAACCACGCCTATCCAAACACCACATTCATTCGGAAACTGTCAAGTTACAGCCCATGCAACATCACCAACCGCGCGTCTACTGAGTACAACCTTCATCTCAAATCGACGCAGTACTACAGTCTATACTCTGCCAGGTAAAACCGTCAAAGAGCACCTCACTTTGAGAGCAGGCCCTAAAGACTTCGATAAAAGTGGTCAGTTACCCCTGAGCAGTGCATGCAGAGCTTCGCGACGCTCACGGGTTACATCAAAACAATCTACACTACATGAGTTGCATGAAACTGTAGCATCGATCCCCGCTGCGACGACAGATGAGCTGATCCACGAGCGGCTCGGTTGTTTTGTGACTGACTGTATCGCATGCCTGAGGTTCTCGAGGACTTCAGCATCTTTTTTTTTTTTTTTTTTTTTTTTGTTCATTTGGGAAAGCTCATCATTCGTCCTTTTTCCCTTCTTTCCGGTGGGTTGATATCGAGCTACACTCCACGCACGCCCAACAACTCCCGTCCCCAGGTACGCCCATTTTTCCAAGTTGCGAGAAGGAAAAGGAACCACACTCGCGCTTTTACCTGTAAGCAACCTATAATATAATCACCTGGCATCTATATACTTTAAATCTATTCTAAACCTCTATTATTTTCTTTTGCTTTAGGTAGTTTTCCTTGGTCGTATTTCGCAGTCCGACTTAAAGAAGTATAGGTAAGTAGGGTATCGAACAAAAAGTGCACCGTCAAGTTGTACGCTTCCTCAATAAGACTAAATGAGATAGAATAACGTCATACCGGCTTAGAGAATGGACGGAAAAGTGTATATCGAAGATAAAAGCCAATGCAAATAGAAGTACGAAATCTTTTTTTTCAAGTGTCTTAAGGGGGTGTACTTGGAGGGCGTACCTGGTGGGGAGTTTTTGGGCGTGCGTGGAGTGTACCTCTTCTTTTTTGTTCATTTGCGAAAGCTCATCATTCGTTCTTTTTTTCCCTCTTTCCCGTGGGTTGATATCTTCCTTACCAAACCACCCGTCCCTTACTCCTCCCCCTCCTTCCCCTCCTTCCCCTCCTCCTCAGCAGCAGCCTCCTTCACAGCTTCCTCCTCCGCCCACCCCAACGCCTCCTCAAACACCTCCCTCAACTCCTCCCACTCCTCCAGCCCAACACTAACCCTCACCTGCTCCGGCACCGCTCCATACCCCGCATGATACTTCCTCACACTCTCCTCCGCGCCCCACAGCAAATCGTTGAAAGGCAAGGCGATCGTCAGATGTGCGCCCAGATGCGGTCCCTGGTGGACATGCAAATGGTCGTAAAACGCCTTCGCCACTCTCTTCGAGGGAAAATCGATGGACAGCAAACAGCCGAAGCCGGGGGTGAAGGAGTCGTTGCCTTCCATTTCGTCGTAGGGCGGGCCGCTGGGCGCGGGGGCGGTACCGGAGCGCATGTGGTGGAGGTAGTAAGCTGTTTGGGGGCTGGAGGCGGAGGGGGAGAAGCTAGGGTAGAGGACGCGGGAGATTACGCGGGGGGATTGGTGGGTGGTGGAATAGGTGTGCAGGAGGGAGGCGAGCATTTGGGCGTTGAGGTTGTGCGCTTGGGAGCGGGCGAGATAGGAGGAGGAGTTGGACAGGAGGTGGGCGGCATCGGGAGGGGAGAGGGTGTTGTGGTGCGAGGTGTTGAGGGTGGAGGAGAGGAGGGGGTGGTAGCGCGAGGAGGGGGAGAGGAGGATTGAGCCGGCCATTACCTGGGAAGGGGTCAGTGTTCACTTTTTGTGAAGAAAGGAAGCGGGAGAACGGGCGTAGGAAAAGAGAGGAGAACAAGAAATCGTGATACAGAGAGGGAGGACAAAGCAGGAGAATGGGGGAAAGAATAAACAAGGGGAAGACAACACCCAGAAAGGGGCGAAGTCTAGCAAAGGAGGGTTGACTTACATCCGCATAACCACTAAACGTCTTCGTCAAACTCGTAACCACCACATCCGCCACCGGCAACACATCGATATTACAAAACGACCCGACCGTATCGTCAACGACAACCGGGAAGTCGTACTCATCAGCCTATCACCCAACTCCCATTAGCATCTCACCCACCATCACCATCACCACATAGGTAGCTTTCCTCACATCCAAGGACAGGAACAGGAATACTCACGATCTTCCTCAACCTCCCCAAATCCACACTAACCAACAACGGATTACTAGGAAACTCCACAAACAAATACCCCACCCCCCTCCCCTTTTCCCTCAACCCCCTCGCATACTCCTCCAGTTGATCCATCACCTTATCCGAATCCTCGCACTCCCCAAAGTGCTTGAACCCCTCTACCTCTTCTTCCCCTTCTTCCCCTTCCGTCGGCTCGACTTCCTCAAACAAGTGGAAGGTAGAATGAAACACCGCTCCCAACGCCACCACCGGTCCTCGGCGTCCGGACTTAAAGAGAGCTTCTTGCAGACGGAAAACGGCGGCCATGCCGGTTGTGTAGAGGAAGATGTCGTTGGGGGTGAGGCGGGAGGCGATGGCGGGGTTGACAGGGAGACGTTGGCAGAGGGCTACGATCCTCTCGCGCAAGGCTTGGTGGGCTGGGGACTCTGGGAGGTAAGTCGGTTTGGGGATGTCCTTTTCCGTCAAGATTCCAGATCCAGATCCAGAAACGAAGTCAGACCCAGTGGCGGTCCACTCTAACACCTTGAACTGGCTGCTCGTTTCAGGTGAAGAAGATCCTTCGACCGGGAGCGGAACGAGAGGCAACAAAACCTCAGCCAACCTTGTACTGATCCCCACACCGGGATTCGTCCAAACACCCATCACCCCCTTGGATTTTTTCAACGGGTAGATGACCAGATACAACCTGACTTTTTCGGTAAGCGCAGCAGCGTCGGCGGGTACAGAGGCGTTGTTGGGGATAAGAGGGACATCGAAAAAATCAACAACCCTGAACTGCAAAGCCGAAGCATCGCTTTCGCTGTACCGATGCTCCGCCGGTCGGTGATGGGAGATGCAGTGCGCTGCGGAGAGCGGGAAGGCGTCGGGGGTGGTGAAGGGGAGACAGCCGTGGGTGGAGGGGGAGATCCCTGGCGCTGACGAGGGGGAGGTGGTGGAGAGGTGGGTTAGGATTTTGGTGCACAACTATTTTCTTGTTAGCTACCTACCTGAAATGTAATGAGAAGTGGAAAGGGAAAGGGAAAGGGAAAGGGAAAGGGAAAGGGAAAGGGAAAGGGAAAGGGAAAGGGAAAGGGAAGAGAAAGAAAAGAGGAAGAAAAGAGGAAGAAAAGGGGCATACATACATCCTTAACAAGAGAAAGAGGTGAAAAGCGCGGGTACATGCTCTTGAGCTGTTTGCCTAGCTCTGGGTCACCGTCACGGAGCCGGAGGGCGGTGTCCCATCCAGGCAGATGGGTGGTGATTGCGTGAGGAGTATGGGGAGGGAGGGAGTGCCCGAGGGGGGTGGTGATGGGTTTGACGGTCATGTTTGGCGGTCGTCCGTCACTTCGATTTGAGTGTAGGTGGTGTTGGTGAGTGAGTGAGTGAGTGATATCCAGCTAGAAGTGGTCTTTTCTCTCTGCTCAATAAATGTCAGCTGAGCTACTGACCTATGTCTAAGAAAAGTGAAGGTCGACAATAACTTACATGAGTGTCTTACGAGATGTAAAGTTAAAGTTCACCCATAAGACCCTGAGTGCATCCCCCGAGCCGCGAACAATCTGACGCCGCAGTCACAGGCCCAGACAGGGGATCGTGGTCCGGCTGCCACGGTGGCTTCAGGAACCAGGGACGCCGCCGAGCCGTATCCACTGAAAACGTGTGCTGACACACGCCTTCTAGAACGAGCGATAGAAACCATAGCCGCCGACCCTGAGAGCCGCTTTGTGGCTTCGGGTCGGGAGCCCCTGAAGCCCAAAGTAAACAAAGCGTTCGGCTGTCGGGAGAACCACCACCACAACACCAGGAACCAAGAACCTCAACTCAACTATTAACCCTGAATTATTTACTTTCCAACTCTGTTCTAGATCTATACTATTACATGCTTCCTTCTTCTAACCAAAACAAACCTCTACCATCCATCCATCAATACCTACTCTACCGACTGCTTGCTTACTTTCCGCTTACATCACATCAAACTACTCCTCCCACCAATCTCATTACTTCCCTGCCCATCCCTCATCTCCCCACTCCTGCCCACCACAAACTCATGATAAATCCTCTCCAACCTCTTTCTCTCCTTAACACTGATCGACGCCCTGGTTGCCTCCAGCGCCTTGTACAAATGCTTCCAATTAACCACCACCTCCTTGTTCAACGCACCACCAGCATCCTCCTTACCACCACCACCCACCGTGCCGTTAACCGCCTTGTGATCAGTTCCATTGACCTGGGCGGCAGCAGCAGCCTGTCTAGCCGCCTTCTTCTGCATCATCTTCAGCGTCTCCAGCTTGGCGCTGATAGCCGCCTTCTCCGCCAACTCGGCCGCTCTGGTTCTGGGCGCGGAGATGTTCTTCGCCACAGCGCCATCGACCTCGTCTCCATAGCGGAACTGCACGAAGTCGTTTCTTCCCGAGGACTTGGAGGAAGCCACGCCACGGCGAGAATGGGAAACCATACCGGTGCCCATATCAGCCAAAGCATCATGAATAGCCTCCAACTGCGCATTGGAAACCAACGCCTGCAGATCAGCGCCCGTGAACCCATCCGTGCGTTTGCCAAGTTCGAGCAAGTCCTCCTCCGAGGACCAGACTTTTTCGTCGACACGAACCTTCTGCGTAAGAGCCTTGATGATATCCAATCTATCCTCCAGATTCGGGAAGTCGCACAGCAGCGACTTATCCAAACGACCGGGACGCAACAAAGCCGGATCAATCAGATCCGGTCTCGAAGTAGCAGCCAGGACATACACCCCTGACAAACCCTCGGCACCGTCCATCTGCGTCAAAAGCTGGTTGACCACACGATCGGTAACGCCCGTGGAATCGTGTCCACGCTTGGGAGCGATGGAATCGAACTCGTCGAAGAACAAGACGCACGGCTTGGCGGCGCTGGCGCGCTCGAATAAGTCGCGCACGGACTTTTCCGAGGCACCAATGTACTTGTTGAGAATCTCGGGGCCCTTGACGGAGATGAAGTTGAGGCCGCACTCGCCTGCTACGGCGGACGCCAAGAGGGTCTTGCCGCAACCGGGGTAGCCATACAAAAGCAAACCGGAACGTAAGCGCAAAGGGCACTGGGCGAAGATGGGCGCGTACTTGGTGGGATATTCCAGGGTTTCGAGGAGGATCTGGCGCGTCTCCGTGAGGCCGCCGATGGAGGAGAAGGTGGTGGACGAGCTCTGAAGCGTGACGTTGCGCAGGGAGGCGGGCGTGAAGCCGGAGATGGCGGCGTCAAAGTCGGCGCGCGCGAGGTGGATGGTGGAGACGTCCTTGTCCAGGGCTTCACCTACGCACCGGCCGAGGGCTTCGTTGCGGGCGCGGGAGATGAGTAGAATGAGATCGCCGGGCATGTAGCCGTCGGTTTGGCCGGCGATGTCGAGAAAGTCGAGATCGGCGTCGAGGACAAAGCCGCTGGGCTTTTTGGTAGCCTTCTTAGGCGTGGGCTGGTTGGAGCCTTCCATCCAGCCGTCGCCGTCTTCGCCACCGGTGGTGCTGCCATCGCGGGTGGGCGGGCGGCTGTCGAGATCTCCGTCGGCAATTTCGCCATCTACCGGCACGGCGTCCTTCTTGGTGAGGGCTTCCATGATGCGTCTTCTTGTCTCCTTGTCGGGAGCGCTCAGGTCAACGATTTCACGGGCGACGTGACCACCGACTATGACGTTGTGAAGTGAGTCCTTGCCCTGGCAGGTAGCAAGCAAAACGACGTTGCTGTCTTTACCGCAGTATTGCTTAACCATGGAGCAGATGGCTTCACTGATTTGTCTGCTTCGGGCATTGTCGTTTCCGACTTGGAGCTCCTGTTCCGACGGGCAGAGCTTGTCGAGATCATCCAGGACAACGACCGCCTTGCCGCCCAGTCTGGCGCCCCAGCTGGCTGCCATAAAAAGATGGTTCAAGGTCTCCTTGATGTTGGATATCCTGCTCTCGTCATTGACAAGCTTTGTGCATGGGAAGTACGTGGTGTGATAGAGCTGGGTTGACCGCAACGTGCGGGCAACGGACTGTGCCACAGATGTCTTGCCGGAACCCTGGCCACCGGTAAGAAGGACGGAAGACATGTGAGTCAAATGCAACTGGAGCTTCTCCAACAGCGAATCAATCCCAACTAGCAAAGAGTCAGAGGTCTCAAAAGACAAGTCACCGTCACCCTCTGTCAACCACGCCGGCTTGCCGATAGGCGCCTGAACAGAAATGGGAACCTTCCAGTCAGATCCAAGAACCCAGCTCAATGGCTTCTTTCCAGATGCCTGAGTAGCAGGTGCGGGCTCAAACTTGATGATGCCGCCCTCCCAGCCACGGGGGCAGTCAAACCCATCATAGAGCGCCAGCACCTGGCCATCTGTGATAGGCCCAGACAGTATCCCAGTGCCTTCAGGTCCGTAGATGTGGTCGACCTGCTTAGCAGCCTCCTCCTTTTCCGCCTTGGACTGACCGCCAAACTTTAAACCACCAGCAGAAGCCGCAGTCTTTGCCGACGCAAACGGGTAGATGTTGATCTTTGTAAGCGAAGCGCGCGAAACACCGTCCTTGTCCACGCTCTTCTTGCCCAAAGGAGATGAAGCGGCCTCAATCTTGACCACTCCACCGACCATTCCATGGCTTCCAAGCGCCGCAGCAAGAGGCGACGAAAGAGCAGCTACCTGCCCATCAGGAGGGTCATCCCATCCGCGGAGGTGAGCCACAATCTTGGTCGATGGCGCCGAAGCGGGATCGACCTGTTCGGGCTGAACAGGGGCATCGGTTGTCGGTTGTAACCCAGCCGGGCGCACCACAGTAACAGACACATATTTGGCCCCCTTCAAGTCTCCCGTTGTCAACAAATCGCGGTCAACCCACACGCTAAGATCGTCGGTCGGCTTCTCGTCGTCGAACCATTCCTGGAGATGTTTCCGGTCGATACCCCTCAAAAACACGGGCGGCGTCTTTTCCTCCTTCTTTCTCCTACTTGTGCTTGCCGAGCTCTTCCCACTCTTCTTGGAGTTTCCACCCACACTCCTGTTATCCTTGCTACTGCGTGTCTTGGAGCGGACCTTGGGCGCCACAATGATCTCGGCATCGGGGGCAATCTTGGCGCATGGCGCGTCAGGAGGCAGAGGAGGATCGATGGAGATGACCTTGATGTTGGCCTTTGACGTTTGCGACAAGTGTAGGGTTAGGGGATGTGGTGTAGAGGGAACGCCGCCGGGAGCGTAGACCGGGTTGGGAATGGCGCGGACTTGGAACAGCAGGTTGTCTTCGAGGAAGGTACCGTGTAGCTCAATCATTTCCCAGTCGTCGGGTGTAAGGGGTTCGATGTTGACGGTGGTGGCCATGGGCGGGTCGAAGTGTACTGTGGCCATGACCTTCTGCCCTTCCTTGAGGCCCAGGGTGCCGGCCAGAGTGGTGTCGATCTCGACGAGGGGGATTTCCTGGTCGCGCGACGAAGTAGACCGTGTCCTGTCGATACCGTGACTCCCAACCATGGGGTTGACCTTGCGCTTGCTGGGCATGCCGGTCCATCCTACGAAGATGTTCTTGTTGACGGAGGGGGGGGCGCCCGAAGCGATGGCGTCAGGGGTCGACTGGACGCGGTAGTTGAGCTCGACAATGACATTCTGGGCGGGCTGTCCATAAGGGATCTGTGTCAGCTGGAGTCTAATGGCATTCCCCCTGTCTCTATGACTGGACTGCTTACCGTGTTGACATTGGAGAGAAGGGATGCCAGTGACGGTGGCAGGTTGACGAAGCAGTTTTGGAGATGGACCAGGGAGATCTCGGCAGCCGTGGACTGCGCGTTCTTTCTGGGAGCCATGGTTTCGTCGGTGTCGACTGTTATGGTCGTGATGCTGTCGTGGTGTTTGGCATAGGCAATGAACAAGTCCGAGATGTCAGATGAAAGTGTCCTGACCGTAATGTTAGCTTAGCTGAGTTGACCTAACAATTACACCGGGGATCCACTCCATCCCCGGGTTTCCAGCTGTCTTGGCCCTCTTTGGGCGGAGATCCAGGGGCATGATTGGTGTTGACTGCAGCTGATTGTCTCCAAGAGCCCCAGTCGCATGTGCCCGGGCCGAGGCACAGGGACGGGACCTGCTACAGGGGGTTTCGGGGATGTCCCAGCGCAGGTACAGCCGCACATAATTGTTAGGGCGGGACATTGTCTTGAAATTGGTGATGATTTCGAGGAAGGAGATATCTGGCATTGCAACAACAAAACAAGATGGGTATGGCGGCTTAAAGGTATCTAGAGAATATAACAGATTGTAAGATGAGTGAGAGGTTATAATAAGTGATTCAATGGTGTCAGCTGACAGGGAACTACACACTCCCATGGTTGACATTCATGAGCCATCAAGTCGAGATCAAAGTCACTATGCAACACTGACACACCTCCTGTAACTCGAATGCTGCCGCCACTCACTGCCACCTGCCAATGTCAGTGCCCAGGGACGCCTGCAGCCCATTAAAGATTCCTTTGCTTGACGCGTCTCATCGCGACTCAAAACGCGACAGTCCAACCACCCCAGTCTCTGGGAGGACCCACTCTTTGCTTCTCCATTCACATGTTGACATTCAGCCAAGTGGAATTCCCATCGCAACCAAAACAATCGCCGTCTTCCGTCGCAAACACAGCCCAGCCCACCACACACCGAGTTGCGCCATATCACATATCGCACCATGGCGCTCCTCAGATACCCCGCCCCCGTCGATTACGACGCGCAGATGTGTAAGTGATGGCAACTCCAAGCCGACGAGGGAAAAGTTTGATCGCATCTCGAAGCGCGGAAGATCGCATTAGGCTGGGAGCTAACTACGACGAACAACAGCCGCGTTTGAAAACTTTCTCGACGACTTCAAGACCTCGCCCCAAGACTCCATCACCCATGCGCTAGGAAACATCGATATTAACGAGGACGACCTCAGCGACGAGTATGACTTCATGGACGAGGACGACGATGATGCGCAGGAACAGCGCCGCAGGGAAAGAGCTAGGAGACGCGCTCCCCGCCACAAGTACAAGGAGCTTCTTCAGGAACTAGCAGACCGCAAGATCAACGAGATAGTCATCGACCTGGACGACCTTCAATCATGGGAGGACGATGTCAACGAGGGCCTCAAGCTCGTCGAGTCGGTAGAGCGCAACACCAAGCACTACGTCGAGGTCCTGTCGCGCGCCGTGGACAAGCTGTTGCCCCAGCCCAGCAACGACATCACATTCAAGGACGATGTGCTTGACGTCCTGATGGCCAACCGCCAACAGCGCAACCGTACCCTCACCGAGGCCGCCGAGAACCTGCGCGACCCCGACATGCTCAACGACACATACCCCGCCCAGCTCACCCGCCGCTACACCCTCGTCTTCAAGCCCAGGACAATGACCGCTGACGGGCCTCAAAAAGCCCTGTCCGTTCGCCAAGTGCGCGGCGACCACCTCGGCCACCTCATCACCATCCGCGGCATTGCCACCCGTGTGTCCGACGTCAAACCCATCGTCCAGGTTGGCGCCTACACTTGCGACCGCTGCGGTTGCGAAATCTTCCAGCCCGTCACCGACAAGCAGTACGCCCCCCTGACTCTCTGCCCATCCAAGGACTGCAAGGAGAACCAGGCCAAGGGTCAGCTGTACCCGTCGTCGAGGGCATCCAAGTTCCTGCCCTTCCAGGAGATCAAGATCCAGGAACTCGCCGAGCAGGTCCCCATCGGTCAGATCCCCCGTACTCTTACCATTCTTGCGTACGGCAGTCTGGTTAGAAAGGTCCACCCCGGTGACATTGTCGACATCTCCGGCATCTTCCTCCCTACTCCTTACACCGGCTTCAAGGCTATGCGCGCTGGTCTGTTGACCGACACCTACCTCGAGGCCCACCACATTGTCCAGCACAAGAAGGCCTACACCGAGATGCAGATCGACCCCTCCCTTCTCCGCCGTATCGCCAAGTTCCAACAGACCGGCAACACGTACGAGTACCTCGCCAAGTCCATCGCCCCCGAAATCTACGGCCACCTCGATGTCAAGAAGGCCCTCCTCCTTTTGTTGGTTGGCGGTGTCACCAAGGAAGTTGGTGATGGTATGAAGATCCGCGGTGACATCAACATCTGCCTAATGGGTGACCCCGGTGTGGCCAAATCCCAGCTGCTCAAGTACATCTCCAAGGTCGCCCCTCGCGGCGTCTACACCTCCGGCCGCGGTTCCTCCGGTGTCGGTCTCACAGCCGCCGTCATGCGCGACCCCGTCACCGACGAAATGGTTCTCGAAGGCGGCGCCCTCGTCCTCGCCGACAACGGCATCTGCTGCATCGATGAGTTCGACAAGATGGACGACAACGACCGCACCGCCATCCACGAAGTAATGGAACAGCAAACCATCTCCATCTCCAAGGCCGGCATCTCCACGACGCTCAACGCGCGCACCTCCATCCTGGCGGCCGCCAACCCGCTCTACGGCCGCTACAACACGCGCCTCTCGGCCGTCGAGAACATCAACCTCCCCGCCGCCCTGCTGTCCCGTTTCGACATCATGTTCCTCCTCCTCGACACGCCCACCCGCGACACCGACGCCCAGCTCGCCAAGCACGTCGCCTACGTGCACATGCACAACCGCCACCCGGACATCGGCAACGGGCCGGACTCGTCCGTCTTCACCCCCGAAGAAGTCCGCGCCTACGTCGCCAAGGCCCGCGAGTACCGCCCCGTCGTGCCCCAGGCTGTGTCCGAGTACATGGTCAAGACGTACGTGCGGCTGCGCGCGCAGCAGAAGCGCGCAGAGAAGAAGAACCAGAACTTTGGCCACACCACCCCGCGTACCCTTCTCGGTGTCGTCCGTCTCGCGCAGGCGCTGGCTCGTCTCAGATTCAGCAACACCGTCACGCAAGATGATGTCGATGAGGCGCTGCGTCTCGTCGAGACTAGCAAGGAATCGCTCGCCCAAGACGACAGGAATGCCGCCGGCAACAGGCGGGCGATGAACGCCAGCAGCAGGATCTATAACCTCGTCAAGGGGCTGGCGGATAGCGGAGCGTGCAGGCCGGATGATGTGGATGGCCAGGAGGAGGAGGAGGAGGATGAGTTTGGTGTGGAGATGAGTTTGAGGAAGGTCAAGGAACGGGTTATTGCTAAGGGGTTCACCGAGCAGCAGTGGTTGAGTGCGTTGGATGAGTATACTGATTTGGATGTGAGTGCCCGTTTCGTATCCCTGACTGATAGAGGATATGTGCTGACGAGAAAATTCAATAGGTCTGGCAAACGGCTGGTAATGGAACTAGGTTGGTGTTCATTACTGCGGGTGGTGAGAGGGAGGGTAGTGAGGATATTTAGACCTAGGGGTGAAGGCAGGTAGGTATAGAGGGGTGGCTGTGACTGTGACTGGATATTGTTGGGGTCAAGGAAAACTGTTCAGCTTGCTGTTTTTTTATGTGATATTGATGTCTGGGTGGGTGTGTTATCCATCCAAACTGGCGTTGTAAGGGTTCAAGTTGAATGATAACGGAGTTTTGGGATTTCATGAGTTGATTTGTGTAGTGAAAATGGTATCGGTGAGTTGTGAACTTGATTTAACACATTACACACGATGACAATCTCTAGAGGGTTTCATGGACGTCCTACATTGAAACCATCAAACACATACGATAAACACAGCAATGGAGTCAAAGAAAGCAAGCAAGCAAGCAGATCAACCGGGAGGTCCACGGACTTTCATTTTCATCTCTCTGATATGCTTCTTTTGATACAGCCATTAACGCCAGTTGATCTCATTGTGGTCCGTCGGTGGTAAGAACCACGATGATCGAAAATAACTTTGTAGTATGTAGAATCCTCCCAGTAGTACAGTAAGTATATAACCTTGAACGCCGAAATGCCTAGTAGGTAAGGTAAAGTAGCAACGAAGCTTCCTTCTTTGTCTCTTGTCTTCTTGTCTTGCCTCTCCCGAGTCCTTCCTTGCTGATACACGAGCCAGCACCTCACTTCAATCACCTTCTTTGCCTCTTTCCATGCTCGACCCTTCCTTCCACACTTCCACATGTCTTCCTTTCCCCCATCTCCATCTCCATCTCTCCATCTCTCAGGAACCGTAAACGCCGATCATCAAACATGGTGAACCTAACAGCTTACTTCTTCCTCCCATCCTCCTTCCTAGAATTAGCTCTCATCTTCCTCTCATTCCTCTTCACCCGCTCCCGAATCTCCCGTCTCTTATCGCCCCGCACACTCTGTCCCTTCTCCATCCTCTTCTCCTCCGCGGCCTTCTTGACCTCAATAATCGGCGCATCCTCACCGGCCTTGTTCGCGCCCTTGTATCCCCACTTGCGTCCCCACTCGCCCGTGGCTTCGTCATACTGCAGATTCCGACGCTGCTCGCGCGTCTTGGGCTTGATGCCTCTACGCTTGGCGAACTGACTCCATTTGGTTTCGGCCTTCGGTGTCGGCACGGGCTTCTCGCGCGGCAGGGGGGTTTGAGGAGGGGGGAGGCTGAGGAGAACGCCGGCGGGGGTGGATGAGATGGGGCAGGCCGAGAGGAGTTGGTTGATTAGCGATTGGCAGCCGTCGCGGGCGATGGAGGCGAGTTGAGGTTCGAGAGGGGAGGATGACGAGAGGTTGAGGGGGTTGGGGTCGGAGGCGAGCAGGAGACCGAGGTCGAAGGTGTAGGGGGTTGGTTTGTCGACTGTGACGGGGAGTTTGTTGGTGGGCTTGGTGGCCGCGGGGGTGGTGGTGGCGGCGTCGGACATTGTGATGTTTTTTTGTTTTTTTTTGGTTGCGCGGGTCGATTGAGTTGGGTTTTGTTTGGTATTTGACTGGTCTGAAGTGGGCTGTGTGATGGTTGGAAGATTAAGCCCAGTCCGTGGTGGTGACGGGTTGATTTGGGTGAAAATGACTTTGGGGGTATCTTTTGTCGTTGGCAGAACTGGGATCGCATTCTCTGGAAGGAGAGAGGTGCTGCTGGTTCTGGATCTACTGAAAATTTAGGCGGTGACGGGCAGCAGATTCGAGCTTGGGGGATGCTGCGGGACCGCTGTCAATTGGAATCTGATGTTCTCATTGGCTGGAGTACCCCAAACAGGCAAACCGCCGACTTCTTGGCGCAGGGGAATGGAGGGACTGCTGCCAGGTTGGTCTGTGCTTGCGAACTTTCGAACGCGCCCGCTCCGCTTGCCGTGCGGCATCAGGTCCCGTCCCGGTTGTTGACTTGCGATATTGCCCGGTAGCTTCACGGGCTGTGTTTCAACCTTCCGGCCGCCAGCCTCAACACACCACCCCCGCCCGCCCGACCGACCGACCGACCACCCGCACCAATGTCGGCCGCCAACTGCCTGAGGTGCCTCGTGCGCCCCTCGGCCGTGGCCCTGGTCCCCCGCCAGATCCTCCAGGTCGGTGGTGGCAGCCTCACCTTCACTGCGACCGCCGCAACCAAGGGCGCCTCCACGGCCAACACAGGAGGGCGATCGAACGCGAACCGCCCCCAGAAGCTGCGTTTCAAGAAGACCAAGAAGAAGAATGTCTCATCCCACTCGGGCAAGCCGCCTCTGCCCGGTGAGCGCAAGGCCTACCGCAAGAAGATCGTGCTCAGCAACAACAACGCCCTGCCCGTGCCCGGCCTCGAGAACCTGCGCCCCAGCGACCTGTCCAAGCAGAAGAATGCCGGCACCGTCAAGGCCCTGCCCGAGGACATTGTCGACGCCCTGCGCGCCATGGAGGCCTTCAAGCCCACCCAGTGCTGGGGCATCTTCCGCCAGCCCTCGGTGCTCATCCGCCAGGAGACGGTCGACCTGACCAAGAAGATGGAGGCCGCCGGTGCCGACGGCAAGACGATCCGCATGGTTATTGAGGGCAACAGGATAACGGGCAAGAGCTTGATGCTGTTGCAGGCCATGACGCATGCGTTTATGAACGACTGGGTGGTGTTGCACATTCCCGAGGGTACGTTTCCCGCTTCTACAACACATATCTAAACACCGAACTGACATATACCTTGTGTGAAAAAAAAAACAGCCCAAGAACTAACCACCGCCGTAACCGAATACGCCTCCATCGAAAATTCTCCCCTCTGGACACAACCGACCTACACCCTCAAGCTCCTGCACGCCTTCAAAAAGGCCAACGAGAAGGTCCTCTCGCGCATGAACACGGTCTACTCGCACGCCGACCTGCCGCAAATCATCCCCATCAACTCGCCCCTGATGCAGCTCATCAACAGCGCCAAGGAGGCCGACGGCGCCTGGACCGTCTTCCAGGCTCTGTGGCGGGAACTCAACGCCGAGAACGTGCCGGGCCGCCCCCCGATCCTTTTCAGTCTGGACGGCCTCGCCCACATCATGAAGGTGTCGGACTACCGCAACCCGGCCTTTGAGCTGATCCACTCGCACGACCTGGCGCTCGTCAAGCTCTTCACCGATTGTTTGAGTGGTGCCCACGTGATGCCCAACGGCGGCGCCGTGCTGGCCGCCACGACGCGCGGAAACTCGCCGAGGAGCGCGAGCATGGAGTTGGCGATTGCCCAGCGGGAAGCCGAGAAGGCTGCTGAGGAAATCCCCCAGCGGGACCCCTATGGCAAGAAGTACGATGATCGCGTGGAGGCGGTCATGAAGAGCGTGGACATCTTGAGGCTCAGGGGTGTCAGCAAGGCGGAGGCGCGCGGTCTGTTGGAGTACTGGGCTGCTAGTGGTGTGCTGAAGAAGAGGGTGGATGAGAGCACGGTTAGTGAGAAGTGGACGTTGAGCGGGAATGGTGTAGTGGGTGAGATGGAGAGGGCTTCGCTTTTGACTATGAAGGCTTGAGTTTGAGTCTGAGACGTGAGGTCTGAGGGGTGGGGGGAGTATATAGATAGGTGTGTGTGTGTATGTGTGTGTGATAGATAGGTATGTATGGACTCTTTGTAACTCTAGAAAATAGGGGTTAGTTGTTGTGTAGGATTGAAAATATCAGCCTGTATTTTTAGTACGAACGAGAACGTTTGGTTCATATTACTGACATCTGGTAAGTTTTGTTGGATGAGAGATGAAATCCTGAGCATACACACAGGTCAGATGGCAGCAGTCTACTGATCGAGTCAGAGTTTAGAACCATTTCGATTGAAACCTAACATTCTCGACTCACTTCAACGTCCAATTACTTTGCTTCACTTTTCGCTAAGCGTTTACTCAGCAGGACTGAGAGGACGGAAATCTTTATAGCAGACCTCAAGCGTCTTCGGATTTCAAGTCACCACACGAATGTCACCACCATGATTATCATCTCAACCTTTTTGCACATTCAATATTCAGTTTGCGTGTATGTACCCAAGAAATTCAATTCAATTCAATTCCATTTGCCAAACCACACAGCACACACCACGTAGGTAGGTAGCATGGTATATCTCGCTTCAATAAAGCCAAGCCTCTCTCTATTCTTACAAGTCCGGGCGGGATCTTCTTCCCCGGCCGGATTCATGCTTGCTGCCTGCCTCTTTATGTCTCTTCGCCATCCAAGTCAAGTCAACTTTTCTCTTTCTCTTTCTCTTTCTCTTCCCTTCGAACCTTGATCTTTCACGTACGTACTTTTCCGCGCCCCTCTTGGGTTCTTCTTCTTCTCCTTCCTATTTTCCCCTCCAGTTTGCTGGCTGTCGTCCAGAAACCACGCGGTGTAACAGTTGACAGTTGCTTAGTTGCTCCCGGTATTCCAGCTTGGTCACGTCTCTCCTCCCCTCCTCCCCTCCTCCTCCCCTCCTCCTCCCCTCCTCCTCCCCTTCTCTCCATTTCATTCTCCGATATGGTTACAAGCAACTGTGTGAACGACGACGACCTCAAATCTAGTGGATAAGCAGCAGGCAGCAGGCAAACTGGCAATAAAAAGGGAATATGATAATGATTGACTAAACGACAACTGTACGCGGAAGGGGGTATTTCAAACGCAAACAAACAAGCAACCGATTAACAGAAAAACAAAAAAGGAAAGACCCGTAGTAGATAACGATCGCATTGCATTGCCTTCTTCTTGACTTCGACTCAACTTGACTTTAAAAAAGGAAACTTCTTCTTGGGACTTGATGTGTCTGTTAGTTGGTTGTGTGTGTGTGATAAACATGGATTGGTATGGTGGTAGGTAAAACTATAACGTTGTTCTTTGGTAGAGTAAACGAGAGATAAGAAAAGAAAAGGAGAATTTCGTCCACAGCATAAAAGTCGTGTCTTGTGTGTGTTCAAAGTTGTGTTTTGTGTGTGTGTGTGTGTTGTCTCTGTGTCTGAGTGTCTCAATATGAGTTTGTGATATCGCCCCTCCGTGTCCTCAACGGACTGTGACTGTGACTTGTGTGTCCTCAACGGACTCTAGTGGACTAATAAACCACTCACGAAAACCTCCTCACTGAAAAAAGGTCGATAAGCCTATAAGCATAAGGAAATGAAAAGAAGAAGCGAAGAAAGAACAAATTGTCCAAGCAGCAGAGCCCTCTTAAAACCCCATCGGTGACAGTGGTTTTATGGGCGAAAGAGCCGGTAGCTCACCCGGTTGTAATTGTCTCCGGTTCTGATGATTTGGTCCTCGCGCAGGTGACGCGTCTCGATCACTGACCAGCGTGATGGTCGTCAATATTGTTGAGCCGGTGTCAACAGTGGCTGTTTGTGTTGTTTCTTGCGTCGTGTTCTTTTTCCTTAGTCGCTGGACTGGCGGTGGTTGCGCTGGTTGTTGCGCATTTCCGTTGCGATGGGCTGGAGGAATAACCTGACCCCCCTGTTGTTGATGAGCTCTTTGCTCCCTTTCTCGTTCTCGCTGTAATGCCCTTTCCCGGTCTTCTTGTTCCTCCCTTTCCCTCAACTCCGTCTCCCGCTTAGTAACCCTGTGGCTCCTTGGTGGCGGTTGGTCGAATAGCGCATACTCCTCCTCGATGTACTTGGCTTCGTTCTTGCATCCCTTCCAGCAGTCCCTCCAGTCGCATACCAGGAACTTGAAGCAAAAGGCATCGATCTTCATGCATGGCTGGAAGCAAATGCAGAGATTCCGGAAATCCATCTTGTTCTTGTCCGAGTGCGCGAGCAGCAGGCTGAGGTGACATGTAATGGCGAAGAGTAGGTAGTACTTGAAGGGCGAAAGGTTGGAGAGCTCTTCTCTAAGTAACTCGGGCACTTTCTCTGCCCCCGCGCATTCCTTGGCCACTCTTTCTTGGGCTGCTTTCGGGAATAGTTCGTCGGGTAGTTCGCGGAGCCATGCCTTTAACATGGAGCCGATAATGTTGATGTCGTAAAGATCTGGTTGTTCGAAAAGGTCCACATCGAGCTCTGCGAAAAAGTCAACGTTAGAACCGTTTCTCAGAAAAGCTTTTGAACACATACCTTCGTCAAATTTCCGCTGCCACTTTTTGATTTGCGGTCCACTGCCAGGAACTCGATATAACCCTTCAACGTCGCTTCCCTTGTAGTTGAGATAGTCGATCGCTCTCCAGGGGAACGCTGGCATCCAAAACTCTGTCTTGTCGCGCGAGTCCTCCAGCCTCTTGGATATTCGGGTTAACCGCGTCTGCTCAACGAGCGGTAGGTTGATAACCTTGAGAACGTAATGCTCGTCGTCTATTACCGGCTCCTTTGGTGCGAACCTGTCTTCCCTCGAACTTCCAAACAACTTTTTGGTGAGAAAGCCGGCGGCTCTACTTTCTTTTAGTCCGTTAAAGAGCGATCCGCCTGCCTCCTTGAGCGATATGGACTGATTCCTGTTTATGCCCTCAAAATGCTTGCTACCACCCGCCCTCTCCGCCGAATGGCCTCTTGGTCCGGACACCATCATGTCGCGAAATGTGCGTTCTTGTATTGGTGCAGTTCTCGGTGCTGATGTCGCATACACCTTGTCGGGTTCGCCAGGTCTCGCGGGCGCGTACACAGGTTCTCGAGAATTTGGTTGGTTTTCCTTCTCCTTCTCCTTGTGCGATCTTGTGCGACTTAATAGGGTGAATGGTTTGGGTTTGCTCCTTCTGTTTTTGTTCGCTGTTTCGTATTCGTTGGATGAGATTAGAGATACTTCAGACTTGGCAGGCAGAGTTGGGCTCTTCCCTTGCGATGGGTATTCGTTATATGACGGATCTGTGCAAACGGGGACAAGTTAACATACAGAAGCACATGGGACCAAATGGCATCATCAATGCGAAGCAACTCTTGACACACCTAGGAGCTCGTGATTGGCATTTGACCTTGAATGGGCAGATGGTTCGGTCTCCCTCGACATACCTTCTGTTCGCGATTCGAAGAGCTGAGGAGAATTTGCGCGTTCTGACGACCTGCTTGGTTTTCCAAAGCTGAGAAAGAAACTCGACTTGGACGACTTGTCCTCGTCGTTTCGGCTATGTTTGTGGCCCTGATGATCGGACGATTGCGACGGTACCGGCGTGGAGGTGGTCGCGCGTGAATGGTCCTCGGGCGGGACCTCTGGGGATTTCTGCCGTTGATAGCGCTGGTCTTGGGAAACGGCGACGGCTTCGACGGGTTGCTGGGTCGGGGGTGACGAGGTTCTCGGTGGCTCCCCGGGGGATTCTGGCTTTTGAAGGCCGATCTTGAAAGGGGAACGTGGGGACCTTGGCGATCGCGAGGCTTGCGGAGTCGAGCGCCCGCTGGCCAAACTACTACCACTACCGGTGGCACTGACGGCGCTGCTGCTTGGGGCTTGTTGTTGTCGTTGGGTGGTGTCACCAAGGCGCGGAGAGGTTTCTTTTCCAGGAGTTCCGGATTCTGCCAGCGTAAGCGGTTGCGGTACGCCTTTTCGGGCCATCTCTTTTCGCTCACTTCTTAGGTTGTTCCAGGTCCAGGCGCGGACAATGACGACCGAGATAGATCGGATCGAAATCGGTTATCAGGTGTGGCGCCTGTGTTTTAAGGATAGACTAATGTATGCTTGTCGAACGGGATCCCGATTCGTTGTCTGGCGCAGTCAGATTTCAGGTCAGCGAGTCGGTCTTGTCCGCTGCGGTATCACGTCGAATGTCAGGGTTTGCTTTGCAGTTTGCAGGGAGGTTAAAATAGACGAAAGTGGCCGACTGCGACAAATGAGGCAGCGACCCAGCGAGGCACAAACGTCGAGGTAACATGAAAGTGTCAGGTAGGGATGGCGCAGGCTGCACACAACCGGGCGCGCGCGAAGGAGCCGAAAGAGAAAGCGAAGAAGGAATCCAGCAGAGCTGACAGATATGGACTAGGATAGTAGAATTAGGCTGGGGCCGGGCTGAAGGTGTGATGGAGATGGGTAGTGGATGTGTTATGGAGGCAAGGCAGAGGATGATCGGAGGAGGAGGATGCGCAAAGACGGGCAAAACGGTATGTGACGGAGCGGCGCTGGCTGACCTTTGGCAAACCAATTGATTTCCCAACTCGGCGACGGCTTTCACTGCGACATCCAGCTAGAGGTAACCCGGAGTAGTTGTTCGCAATATTTGATGACGAGGCGATGGCATGTAAGGGGTCGGAGATATACTCGAGGTCGACGAATATGTATGTACGTATGTACCTATGCGGTTCCGCAGCCCTTCCAGGATGTATGCTAAGGAAGAGGGAACAAAGGGATCGTGGACGTGCGCTCGCCTCTATGACTGACTGGTCCTGGAGAGGGAATCCGAGGGTCGAAGGGCCAGCCAGGTAGGCTACCTTGAGATGCGCCGCGATCACTATACGTCAGAATTGATGGAGTCCTGTAGAGGTAATCGGGAAGACCGCCAGCGGGCAGCCCGGTTGCGATTAGGTTGGAGAGGCAGAGTCGCCGTCGTGTTGTAGTGTTGAAAATCCAATGTTAAGGGGTCAAGTTCCTGTTCGGAGGTTTCTGAGCAGAACTGAAACGACGAGATGTCAGCCTGGTCGGAGAATGGGTCCGTTCCTGCAGCAGCACGATGCGTGTGAGAGGTGGTCGGACGGTGGTGTCGATTTTGGCAGGATACTCCGAACCGACGTTGATGCGTCGACGGGATGGGGGGAGTCGGTCGATTATGGAGTTCCCTGGTTGGAGTTCTTCAATTCTGGAGTCTCTTCGCTGTGGAGTCTGATGAAGGGAGCGGGACCAGCGGACTTGATTAGGGAGATGGAGACACGCAGGGCAACCAGGGCACCAGCTTGACGCTTTGAGCTTTTGCCAGGCGCTGGCTGGCTGTTAATGCCGGCAAGCTTAGCGGCCGGCTCTGTTAACGTCGTACTAACAGCGGAGACTTGTCTTGACCTCGACTGGGCTCGCAAATTGGAGGTAGTCATTGGTACCTGGTGGACAGTCAACAATAGCAGTGTGGATCCGGGCAGTTCCGGTTCAGGCCCAACAGGACCTCATCAGCGGCAGGACAGGGCGACAGGCAGCTTTGACTTTTTTGTTCACTTGTTGTTTTCCCTCCCGGGTTCAAGGGAAACCTGAAACGGCAAGCGAAGACACAAGAAGCAGTCACTCACGACCTGGAGGGATGCTTGGATTGGCCCATCCCTGTTCCTTTGTTCTTTTAAACGCCATGATGGGCCAACAGCAGTTGGGAGAAACAACCAATCTCCATCTCTCTTGTCCGCCAAGAGCATCTCCAATATGCCCTGGACAGGCTGGGCATTCATCAGCGGGGAAAGCGAAGGGTACCTGGCGGATTTGGGTGCATTTGTCAGATTCAAGGGTGGTTTTAGCCATACCATATGGAGGTTAGCGCTCCAGCCACCTAATATTGCCTGATTTCTGGGCATATCTAGGTTACCCCAGCACCCCTCATACCTTCTGGGCGAGCTATACACACTCTTCAATCAATCAATTCTATATGGTTATATCTAATAATTAATAGTCTAATTTGTATATTTATGATTAACGCTACAATTATAGATTATAAGCAATATTCTTATAAAACTAACAACGTTAGCTATATTTCTGTTAAAAGAATCTACTAATAAGGCTATTATAATTATCCTCAATACCCCTTCTAACTAGCTTAGCTAATATAAAGCTCTTAAAAATTCGCTAGTAATAACCTAAATTTTAATAATTAGCTATTTAAAGGAGGACCTATAATTTAAAGGGTTTTACCCTCTAAGCTGGAAGATTTCTTCTTTACTAAATGAATAAAAAACCGCTTTCTAATAGTAAAAAAAGAGTTCGTTAAATTTAATAGAGGAATCCGGATTAAGAAAATCGTAATTACATTTGTAATAATTACTACAATAACTACTAATATTAATGGTACTGTTATTGAGGCTACTACGGCTACCTAACTCTAAGAAGAAGCCGCCGTTAGCGCTAACGAAAATAATAAGGAAGGAAGTTTAAAAGAAAAAAATGAAAATGAGGAAAAGGAGGATGATAAATACTATACCGAATGAATTATTAAGGAGGATATAGTTATTAACCCCTCTACCGACTTAATAATTACCGGGAAAGTAACGTACGAGTAAGCTAATAATATATATAATACTCGCTATAAGTACTAAAAAGACTTCAATAATCCTAATACCCGAATTCGTAATTAAATAAGTACCTACGTTGCCGCCTACTATACTAATACCTTATTCGAATAGGATGAATCTACCTGGAATTAATTTAGAAAAATTAAGAATCAAATTAATTATTGCTCTATTAACTAAATCGCTAAAGCTTGTCGAAACTATTAAAACTTTATTAAAAGAATTATAAAGAAATAACTTAAGAATTTTAAAAAGTAATTATCCGATTAGGAAATCCTTATTGTAAACGGAAAGAAACTCGGAATTAATAAAGTAACTTCCCCTACTTTATAGTTGACTAATGTTATCGATATAGTCCGTAAATATAAACCTATCTAAATTGGTAACTCTTAGAAATTCGATAACGAATTCGAGAAAATATGTTTAAAATATAAGGATGTATCTACTAATTTAAAAAGAGTTAATATACCAAAATATACTGTATTATTAATTAATTCTAAGAAAGCTATAGTTCGTAGCGCTTAAAATATTAGCTACTCTAGCTCGTAAGAATGTGTATTTAATAAAAAGGATACTCTTAATTCTAATTGTAAAAAGAAATAAAAGGCAAATGTAAAGAAAAAATGTAGTGTGGATAAAAATATAAAAGATTCTTTACAGCTGAAAAAAAGAGGAAGCGCTACGCCGCTTTATAAAATTTACGAACGAAGCCTTTACCTAATAACGTACTATTAATATTTAAGACTTAAAATTAAAGATAATCCTAAATAGAAACTAGGTGCCCCTATTTAGAAGTTTATTAATAAAAATTTCGAAAAGAATTCTAAAATTAATAAAAAGGTTAAGAAGGCCAGGAATTAAATATAGGACCGCTTCATCGCTTCTATGCAAATTACTACTTCGAAAAAGTTAAAGGAGACGAAAAATCGGTACTTACGATTTAATATTTCTTATTAAATAAAATACTTTTAACGTAAATAATAATAAAGATAATACTTACCTAGTTAAGAACTTTATAATCCTCAATTCCGGGGCTTCCATTTATATTTTTACCAAAATCAATCGTTTTTTTTTGTTTCGAATAGCGTTCCTAAAAAACCGTATTTAAACTAATAAATCTTAAATACATATTAAGGGTTTAAAAACTATTAATGTAAAAATATAAAGAGAGAAGGTGATTTTAAAATTATAATTAAAAAAAATAATCTTCTACCTTAATTTTATCATAAATTTTATATTACTACGCTTATTTCGAAAGTAAAGTTTTTATTAGGATTATAAACCCCCTAATAATTACTTCCGTTGGTTAAACAGCTTACTCTTTTATTTCCTTTAAAAAATCTATTATTAAACGGTCTTTAAATACTTACCCTTCTCTTTCAACTGTGCTGCTTTTTTTATTTATTGAAATTGTTTTAACTCTTTTACTAGCTATTTGCGTATAAAATACCTACTAAATTCTAATATAAGCGATTCAACTATTATAATCCTCAAATTCTCAAATACTTCTATAATATCGAAGGTACTAAATTCAAAGAACCTGCTATTTATTAATATAATGCGTATAATATTTTAAAAATTAAACAATAAATTAAATAAAAACTATGCGATAAGGAATTTAACCTTGGAGAACGTTTCGCTGTCGATTTCTTCGAATATAAAGTAGGGAAAGATAGCTTTAAATACATTATATTTATTACCCATTAATAAATTAAATTCGTTTAAAATATCTATATAGCGAATTAAATAATTAAGGCTATCGCTAAAAAACTTCTTTCGGTTATTGATACTATTAATTATTAATATAATATTGAAGTTAAATATATCGAATATAATAACGATTTTAATACCTAATACGTTAAGGATAAATTAACTATATACCTTATTATTTTTAAACCCTCAATACTTAATATTTAAATTTAAAACGGTAGTACTAAACGCTTAAAGGGTATAATCTAAAAAAAAAAGCGTATATAATAATAAATAGCGCTAAATCCCCTTATAACTTCTAACTTCAAATTATTTCAACCTTAGTCTATTTTACTAACCGATTACCTAAGTATTTTTACAATTAAAAGTTACTATACGAGTAATTTTATACTTTTGTAACCTACTGTAAAGGGGTATAAACTAAACCCTGCAAACTTAACTTTAATTATTTACGTATTTATAACTATAAAATATATGTAATAATAGATACTATATAAAAGAAAAAGTAACGGAATAAGAAATTTTAACTAAAAACCTAAATCGGATTCCTTATCAGCTATACTACTTCTTCTATTTATTAAATTTAAAACCTATAAACTAACCGTATTATTTATACCCATAACGTACTTTTTCACGAAGATTCAATTTATTTAAAGAATCTTAATAATTTTAAAAAAGGATTAAGGCTAATCAATAATAAAATTACTAATTTATTTAATTGAATTAATTAATCTCCTTAACTATCTATACAGTATTTTAAACCCTTTAATGTAACCTAAAATATAAAAAACAATAATCTTACCCCTTTCCGACTATTATTCTTCAATAATAAATTTAAAGAAATAATAATAAAACCGTTTCGAAACTAATAAAGCCTACCGCTCGAAATAAAATATTTATCGATTTTATATTTAATTACCGTACTCTGCTAAATATACTACCAACTACCTTTATTACCAGCCTTATAATAAATTTACTAAAATCTATCTCCTTTCTAACGTTCGAACTATAGAAAGCTACATTTAACGTTAAAAAATTTGCTTAACTAATTAAGTAACGGTAAGGTAAAATAATTATAAAGGTAGAAATTAATTATTTAATTTCTAAGGCTAGTAAACTAGACTCTGTTAAACGTTAAAACCTCTCTCTAATCCTAAGGACTTACCGTAATTTCGAATATTATAATCTAAATAATCTCTTTAAGTAAGTACAGGAAATATATTTGGATAACTATAAAGAATTAAAATTATAAATTAAAATTAATAAAACTATCCTCCGTGTTAAAGGTCTTTAAATCTTTAACTATATATAGGTATACGTATATAAATTTAATAAATATAATCGATTATTAAAAGTAAAGGTTCGCCTTATAGTTAAAAGAGACTGGTAATATAATTACGATAAAGAAATGTATACTTCTACGTTAATTAATTACTTATTTGAATTAATTATCGCTTATATTACTAAATTTAATTGCGATTTTATTTAATATAATATAATAAACGCCTTCGTTAATGCCTACTTTAATAAAGAGATTTATATATGTATACCTCCTAATTATTGAAAATATAGTATTATCCTTAAAATCCTTAAAGCCTTTTATAATTTCTAATAAACTCCTTTACTATAGTAACGAGAACTCAATAGTACCTTCGAAAACTTAAAGTTCAAACCGTCATTTGAAGACTCGTATATCCTCAAATATAATAGAATCCTAATTTTCTACTATATTAACGATCTTATTTTCGCCTTCGATAAATTATAGTATAATAAAATTATTTGGGTTATAAAGAAGTTAAAAGAGAAATATAAGTTTACTAATAATAATAACCTTTAATAGTTTTTAGGGATTGAAATTATTTAAAATTAAGAAGTAAATTATATTTAATTGTCTTAATAGGAATATATCTACAGAATTACTAAATTAATTAAGAATCTTTATACCTTCGCCTTTATCCCAATGAATAATAAAAAGTTTATACTTTATAATAGTATAACCTTTTTTAATAAAATCCGGAAATATTAGGTCGTTATTGGCTTTATAATGTATATTACTATAATCACCCAACTTAATATTGCTTTCCCTGCTAATAGATTAATTCGCTATAATTATAATTCCAATCTTCAATATCGTAGAGCTATTAATAAAATTTTATATTACCTTTAATATTACCCTAATTTTTCCTTCTATTATAGTATATTAATAAATTCGAAATTACTTTAAATATATGGTACGCCGACAATTCTCTAAATCGAAAAAGTTCGTATAAATTTATAATTAAACTCTTTAGTAATTTAGTTTATTAAGGTGTAACTAAATAAAAGATAGTATTTACTTTAATAATAAAAGTAAAACTACTATCGATTTTAAATGTTACTAAGGAAATTATCATTATTATACATTTATATAAGGAAATTAATATTCTCTTCGATAAAAATATATTTATAATCGGCTATAACAATATACAAACGATCCGTATATTAACTATGAAGATAGTAAAGGTAATAACTAAATTGAAGCACATTAATATCCATTGTTACTAATTAAAGTAGGAAATTATAGAGGGAAGGATTAAAATTAAATATCTAGAAACGAAGAGGATACTAGCTGATAAATTAATAAAAGTTCTAGAACAATTAGATTACAAAAAATTCTAGGAATTAATAGGAATAACGAATATACTAATTCGTAAGGAGATAAGGATAGATAAGGAAATTCTAAATAATATTCTAAAGAATATTTATAATTTAGTTAGAGAAATTAAAATACTAGAAAAGAAACTCTATAAATAGTTTCACTTTTACCTTATTTAAAAAGTTTGTAAGTAAAGGGGTATATTAAATTCAAGGGTGGTTTTAGCCATACTATATAGAGGTTAGCGCTCTAGCCACCTAATATTGCCTGACTTCTGGGCATATTTAGGTTACCCCAACACCCCCCATACCTTCTGGGCGAGCCACACACACTCTTCAATCAATCAATTCTACACGGTCACATCTAACAGCATTCGTATGCATTTGTGGCGGGGTAAATTGCTTTCGCTTCGAATGGGTGAAGAGCGCGTGTAAGCGCAGTCAATAGTGCAGTGTTCCAATAATTCCATTTTCAAGAGAATTTGCAGACGGAGGACTCCAATATCCGGGGCTTGTCCAATATCCATTGTCACTACCTATTCCGTCAAGCAAGCACCAACATCACCAACCAAACAACAACGGCATGTCATGATATCCGACATCACGGGTTGCAAATATCCCGAATCCCCTTTTGTCTATAGTGCTGATGATCGCCTGCTGCTCATGGATGCTGTGCATACACCGCTGGAACTTGAAGAGCGGGAAGCCTGGGGCCAGAGATGGGCTAAGGTAAGTACGGAACGGATCTCCTGGCTGACCTGGGTTCCAGCAAACTAAATCCAAGACGGGCCTCTTGGCCTGGTTGAGCCGCAAATGATGGCCTTGTGGCCCTGTCGTCATGTGATTGAAGGTGGTACTCGTTCATCATGAGAAGAGAATATCATGGGCAATTTTAGATGTCCAGAGAAAGTGAAGAGTTCCCAAAGAAGCAAGTTGCACGGAACTCTCTCGCGATTGGAGACTATTCAGTATTCACTCCCTCTTGACCTCTGAACAGCACAACGACACTTCAGTCCATATCTGAACAAACAACACCAAAAGTCTCTGCGGTCACAGCGTTTGAGAGTCGGGAGGGCCTGGCCGAGCACCCTAGTTCTTCTTGGGACTAGCGCCAGGAACACAGGCCAAGCCTGAAACTGTTGTTGTCCTTTCTCAACTCTTACTGGTCACTCAACCATCTCTCGTGCCTCTCTCGTCCCACTTGCTGAACGGCCATCTCTTCCGCGACAAAGCGCTGTCTCCAATTCGACGGGACGGCTTCGACGCTGCTTCCAGCGCTTCACTGCAACATCTTTTTTTTTAAAAATTCTGTTGAGTTATGTGACGGCATGATATTGATGCTGAACCAAGGGCTAACAATCTGGTGCTCTACCGGAGGACTGGTCCTTGGTTTCAGCCACCACCTCACGTTCCCTGGACTCAAGAGTCTCGAATCACAAGTGACACAGATGCATCACGGCAAGATTCGACCTGGGCAGTCCACGTTGCAAAGTCCAAAACACCAAGCCAAGACCCGTCACTGAATGTGTCTCGATCATGATTGCACGAGACCGTGATCTGCGGCAAGGACTAAAGCTGCACTTACCCTGGCCAGATCTCGTAACATTGAATCAGATTCTTTTTTCCGATTTGACGGCCTTGAAAGAGGCTGGATGGACGGACGTTGTTGCGCACTTGCGCCAGTCGACGACGGTGTTGGATATGGTATCAAATCGCCTGTGGCACCTGCGTGCCCCCGCCATGTAAACGAGAGGATACCGATCCGAAGCGCCGGCCAAGATTCGTCATCTTGAAGCGCAAATTGGCCGAAGCAAGCATTCCAGGAATTTCCAGTATCTGCCATCGTATGTCAACCAGCTGTTTTCAGGGAAACAAGATCATGACGCCTCATCAGGCTGTGGACAATGTCCTTGATGGAGACATATGCCTTCACCCCTGTACAATGGCCGTTCGTATCTCGTCTTCAGCGCCAGTGCACTGTATTAGGTACGACTGCTGCCCAACCTATCAGCCCGTCATTTAAAAATAATCACGACATTCATGAGATGAAGCTCATCTACCTCATTCGTACTCGCGAGAGATCCACCATCAACCGGCTCCCGCAAATACGTGTGTCCCGCCTTCGGGCATTCCCAGAATTGTGATTGCCCAGAGAGAAGCTCCAAGAGGGCATTTCTTGGCACAAAAATAGCGCCTGAACGGTGGCTGCCGAGTACCGATTACGTAAGACCTCAACGTCCATGGTGGGGTACCGGCCGGCAATGGAGGCTGACTGAATAACCGGATCCTTGATTCCAACCCGACCCATCAAAGCTTCCACCGCACCATAAAACCCTCAAATTCAAAACATGACACAAAACTTCACCTCTCTCCCGCAAGAGCTGCAGCTCGCAACCTCAGCCCACGTCAAGTACATCCAGAGTCTCGACTCTAGAAAGGACGAATATGACTACTGGTTGACGGAGCATCTGCGTCTCAATGGCCTCTACTGGGGCTTGACCGCTCTGCACCTCCTCGGCCACCCCGAGGCCCTCCCGCGCGCCGAGACCATCGACTTTGTGCTATCATGCCAGCACGAGAACGGCGGCTTCGGAGCGGCACCCGGCCATGACGCCCACATGCTGTCCACCGTCAGTGCCGTGCAGATCCTCGCCATGGTCGACGCCTTTGATGACCTCGAGACGCGTGGCCGGGGCAAGGCACAGGTGGGAAAGTGTGCGTCGCCATCTATCCAGGTAAACCCCCTTAGCATGTACTGACAATCACCTCTCCAGATATCGCCAGCCTCCAGAACCCTCAGACCGGCACGTTTGCGGGTGATGAGTGGGGTGAGGAAGACACTCGCTTCCTCTACGGCGCCTTCAATGCCCTTTCCCTCCTTGGCCTCCTCCACCTTGTCGATGTTGACAAGGCTGTTGCCCACATTGCTGCATGCGCCAACTTTGACGGCGGCTACGGTGTCAGCCCCGGTGCCGAGTCCCACTCTGGCCAGATCTTCACCTGTGTCGCTGCCCTCGCCATTGCTGGCCGCAAGGAGCTCATTGACGTTGATCGCCTTGGTCGCTGGTTGAGTGAGAGGCAGATCGCTGGCGGTGGCTTGAACGGTCGTCCGGAGAAGAAGGAGGACGTGTGCTACAGCTGGTGGGTGCTGAGCAGTCTGGAAATGATTGGCAAGACGCACTGGATCGACAAGGAGAAGCTCACCAACTTCATTCTGAGCTCGCAAGACACGGAGAAGGGTGGTATCTCGGACAGGCCTGGCGACATGGTGGATGTCTGGCACACCTGCTTTGGCATTGCGGGTTTGAGCTTGCTGGATTGTCCGGGCTTGGAGCCGGTTGACGAGGTTTATTGCATGCCCAAGTCAACCATCAAGCGTGTCCTTGGCCATTGAGAGGAATGAGATGTGGTGTTGTCGGAATACGGTACGATGACTTCTTATACTATCTCATCATCATGGCATGGCACATGGCACAAACACAACTACCTCCTGCCATCTAATAACCTTCCGACACGCACTCCAGGCGTCGGCAGGATACAAGGCGGGAGAAGAGCAAATCATTCTCGTGTGGGCTAGAAACGCCCTTACATCCCTTCAGTGGGCCTGTGAGGCGTTTCTAGCTCAGACGAGTACCCTACTGCATTATTGTTGCTTGGATGAGCATTTGCTACGTCAACCAACATGGTTAGGTCGGGGACATTCCATAGTGTTCCTTTAATACAATTTTCTTTCACTTGAACCATTCGCACATTGTCTTAGCGTTGTCACAGTCTCAGCTACTCTTTTACCTTTGCCCCTTGACCGTTCGTTGTTCAACTCTTCCAACATCTGCATCACCCAAGGCCTAGAGGTGCCCCATCCAATACATCATTTCCATCATCTTTCAACTTGTTGACCTTGACCTTTGTTTCCTGGTAATTACCTGTCACTGCATCTACCCGTCTCGCAGCTTGGTCGCCTACCATTGGACAATTGCTGACTTGGTATTTTTGAGACAGCTGAAGTCGAAGATGGCCGTTTCTTACGTTACCGTTGGGTGGGGTGCAAGACAGACCGCCATGGAATAATAGTCTTGGTTCATCAACGACACTTGCCTTCAACGTCAACAAAAAGCCCGATGAACCGATAGCAAGTTCTCTCAGGCTATCTGGGCATCTTTCGGGGCCGAACATTGATCAGCTTTTCCCGCGACTTCCTCCAGCAATAATGATTTTTTACGTTACGGTACCGGACACCTTCCAGACTGACCCCTCCGCGGAATTTTGTGATCCTGGGTCTTCATCGTTCCTTCCCACTCTGACGAACTCACCCACCTTTCTCGTCCACTTCCTGACACTCGGACCAAACTGCCCGCAAGTCTCATCGTACCTTCCTCAAACTGTCATTAGATTCGTGGCCAACCGTTCTTTCCATTGTGTGTGCCCTTGCCGAGGGTTCTTCTCGTGCCCTCGGCAGGCTGAGTGGGAGTGGCTGTTGCACTTTTCTCGTTTCTGCAAATTCTCTGCCTCCCAAAGTTCTTCCTCTCTCCAACTCTCACGCTCCCCTCGACCTTCTGTCTGCTCGTCGCGGAAGTTCCTTCCCCTCCCAACAACACCGATCGGTCTCTCTGTCCTCCAATCGTGTCATCAGAGACGACCCTGGAATTGAGATCTTCCATTATTAACGGAGAATCTGTACTTCCTCCCTTCTTCCCTTTTTCGTTCACTGACCCGCCCAGACTTTGCCCCGGATCCCTTCTTCGTGGAGATGCACGTGATGGACCCTGTCAACAACACCAATATCACCATCACCGCTGCCTTCACTTTCTTGGAGACTCGTGCTTGCTAGGCTCCTGGATCCGACCTTATCACTGTACAATTCTGTCCCGGGCTACGCCAGTGTCCAGCTTCCTTGGGACTTCCAGCAGACAGACAGCCTACAAAGTTCATCCATATCCCCCACGGAGACTGACGCCTTCAACACGCCACTGCTCTCACCTTATGCATCACTCGTCAGGAACTCCTTGAAAATCAACACTGCCGGAACTCTCTCACACACACACTCAGATACCCCAAGTCTTGCCTGCCCATCCGTCTATCAAAATACACGTCTTCCCCTTACCACCAACGGAGTCATTGCAGCCAGACAACTTTGTTCTCAACTTCGGCTTGATCCTGCAGTCAACTCAGCTCCGGCCTCGCCGGTCAAACTCGGCAGTGAGTTACTACCTCGTTGCAACCATGCACAACCACATTGCCATGTTGTTATTGACTTACACTTGCTAGACAATGGCCGCAGTCGCGCCAATGGACATGGAGGAGACAAAGTACGACCCTACTTTGATCCCACTCAAGTGCACCCTCTGCCCCAAGCAGCCAATCTTTTCCGATGTCTCCCACCTACTCACACATTGCTCGTCCAAGAGTCATCTGTCCCACCGCTTCAAGACAGAACTGCGGTCAGGTAACGACGATGCATCGAGGGAGACCATGCAACAATACCTCAAATGGGAGGAAACCAGTGGTATCAAGGAGCTTCTGATTGAACGGCTTGAGGCAAAGGAAAACAAGAAACCCGCAAAGCGTGGTCGGCCGGCCGGCACAGCTGTAAGTGGTCACTGCTTCTCTGCCAATTCCCCCCTCGGAGGGACGTTGCTGAACAATACCCCCCTACAGAATAGGCCCAAGGCTTTTCAGAATCGGGATGACTTGGTCAAAAACGAGCCGGCTGGCGAGCAGCTGGACCACACACCTGTGTTGACCCACTGGATTACAGACCCGAACAACGCGTCCCTCCAATTTCACAATTTGCGCCACGGTCACGCATACTTGGACCCTCCCGGTTTTCAAACTCCCGTTATGAAGCGTTCACGCTCTGACTTTCCTGCCTCGGATACCCCCGACAACATGTTTGCGAGCAAGTACGATAGATGGCCTTCCGAGACTGCGACGTCGGACAGTATCCTCCCCTCCTCTGAAGTCACGTCTGAGATTACGGAGTTCGACGACGATGACGACGAGTCCAGCAAGCTCAAGGGAATCCGGTATCCCGGTATGGGTCTCTTCGATTCCGCTAATGAGCAACAAAAGCGCAAGCGCAACCAGCGCAAGGACGAGTCTGTCTTGAAGTTAATGGAGGAGGCTTCAACTACTATCGAACAGAAGGAGTACATCTATTCTGAAGATTGGACTTTGCAGCGTGAGCGCGATGTTTACGCCAGCCCCTCGATCTATGAGGGCAGTCCAGTACGTCATCCTTCCCGGTCGCGCACCTCTATTCTGTCTCATTTTGTTGTTTTCTGACGTGTCTCACCACAGGGCCGTGAGCTGGAAGAGGCCGACAACCACAAGAAGAAGCGCAACCGTCGCGCTTCCACCTTGACCAACGCAAAGCCTCGTGCCACTCGTACTTCTGCGAGAAACAAGACAGTCGCGAAGGCAAAGTCCACCCGCGAGGAGACCATGTCCATTGAGCAAGATGAGAGCATTAGCCAGATCTCCGGTCACAGCCATGGAGCTATGGAAAGCTACGATGTCTTCCATGATCCCCCGCAGCGCAGTCCTCGTGAGTCACTTGAGGTCCATTCTGATTTTATGGACCGTCAAGCTAACTCTTGATTGCTCTAGACCGCAGTGGCAGCCCCATGGGGTCCTTGTAAGTCGTCGCGAGCATTTGATTGAGTCGCCTTTACTAACCGACATGTTTCCAGCTTCGACCTTCGCCACCGCCCAGCTTTAAAGGCGCTTCCTTCGAACGGACCTCTGCCCTCCAACGGCCAGCTTGGATCTTCGGGACCCAAGCCTCTGAACGGCTCACAGCTGTCGTACTTCTCGCCGCGGGATAGCATGGCGAACTCTTATTCCGGGCTCCCCAGCAATGGACTCTCCAACAACGGTCTCCCCAGCAATGGATTTTTCTCGTCGCAGCAGCACCCCAGTTACAATGGACTTAATCCGTTGAGTATTTCAGGCAGACCTTCCTATATGCAATCGTTCAACTACAGTGGCTATGGGAGCGAGTCTCCCAGGGCTCCCAACACCTCAGCTTTCCAGCCAATCAATCCAATGGTCAGGAGCATGTCGACTGCTATGCCCTACTCAAGCTCGTATGCCAGCCCGTACCCAGCTGATCCAGCTCTCGAGCGCCTACCCTCCGACTTTGATGTTTGAGGACTAGCATGGACAACATATTATAGTCTCACGATCGCCATGAATGCATGCTGTTGACGTTATGAGAAACCAAAAATACCCAGGTGGAGGAATGACTTGGTCGTTTTGGGATGACTGTTATTATGTTTTTGTGTTTATGCATGCAACAAAAAAAGTTCTTAAGCTAACTCTAGTGGAGTTTGATATCACACCTGCATCTGTTTCGGGATTCCAAGGGAGACGCACTTTTTGTTCTTATACTTGGTTGGGAGTTACCGTCATCTTTACCCTTATACTGCATGGCGGGCGGATAATTTGTCTTATCTATCTCTATTCTCATGGTGATTGGGACTTTATGGCGCATCTGAGAGGGAAGAAAAGGCCGAGGATAGACGTTCTGAGACGGAGAGCTTCTCGGTGATCTTCGAGTCAGGTGGATAGACCCAAGACTGATGAGATGTATGATTAGATTTGTGACCAGACATGATCCTTATGAATGAGCATTATCATTCGTTTAGGGATTCATAGTTACTGCACCTTGGAGTGCGTGGGACCGCAGTCTGTATAGCTCCTTAATAGAGTTGGATGATTGTGGTTCCAAAGCGAGGCTATGACCGTGTGGCCTTACGGCTTAAGTGACTTATAAGGCTGTTGTTTTGGTTGCTGCTTGCTCCTGGGTAGCCGCGCCGATCATTGTTGTCTCAATTCCAAAAAGGGAAGGCGCGATGGGAGACAACCTTGACCGGGAGGAGGAGTTTTGGTCGGAACTCGGATCGGATGATTTGCCGGCGGGAAACCTGTAAAACTTTGTTTATGCAACATACCGTACTTTATCCTGACCTCAAGTCCTATTGTCCTCATACATAACGCCAATTAAACTCTCAGAACAGCTCTTCTAGTCCAATAATGTTGCATTCCCAGCACCTCCACACCTGCTTTGCGGCGTCCTTGTCTGCCCTCTCCCATTCACCAACACCAATAGACGATTACGGAACCAAGAAGAGGCGGGCTGTTGGATAGATATCAGATTGATGAGGTATGGAAGTCCTGGTAATAGAAGCAATATCCTAATCGTCGACTCTCTATAACGTCTGTATAAAACTCATATGGATGCCGTAGATATGCCAATTCGTATCCCAATTCGTGGAGCCAGATAACTTGATGCGTTCTTTAATACCCAATTTTTTTTTGTCTCTTGCCGATACTCAGTCTGCCACTCCCACTCCTACGCTTCCTCTCTGCATCGGCATCACCGTTCTCATGAACCTCCTCCCCAAAACTCGTACCACGGTGCATCCTGCTAGCCCGGTCGTGCCCACCTTTAGCCCCCCAACTTTCATCATACTTCGTTTCCCTATCATAACCCCCCGATTCTCTCCCATACCTCCTCGACGTTGACCCTCTCTGCGCTCCCTCCTTCTCATACCCTCTTTCGTCTCTTCCGCCGCCTCTCCCGTTCCTACCGGGCCTCAACCCGTATCCTGAACCCCCTTCGCGTCCTCCGTGTGCTCCTCCCCCTCTTTCATACGTCGTTGAGCCACCACGTTCAGCCTCTTCTTCAGCCCTTTCAATCCTATTTTTTCCCTTTCCCTTCCCCTTCCCCATCTTCGTCCCTCTCTTCATCGCCCTTTCTCCTCTTCTCCTCCTCCTCCTTTTCACGTCCTCCGAGATGGTCCTCGCCCCCTCCTCCCCCAACTCCTCAAAAGTTCGCAAATCAGCTAGAAATCTCCGCAGTCTCAGTCCCGTCTTATGTCGAAACCATGCGTCCAAATCTTCATCAGCTGAGGCCGCGCATATGATTTTGAGACCTTTGAGGATATCGGCCGCGGGGAGGTGCCGGTCGGGGTGGTTGGAGTGTCTCTGTGTGTGGTCTTCGTTGAAGAGGGAGGAGTGAGTTGTTGTTGTTGTTGGGGGATGGGTTTGACGGCGGGTGGGGGGTCGTTGTTGAGAGGGGGGTCGGACGTGAGAGGGGAGACGCTGTCGCTGGGAAGGGGGACGACGTTGGCTGGAACTGAAGCTTGCTCGTTGGTTGGTGGAGATGAAGCTAGATCGTTTGCTGACGCGGAATTTTTGGGCTTGGGCTTGGGTTAGGTCGGGGCGCGAGTTACGACGGCTGCTTTCTGGTCTGGAAGGGGGCAGTGGAAACGCAGCGCGATCGGGATCTGGACTGGGTTCTGGTTCGGGGCGGGTGTTGCGTAGCGGCGCATGACCACCAGCACCAGCAGCACCTTTCGGTATATACGTCGACGACACTGGACCCGAGACTGGGCCCGGGCAATGAACCTCAATAGAAGCCAGCACCGACCCTGGTCCTGGTCTCGGTGGTGGTGGCCTTGACGGGGCCCCGGCCCTGGGAATAATCACAGCCATTGCTTCTTCCACCTCTGGCGTGAACGAGGCCGACCTCTCAGCTGTAGCCCCAGCCCCAGCCCCTTTCAACGAGACAACCGGAGAAGAAGACGGCTTCGACCGTGGACTACTGTGACTACCCCCCGCCGCACCACCACCACCACTAAGCATCTTCTGCCTCCTCAGCGCCGCGGCCTTCTGCAGTCTCTGCGACGGAGACGGCGCAGTTTTGCTCGTTGATCGTTTATGTTTATGTTTGCCCGTTGCTTTCGATTTCGGCGATGACTTGACAGTTGAAGAGGGGGGTAACGACCGTCTCCCCCATGGCCTGCAGCCGCCGCACAGCCTCATCAAGAGCTTGTTCCAGGTATGAAGAAGGCGTGCCAGTTCTGGTTCTGGTTCTGGTTCTGACACTCTTCGGCAGCTCGATACTGGAAACCACGCTCGGATGGGGGGGCGTCTTCGTTGTAATAGTCACCTCGCTAATGCTGTTCTGCGTATTTCGTATCTGTAACTGGCCGTACCTCTTTGCTGGTTGGATAATGGCCGTTCCGTAACTGGTAGCGGACTGGATTGATGGGGTGGCGATTTGTTGATGACGGTGAATCGTTTTCTGCTTTTGTTGTTGTTTGTCTGGCGATGGCTCCTTTTGTTCCACGATGGTAGGCGGGAATTGGCGCATGGCTGCGCTCCAGCTGGAGTTCCGCGAAGGGCTGCTGCCGTGCCGGACCAGGACTTGGGAAAAGACACGGGGAAGTGCTGGGAGGGTTTTGTCGGAGTTTGGGATGCCCTGGAGTTTTGGTGCAGGTGGTCGGGCTGTTGGTATGATGTTTTCTTTTTCTTCGTCGGGAGCTGGAGATGGATTTTGACCGGGCTGACGCTCTGCGAATGAGTGGCCGTTTGAAATTGGCTTTGTTGGGCTTGACTGTGGTGAAGCGTTGGAAAGCTTGTCTTCTCCGCTCTTCTGTGATATCTGTTCAACATTGATAGGAGAGGGAGAGTCATCTTTCTTAACCTCAATGACGATCTCATTGCTGAGCTCCTTAGTTTCGGTTCCTCCGTCTAGTCTCAGCCATTCACTTCCTGGTGAGATCTTTCCAAGCAAGGGGGCAAGTTTCCCTCTCCTGTGATATGCCTTTTGCTCCTTGGATGACACCGCAAGACCGGCAGTTCGGAATTGGTCTCGGTATGGGAGGAGCTCTTTCACCGTACGTACAGAGTCCTGGGTGTTGCCGACAGCTGGATGATGCCCTGTAAGTGTACTGGTACCGCCCGGTTGTGCCTCCTCGAGATCTTTTGACCTGTGGAATGCTTTTCGACGGTGACAGAAGCGGGATACAAGATGGCGGTTGTTAGATGACGGTGCGTTGGCGCGATCCTTACCACCTAAACCTTTCTTGCTGGGCTTGAGCTGTCTGTTAGTGGAACCCCAGGTCTCAGGAGGAACCCACGTCTCAGTATGCATTGGAAGTTTCCGCGGTTGCGGTGCCCCCGACCTGACAGGTGATGATGGTCTTGCGAGAGCCTTTCCTCTTGGAGTTGGTGTACCTGGACTTGGTCTCGGCATTGGCGCACTCGGGCCTTCCGGAGGGGGCGGAAGGGGTCGCAACTTGATGACGGATCGCTTATCTCTGCTGATGTATAATAGTGGCTCTTCGCCTGGCGGCTTGGGGACCTTTGGCGGTGATTTCACAGGTGACCTTGGAAGCTCTCCCCAATACGCTCTGGGTGGTTTCTCCGCATCTTCCTTCGACGGGCTCCCCAAGCAACAGTGGTCTTCCTGCGAAGAGGAGGCATCATAGGGGCCGAGCTTGGCATACGAACCGCGACTCTTCTGGAGCTGTCTCGGTCCTCCTTTGTAATCGATATCCTGCCACATCACCGGTATAGCACGATTCCCACGCTTCGGAGGACTCGGCTTTCGCTGATGCGACGGCCTCTTCCTTGCAGACCCCGAAAGACGATTCTGACTCCCATTAGAGTGAACAAACGAGACGCGGACTTTGGTGGCATGTCGCTTAGCCTGGGCTCGACGGAGCTTTTGCAGCGATATACTGAGCGGTTTGCGAAAGACTTCCTCGGCTGCGCGACGGGCGAGACTGGGACTGCGGGAGGGAGAGGCGGTGTTGATCTTTGGCCGACGGTGCGGACTTCCTTTCTAAGCTAAGTTGTATGCAGGCATTGTCGGGCCATTCTAATCCAAGAGGGGCGGATCCAAGAGAGGGTGTTTGTGTATTGCAAAAGCCGTTGGTAGGTCTGCTGGAAAATGACTGACAGGTGATGTGCGGATGTTGTGTTGTTGGACTGGGAGAGGGAACACAGAGACAGCCAAGAGATTGGATCAAGACGGGGAGCTGTCAGGGCCAGTTGAACCATGGAATTGATTAAAAAAAAATAAGGTGCCGCCAGCGGTAGGAGAAGGAGTGATGAGTGATAAAGTGAAGCTTCCCTATCTGATATCCTTGACTCCGGGCGAAGCGTACATTTCCAGCTGGCGCGACCCCTTGCGCAGGAGGAACTCAATGGCGGAGAAGTCTTTCCTGTCAACCTTGATGTTCTTTTCGAATTCGGTTCTACATCCGGATTAGCGTCATATCGTCCGAGGTGAGTGTCTAATCTCACCTAGCAAAGGCCTTGAAGTGAGCCCGAGTGGCTTCCGGCTTCTTGCGGCACTCGCGCAGACACTTGCGGTAGAGTCCGAGGACCTCCTTTTGCAGACCAGACAAGCGGGCCATAGTGATGCTGTTGTCTATGTTAGTACGAAAGTTAAGACCGAGCTGGCTAAGGAGGTGCTGTTACAGTTGAGACGGTGTATATGGTGGCGTCGGTGGTTATGATATTGAAAATTGTTATGACGCAAGACATCGGATTGGCGGAGAGCTCGGCATCGCCAAATTAATTGTTAGTGTTACGGATCTCTGACACCAATTGGAGACCTCGGCAGAGCTTACCCCGGGGAGCCGAGCGCTAACGCGGGGGTTCCCGGCCCCGGGATATCTTTTGTTTACAGTGGGCTTAATGCCTATGAGACGCTGACAGGGCATTAAGAGATTGTGAAGCATCGGATATTGGAATGCACAGGCAAACATTGCTGAATTTCTAGACGTTTTCCTTATTTCCGCTTTACCCGAAGCGTTGTACACACTGTCGTTTCACGATGCTATCGACATTCCTCTTACACGCCTTTTAGGCTGTAATGTGGGGTAGCCACTAACAGCCAGCGAGCCCCGCCGTGAGCCGGTTGAAGTACCGCTGCTCCCCGCCGCTGCCCGCAGATCGCCTAGCATCTGATCCACTCCGAGTCCGGGGCATTATATATGCCGTCACTTCTCAGTCCTCACTTGACACTTCACTCTCTTCTCACAACACCGTGCTCACTCACACATCAGTCAAAATGGCCTCCTTCACTGTACGTACCACCCCCAAATCAAATACTTACCCAATGCCACTAACCCCATTCCTCAGCGCCTCATCCGCTTCCTAGCCCGCGACGGCCGCACCTACTACGGCGACGCCATCCTCCCCCAGGGTGTCTCCGACATCCGGGCCGCCAAACAAGCCCGCCTAATCGTCGGCGACATCTTCGGCACGCACACCGTAACCGACCAAGTGGCCGATATCCGCCTTCTCCTATCCCCCCTGGCGCCCGAGGACGTCCGCACCGTCCGCTGCTTGGGACTCAACTACGAGCAACACGCACACGAATCCGGCATGCCGATCCCCAAATTCCCGGTCCTTTTCTACAAGCCCGTCACATCTCTGTCTGGCCCTACCGATCCGATCCCCATCTCCCGCCTGGCGCAGGAGGGCGAAGGGTTGGATTACGAGTGTGAGCTTGTTGCTGTCATTGGCAAGAGGTGCACGGACGTGAGCGAGGATAAGGCGCTGGATTACGTCCTGGGTTACGCGGTGGGTAACGATGTCAGCCATCGGGATTGGCAGATCAAGCGCGGTGGTGGGCAATGGTCTCTCGGAAAGGGGTTCGATGGGTGGGCGCCGTTTGGTCCGGGCATTGTCAGCAAGAGCTTGATTGAGGATCCCCAGACGCTGAAGATTAGCACCAAGTTGAACGGGAAGACGGTGCAGGAGAGCAGCACGGCGGATATGATCTTCTCGGTCAAGAAGACGATTGCGTTCTTGAGCCAGGGGACGACGTTGTTGCCTGGTGATGTCATCTTTACTGGAACGTGAGTATTTCCCTGGACTGGAGGGATTGTGGGAGGTGATGAGTGAGTGGATGCTAACGGATAACATGAACAGTCCTCAGGGTGTCGGTATGGGCCGCAAGCCCCAGCTTTGGCTCAAGAATGGTGATGTTGTCGAGGTGGAGCTGGAGAAGGTCGGCACTTGCAAGAACAAGGTCGAGTTTGAGGCTTCTGGGCCTGCTTCCAAGCTATAAGCTGGATGTGGACAAGATTGGATATGAAACTGGAAGGGAAGGTATTTACAATGATTACATGGCATCGTGCACATTCAAGCTGCCGAAAAGAAGAAACAAACAATGCATCGCATTTATTCATTGTAGCGTATTCACTTTTGAGACAGTTGATCATGTCTTTCCACACACCATTCGCATTCTCAGCTGTCTCTGTCGTTCATAAACATCCATTCAAGCCGCGAATAAGTCCTCTCAATCACCAAACACACCATCATTACCTACCTTGTCCACCCTTCCCAACTGTTTGAAGCACAACAGCCACATGCCGGCCTGCTAGCAACCCTGGCCGGGTTCCATTACCATCCTCCATCTCACTCCTCCCACCACTTCAAACCGGCGCCTCCGTTCTGCCAGCCAAATCTAGGTAGGTATACATGCCCCATGTATCTCTTCGATCTCTTCCACAGTTTGTAGTGTATCACGACCTGCACTTCTCGGAAAAAACACACCGAGGGGTATGCGCCGCTCGGAAACAGGAACCGTGGGTTGGCGACAGCGCTAAACGGGACTGGATGGATCGTGGTCTCAGAGCTGCATGCATGTGCTGGACCCGATTCGGAATCCGAATTGGGGACATACAGCGCTGAATGATTTGGTCGTATTCGGTAGCAAACTCCCTTTCTTGTTCCCGCTCTTCCTCCAAATATTCGACTGTTGTGTTGGCTTTTCGTAGGCGGTGCCGCTCTGGGAAGCTTGAGTTGGAGCTGACTGAGCGCCAGGCACCCTCCTCAAATTCAGGGACTTCCGTTTTGCCTGAGGCTGCGTTGTGAGAGAGCTGCTGGCTAAGTCTTCTTCGTCTTCTTCCTTCAACTGACTTGTTCTGCTTTTCGACGACGACGATGACGACGACGAGGTAACCCGGAGGCGGTGGGGGGAACGGGAGAACCAAATAAGTCAAATTGCCACGCTCAAGTGTAGCGTGGCTCCTGGGATCAGATGGAACGCGGAAATTTCAGAGACGGGAGGTTGTCGAGATTGGGGCCTTCAGAGTCGGCAGGGCTCTGCCGGTGGCTATGTAGCAGATGTACACCTCTAAGGTATTTTGAGAGACTTGACCTTGAGGTCTTGTCACTCAGCGTCGGCTAGGTACCATCTCCGTAGTATCCGGCATCGGGCCGGTTTACTTCCCCCCTCCGCGAAGTGCACCGTTCTACGCGGAGGGATGTCGTTGGCCGAGTGCTTCTCTTTGGGAGTCGGCTTGGAGTCTGGGCCGGTCTTGATCCTGTCGCTGTTGGTATCCTTTTCAGAGGGAGCACTGCTCTTTCGGTGTACTGGTGTCGACTGCGTGGTATCTCTCTTTGAGTTGCTGTAAATTGAGGAACTCGGGGGTAGTTTCGAACGTTCTGCCCCGGGAATCTGTTTTATCCCAGGCCAGCCTGTTTTCCCGCAAAGCTGGAGTAAAGGGTGGCGTAGACGTCGCTGTCGATATAACAGCTATCGGTGCGACGAGTGCAGTGGCCTCCGGTCGAAAGGAATAGAAGGATCCGATGCCCTTCATTAGGTAGCGTTGCGGGCAGAGTGGTGACATCTTGACGAAGAGTCGACTCTGGATGCCGGTCAGAATGATGGCCATCGGGTTGAAGCGACACGGGGGAGATACCTAGGTACAACTGGTAACAGAGCCTTGGGCTTGCACGACTTGTGACAGCAGCCCGTGGTTGGCATTTTGCGAAGGCGTCTGCTCGGGGTGCTCTGTACGGCTTCGTTAGTACAAAACGATATCCGATAGCTTGGATGCCGTTATTCGTTTTCTGTGATTGAACTCACCTCGTTGAGTTTCCTCCGGAGTGATCATCAGGCCGGGCATGGTGAGCTGTCAAAAGTGACGAGAAGAAGCCCAAAGGAAGAATAAGTCAAATTGCCACGCTTCAGCGTAGAAGTCCCTAAAGGGGCAAAAAGTGTTGCTTAATCGTGATCGATGTCTGCTTGTTCCTCCCCGAGTTCAAGTTCATCGAGTTGTCGAAGGAGGTCGAACCATTTCCGGTTGGCCAGCTTGATGTGCAGAAGCAAGTCATTCCTACCGGCCTGGTCCACGTGAAGAAGTGATCGTGTCTTTCCAGCATTTTCGGCTGGTATTTGGGGGGCCAAAAAATTGCGCAAAGTAACAAGAGTTACAATGTCTTTGGAGCCTTATTCGCATTTTTAAGGCTGTCAAGCTGATTTGGAGTGGTACAGGCAAGAGCTGTTGGATGAGGAAAGAGAAGAGAAAGCTTAAGAAATGGGCGGGGACCATTTCTTTTATAGCGATGAAGGTGTCTGTGCCCTGCTTATTCATGTTCTCCTCTTTCTTGGTGCCCTGCTGGTACTGCAGCTGGAGTCTGCAGCTGGAGTCTGCGGCTCGGTCTGTCACTAGGTAAGTCAGGATGTGTGAGAAATAAATGCAACGGACTTCCGTAGTCCTTCGGCGTGTGAGCTTTGCATTGCGTTTATTTTTCACACAATCTGCAAGTGTAGGTCCGCTCCCGGTTACGCTCCCACTTTACCTACTTTACGGTACCTCCGATGTGGGCGCAGGAGTAAGAGATATCGAGCCTTCTGGACACGGTTGCAATTAGTCGGACGAATAGAATGAGTAAGAGAACGAGCGTAAGGCTTACAGCGTTGCTTCATCAGCCTCTGCCTCTCTATCTACCTTACTTTCTCAACAACCTCATCCATGATGTTCTCGCGTTCTCCCCGTCCGGGCTGTTATGGGCAAGTCCGCAGAATGACATTTTGCATGAATGCTGTGCCTTGGTTCTTACAAGCTTGGAACTGTGCTTCGGAATTTGGAAAGCATGAGGTGGTTGAAATTTTGTGTCGTCGGTTATTACAAGGCCTTCAACCGTGGAAGAGACCGAGGAAGAGACTGAGAAGAGAGGCGAAGTGTCCTCAACAGCTCCTCATGCAAAGTCCGTCGATTTGCTCCCGGCATTAACGTTTTGCAGTTGCTGACCGAGTCGGTAAAAATCCAGACAATCGTCTGATCGAAGAAGAAAAGCAGAAGACACGGAGAGGAACCTGAAAGCGTGGAGGGTGCACATCGCCAGGAGTGATTCTTTTTGGGAGTAAGGTGGTGGTTGATTGGAAGAAAGTAACAGAGAAGAAACCCCCGGAAAGCTACCTAGGTATAAATACCCCTCCTACTATACGCACACAGGCGGCGAATATTTACACCCCTCCACTATCCTCCAATTCAGGTTCAACACCACTTCCTCAACTGCCGCCGGCCAATCTTCCAAATCTCGATACTGTCTGTCTCTCGCCCACTTCTTCAATCCCACCTTCAACAGCTTAACATACAGTTCTATCAACCCCATCGATGACGAGCTGTACACGGGCCCGTGAGACACCCGCGTGCCCCTGTTACCGAACCATTCTTATGTATTGCTCTCAACGCGAAGTACTTTGCGTTGTCGCTGTGGATGTCCTTCGGATAGCCCAAGCCCAATATGAAAGATACCTTTTCAAGAACTCAAAACAACCCAAAAACATTTTAAACACCTTGACCCAACCCGCCTGCCTTTGCCTATTTGCAAGTGGCATGCTAGCACACCGTAACACCTCAAGAAATACTGCCCATCCTGGAGAAAGCCAGTTCTCCCAACACTATCTCGGCATCGCTCCTTCTGGTTGCCAATAGGTTTCCTAACCTGGGGATAACATTGACCTACTCATCCACAACCCACGGGTGCCACTAGGGCCCGGGTTCAGCGGCAGCGGGTTCAGCGGCAGCGGGTACAGCGGCGGCAGCAAATGTCCCCCTTTGAGCTTCGAGGTCTCGGTCTGGGTCTGCTGCTGTTTGCTGCTGTTGCTGGTATTGCTACTATTACTGGTGTTGCTGCTATTGCTGGTGTTGCTGCTGTTGCTGGTTGGGTGGCACATTGAGATGTGCCCGAGGCCAGCGGCTATTTCCGGTTAGCTTATTCCAATACAGGTCAACAGTAGGAAGAATAGAGAGGACTGAGAGGACAAGGTAAAGTATTGAGGAGATGAGGAGAGAAAGGAAGAAACAACAATGAATTGGAACAGAAAGCAGACTCACAATGGCCACTGACACTTGTGTGGATGCACGAATAAGGTAGCCAGTTGATTGTAATTACCACGCCGAAGAAAATACAGGCTGCGAGTCTTTCTGCTAGCGCGACGGCGGCAGCAGCCAGGCAACTGCGAGTAGACATAAAGCCGTATTTGAGAGAGGCTTTTCTTCTTCTTCCTTCAACCAACTTTTTCTGTTCTGTTTCGACAACGACAGCGACGACGATGAAGCATCCCACAGCCGAGGCTGGGTGTCAAAGTGTATGGTTACTACGCCCATTGTTGTTTGCTAAGCCACCACCGCACGCGTTTCGAAGGCTTGTTGATGTGAGGAGATCATCTTCTCCTGTTCTTCATGGTGGTCTAGCCGGACTCGTTCGCAGCTGGATGGGGAGGGTGCTGCTTCGTCTTTGATTGCCTTCGGCTTGTTGCCCGCGAGTAAATCGAATCCACCAAGAAGCTCGAACCATTTGGGGTTGGCTACCTCAATATGCATATTATGGTGATGGTGAATAGGGGTATCAAAGGGCCAAGGCTGGTAGACAGTGGACACTCGGCAAAACTGAGTTGTTGGTAGCGTGTATGCGTGTTCTTTTGTTGGGAGCTGGTTAAGAATTTCCTATTCGTTACGACAGTCCAATCGGACTCGGTCGTAGAGGGAGGAGGAGGGGCCGGAATCGCCGCTCGAGGAGGAGGAGGGGGCTGTCTGGACCTCGTCGGTGTCTGCTTTACGCCTCCGAGTTCGTTGAATTGGCGAAGCAACGCGGACCATTTCCAGTTTGCCTTAACAATGTGCCTAAGCAAATCATTGAGACTTGTCTGGTCCAT